TAGTTATATATATATATTTATTTTTCGCCAAGATTGAAAACCAAAACCAAGCATGGGGAGTCTGTATATTTGACAGCCCCCCCCCTCTCCCCCCTTACAAATACTAGGAATGCAGTGTTCATCTCGTGCAGCAGCAGCTGAGTAGGAAGAGACGTGGTGCAGTGCAGGTTGTGATTGCATCGAGAGTGCATGTTACGGATGGAAGACACAGCTTGAGAAAACGTGTTGAAAGGTCTACTACCCTCTGTCTTTGCAGGTTGGTCAGACAGTCAAGTCAGTACAGGGCAAAGGTGCCAATCAAAAATCAACAATCAACAATCAACAATCAACAATCAACAATCAAAAATCAAAAGAACCCGAACTCGGAATTGTTCTGTCCATTTCGTTGTGTGTTTTCTTTTGCTAGCTCAAAGTTCCCCAGGTATTTCATTCGCCTAGACCCAAGCCACGGTAGCTAGGATTTGCTTCTTGTGTAATCGCTCTCTTCGTCCCTGCATGTCCAGATCAACGGCCTCCTGACTACACTGTCCCATGGCAATGATTGCGCTCGATTCTCTTGCAATGAATCCATTACAGCTCCAAGCGTCTTCAAGTGGAGGCTTTTTGGAGCTCAAACCATCCTTCGAAAGATCGGAAGACGGAAGATCAGGAATCCTGCATGTCTGGTGACTCGGCAAACCCTCAGCAAGAAGTTGCAAGCAGCTCCCTGCGCCTAACAAAGTTCAATGCCAGCAGCCAAAATACCTCTCTCCACGTACCCAACAGGACCAAATCGATCTCCCAGTATGCTCAACATCTTCAGAACACGATCTTCTTGCCCGTCCGATCAAAGGTGTCTTTTTGAAAGATGGCCAACGTACGTATGCGCTCTTCTTCATCATCCGTCATGTCTTCGTCTTCGTTTTCGTTTTTATTTTCACCCTCACGATCTTCATCTTCATCTTCATCTTCATCTTCATCCTCATCCTCATCCTCATCATCGTCATCTTTAGGCTCCGGCTCCACGAAATCTCCGGGGACGTAGAATTCTTCTTCCTGATCCTCTTCCTGATTCTCTTCCTCTGCGTTGTCGCTGCTATCTTCATCGTTATCCTCTTCGATGGGTATAGCGTTATTGGGTTCAATGGACCGAAATGGAGTGTCTGGGTCGTAGTCTGCACTGACGCCGTCTGCTCGTCCTTTACCTTTCCAATTTGCGCCTCGGCTTTCTTCTTGATTCATAGCAGCGGGAATGCTACGATCATAACGTCCTGCAAAGATGGATGAGAGTCTGGATCCGCCAGTGCTCTTTCGTGCCTTGGTGGGACCGCGCACTTCGGGAGGAATGTCCGAGGTTGAGCGTTTGTGGAATGGTGGATGGTCCGGCATGTCGATGTCCGGATCCTGACGTATGATGAATCCGCTGGAAGTTCTTTTAGACCTGGGCTCCATGATACTGACTTTGGATGGAGATATTGGAGATTCATCCTCCTCCGTGTCATCATTCCCAAGCTCCGCTCCAGCTTCCCTATCCTCATCGTTGTCATCTTCCTCAATGGCAGCGCCTGCTCCAACCATGCCTCCAACACCTTTCTTAGACCTGACAGCCTCGCTAAAACTACCTCTGGCCGGTGGATCGACCTCCTCGCTCTCACTTTCCTCATCGGGTCCAACCACGACGCCACCAACGACACGACTTCCTTTGGGTCGACCTTTCTGCTTTGCTAGCATCGAGTCCTTGATATCCACTTGCGTACTAAGCCCGTCGATGATCTTCAACCTGGCTCGCCATGCTTGCATAGTCCTCAAATCGCGAACCGTATCATACGCCCCAACTTCAATACCGTTGACGGTTTCAAGTGATAGCGCCTGGACTCGAGTGTCGGCCCAGTGCCAGTGGATCTTCCCATCTCGAGCTTCCGAAATCCGCTCATCGGTCAGCGTACCATATTTCCTGCCAGCAAGCACGGAAGAGAGGTCATAGGACAGTGACGGTGGGTCCTTGCAAGTTCTGCGGTTCCCCATAGTGCCACTCCACATTCCCATCGCACCACTTTCATAGAGGCGGCCAAGAATTCTATCGTGGGTGATTTCAATTTTATGTTTCGGACTGTGGAGCGCATACCAATTGCCATATGCAGCAGCTCCCACAGTGGGCAAAGCATACTTGATAACATCCGTGGAGACGGCCCGAGGTGAGGAAGCAGAGGCCGATGTTGCAGATTCCTCGGAAAATGCACGGGAAGGATCCAGGGTGTACGCTGTTCCAACCAGGGTAATGGAAGACGCTCTACAAAAGCCAGCGGATCCATTTCGGATATGTTCCTCGCCAATGTCGTGAAGATGCAAACGAATGGAAGAGATGACCAAGACATCCGTACATCTTTCCCCTTCGGATGGGAGTATCCTGACGGCATCGCCTTCAATCAGAAGCTCAGCCCCGACATAGACACCCTTGCAGAAGATCGACGCTTCTGGCCACTTGCCGATAAACCGGTACTTTTCAAGCAGAGACACCGAGACCATACAAGTAAGAGCATGTTGGATGGATGGATCGAGCTTCTGCTCCGGAATCTCACGTAGCACCCTCTGCCATTGATTCAGGGGCCTTATTTGGCGAAGCGGTATGTATTTGTATTGCTTGCTTGCGCTTTTGTCAACATTGTTGTTGGGATCGGGAAAAGTCTCCACACGAAATCCAGCTCTGTTGAGGCTGTCTTTGCGATCTACAACACAGAGTACATCAGGGAAGTCGACACTCTCGTCTGTAGATGGACATTGCGTTACCATGCCTCCTCGCCATCTAGGAAAGCCGTGGAAAGTTTGTCGTTCCGAAGAATAAAACTGGTAGCCATGAATGGCGGGATTGTAGATAATGTCAACATCATCTGGATGATCTGGGCACCACAGAACAAGCTCTCCAATACGTGGGACAAAGCTGTGCTGAAGCGAGACGTTCATGAGGTGACTACCCAGGATTTTGAAATTGTCGCCATATTTGTCATTGTGTTCGGCACGCCAGTCGGGAGAAGCCTTCTCTTCGATGTCTTCATCGATGAGTTTTCGAGATTCTCGGAGCTTGTGCAGAAGCTGTAAGAGTGTTTTGTAGATATCCGGTGTCCCTTCTTCATCAGTCGGAAGAACCGACTCTGCTAGCTTTGCGATGCGGACGTCTAACGGCAAGTCAGGTATATCGTGTGAGAGCAATGACGCAGATGGCAAACCTCTTTGCGTGTACAGCTTCTTGTCAAAGTAATTCTTCACCGGCTTCGCGCGTTTCCCTATTCAGTAGTAAGAAACCGGCATCGCTTGAGCTGTTCACGATCCTCACCTAAATCTACGGTGGTATCCCTACTGTGCATCTCTCTTGGTACTCGCGGACGGGGCTTGAAGGTAGAGACTGATTTCGGTTGTGCTGCTGCTTTGGGGCCCTTGAAACAGAGTATACATTGGCATTCGTCCTTCATACCATTCATCAACCACAAGAAATGTTGGAAAAATTTGACTGTGGAGTCAAAGAATTTGCCGCTAGGGTGACCAAAGAGACGTTTGTATCGCTATTTCTAGGTTAAAGAGCTGTCTGTATTGTAGCAAATGTAGACAAGAACCAACAGTGCTCTCATCCCCTAGTTTGGGATAGTCCATGAGTTGGTAGCCATTCGGAAGCCTGTCGAGATAATAGTTGATTCCTGCAACAGTCTAGTCAGCTTAACTGCCAGTCCCGGCAAACAGCTGATTCCGAAGGTGTTTCGCCGCGCCATGGGTCCGTTCGCCGCAATGTTGATGCGAACTGGCCATCAGAGCCAGGAGCCCAGCATTTAGTGGTGGCGAAGCAGAGAGTCAAAAGGCAGGCCAAACCAAAGAATGGACACAGGAGCAGCCTCTATAATTTAAAAGGCCGTTCGACATAGCAGAGAGTTTGTGTCAAGCTCAAAATGTGGGCAACAGTCTTTGATATGATGGGAAAGCGAACATCCCTTACCAGCTGTTGCAATGCCCTTTTCCTCAGCCCAGAGACTTCCAATTTTGACTCTGTAAGGATCATTCGAGATTGCCCGATATGGCGGAGCGCCCCAGCTGGAGGCTTGACCATCACTTGAAGGATTGATATGCTGGACGATCCACGGACCAGGTTTTCTCATGGTCGACGGAATGTCTAAGTGAGGGAGGGTAGCCATGACAGGCAGATGTGAGGTATGAAAGGGCAGAGGACAACATGGGCTGAAAGAAAGTAATCGACGTCAAGAGAGGAGCAAGGTCTATCTCATGATGAGTTCTGTGTCAACATGTCGGCGACCAGAAGGAAATAAGGAGCGGAGAAATACTCCGCAAGATGAGATGAGCTGGTCAACACTGTTGCGCAAATTAGAATGAGCTTCTCCATAATATGCGGTGTTGTGCCTGGCATTGGCTTTCTAGGGAAAAGCTTTTCAAGAATGATTGCACACCTTTTTGTTGGCGTAAGTGGACGCCAGTATATCATCTCTTGCCAAGACAGGCCTCCTGTTCAAACTCTGTCAGAAGCTGCTCCTGATTATGTAATACATCACGACCTGCACGAGTACAAAATTCAGGTACCATGGGGAATACAAGTCAATTTCTCCGAGACCTGAAGTACTGTTGCCGTACTGTACATTGCCGCAATGCCACTCTAATTGGCAACATTGGACAGAATAAGTGTTATTTTCTCAATTAATCATGCCAGGCATCCATACTACGACACAGCATCCGTACCGTCTCATGGCTCTTCTGGAACCTCTCCTTCAATGTAAGGAGGTGGATCCAGAGCATCTTCACTTCCTTCTATCAACACCTTCTTCAGCTCTGCCTCGATCTCTTCTCGTCTCCTCTTCCATTCCTCGACCTGACCAAGCCTTTTCCTAAGTTCCTGCAATTCTCTCTCCACGCCCAGTTTTTCTTCATCTGTCCCAATCTTCTGAAATTCCCAGTCTGCACTCTCTGCGCCAAGACCAAGTTTCAAATTGAACGAGTGATACCTTTTCAAACTTGCTCGCGTAGAGATTGTGATCAAGGTGATGCCTCTATCTTTGGCTGTCTGATACAGTAGGCCCTCGACATCCGACGATACGGCCGAGGTGCCTTCATCAATGAATGCATATCTGGGTTCATGATACAGAAGCCGAGCGATGGCCATCCTCTGCTTCTCACCGCCAGACAGCACATCTTTCCACTCTTTGCGAGTATCCCATCCGCCCTCGCGATCTGGCAGATATCCAAGTTTCGCATCGTTCAAGATGTTCTGGAGTTGGTATTCGTTTCGCCCGGATTCTCGCATATCCATTTCAGTATGAGGATAAATGACCTGATCTCTCAAGGTCCCGATGCTCAGATACGGTCTCTGCGGCAAGAACATGATGCCATCCATGCCGATGGCCCGGGGTCGGGAAACAAGTCCGCGATAGACCGGCCATAGACCCGCCGCTATTCGAGCAATTGCGGACTTTCCAACTCCATTGCTACCACTAATAAGCAGATGCTCACCGCTGTGCACAACATATGAAAGAGACTCGACGAGCTCATCTCCGCCGTAAGGATACAGAGAAGGAGCAACAATTGGAACATCCTCGAAACGCAATCCGTCAAAACCAGAATGCAAGGTGCCCTGCACATCAGACAAGGAATACAGCTCAGGGTGAAAGCCAGGACGGTGGCGCGGGTTTAGATATGCATCGGCGTGAACACGGTGAAGTGTAGAAATTAGAGTATACACACGGGAAGTATAGCCCGCAAGCTCTGAAAGATCTTTGATACTATACATCATGCGTCCGCCGGCATCTGCAAGTGACAACATGAGCCTCTTGTTGGTGATGAACTCCTTCATACGTCCGCGTTGAAGGTTGTCCGATAGGGTGATACCAGGCGTAGAGTCTGATGATGAATGTGCAAGTTCGAGGACTCCACCAAGACCACCCCAAGCGGGTAAGAAGATAGGTAATGACGTGATTATGTAGCCAAAAGCTGACCACGAGTATTTCAAAATAAAATCCTCCAGCATATTGTATCGGACCTTGAGGCTGTATATGCCCTCCATCCAACCTCGTAGGTCTTTGAAGCTTTTATTCAGGTATACTTTCTCGATGTCTGCACCACCATAAAATGCAACCTCTTCTGCATTGGCTATCAATCGTGCATGCAGGCCACGAAAATCTCCTTCTTTCCGACCCTCGACGGCAGTCAGTTTTCCAAAGGGTGGAGAGAGACGCCGTAACAGGGTTGCGGTGGCGAAGTAATTGGAGAGTAGCCCTGTTAGTGCGATGGGACCCAGGGACCGGTATAACTGGAAATTGAAGACAAAAAGATCCACCAGTGGTTTCCCAAGGGAGGAATACAATGACGCCGCAGCAGAACAGAATAGCGTGAGGTCTTGTGTGATAAATTGGTCTGCACCTTGACCAATGCCACCGTCGAGATTGGTGAGCTTGTAGAAATTGAGCTGCGGATGTAAATAAAGGTCATGTATGTATCTCGTGAGCCGCGTCCTAAAAGCAATCGAAATCTTAGACTGTAAGAATTTGATCATCGCATTCGTGTAGGAAGCCAGAGTGCCAACAGAGAGCCAGCGCAAAAGACCGAGCATGAAAGATCTCCCTTGACCAGCAACAAGATCCCGTACGATAGCGCCATCTAGGCGTGCGACAATAAGCGACAAATACGTCCGCAGAATCAGGAACATGCCATGCGAGAGGAGAAGTGCTGTCTCTTTACTGCTCCACCGCGGTATCATGATACTAAGCAGACTCAAGAATTGGTGTAAGAAAGCCAGATTGAGACCAGCTTTGGTTTGTGGAGGAGGCACTGAGGGCGTAGCTTGCCCATCACTCAATCGTGCTGCTCGGGGTGGATTGAGAAAAAGCCGTCGATGCGCATCAAATGTCGTAGTCTTGGTTGGGTAGATCACAACCTTTGCAGTAGAATTGCGATACGGCACGAAGATAACTCGTGATCCATCCTTCCCCCGCAGACCAGAATTTCTCCTTAGGAGTGTCCTCTCCTGCGCTTTGTCTTTTGACCTCCAGATCCACCATCTGTAGCCCCCATAGCTGCCAGATATGACGGAAAGGAGTAGGGCCAAAGTGGCTGCGAGGCAGGCCGGGCGTGATGTTTGCTTATATCTTGACCGCAGAATTTCAATGTATTGCTTCAGAAGCTGATGTGGGGGGCTGCCCCCTACGTTCAGCGTGGATTGCGCGGCCATGGTGGAAGGTTGGTCTTCATAGGTGCTGTTTTGGAGAAGTGGTCTTGCTCACAAGCCCAACAAAGAACCGATACTCCGGCACAAGTCTGTTAACGCGCAATCTTTGAAAAGATTATAGTGCTGCTGGGCTCAGTAACTAAATTCTCTGGGTATTGGATCTATGAGAGTATATTCGCATCTGAATCGAGGTTTGGTTTTAGAGGTGACATGTGAAGCTGCGGACCTCGGTAATCAGATATTCGCCAGGCGTCCGTCGACATACCTCAAGGGTTGGCTTGAGGCAAAGGACAAGCTGTTTTGCACTAGATGTTGTCGAGAATACTTTGTCAGAGGTACCCAGTATTAAGCTCGTTGCAACACAATTCATACTTTGTGCTGGCTACGAATTCATTAGTACAAAGCCCACACGTAACTCAACCCGGACATATAGTTCATGAAGAAAGTCGACTGAAAATAGGCGGTTGCTGACGACAGCGCTGCAAAAAGTGCTATTCAGTTCAGATTACAAAATCAATGAATTAATCAATTTCCATCCTCGCAGGCATCTGCGCTCCTCCGATAGGAACCCTAGGAGGTCCACTTGACATTTCCGTACCCAACAATCCTCCATATCCGGCCTTCTCATCCTCATGGTCCGTCTTTTTCTCGTTGATGTACGGTTTAAGGCCTTTGCCGAAATTATGCGTACATATGCACGCGTAGATGATAGTCGTTACAATCAGAATAATGGTGAGAACAGCAAATGTCGTCAACTCCTTCCTTGCTGGCCTATACGCAGCCTCTCGTGCTGCTGAGTACATTCGAACAAGTTTGAAGAGGAAATACGCAAGACCGCCAAAATAGAGGAACTGCGGAAGGTAAGTATTTTGTCTAGGTAGATTCATATAGGGCTGAGTACGCACAATGGTAAGTAACATGCCCCAGGTATTTTCTCGCCTGGTAAAAAAGGCTGCCATGATCAAGATGATGATTGTGACGGGAATCGCAGCAACGGTAAGGGCAAATTCGAGGCTGCCTCTGTCGATCACAATGACAACAAATTGCACAGTGAAGCCGAGGAAGAAGAAGAAGTCAAACTTCAAGAGGGCGATATAGATCTGGTAGGTGAGATATCTGCTCTTCAGACGAAGATCAGCTGATATGTGTTTGTAGATCGTCCAGGCGAACTCGTCGTAAAGCATCCGTGCCTCCACAGCAAGAAACACAGTGCCCAAGGCTAGTACGCATGGAATAGCAATTAGAAAGGGCTTTGTCCGCGCCCAGATGCCCTGGTCGATCTCATGTCGTGTTGCTAGATCGACGACTGCGTCTTGTATCTGGTTCACTTGCACAGATCCATAGATGAGGAGTCCGACATTGTACAAACATAGACCGATGATTTGTATGGTGTTCTTCAGGCGCAAGGCGTCGTAAACTAGAACAAGCTGATATAAGAAGCCAAAAATGTATAATGTGAGGAAGGTTGGTATTGTGGTTTTCGGTTGCTCGATGGGTTCCCCAGCCTCAATTTGTTCGTGGTCAAGAACATCAATCTGGAAAGTAGCGAAGACATATCTGAGCGAGATACATATGTCAGTACACCTTGGGCAAGTAAATGATTTGAGTACTCACACTTCAAATGCGAGCACAATACCTGCTTGAGTCAGTGCAGTCAGGACAAATGCCCATTGCCACTTCGAATATGGTCTATACATCCCGGCCTTAGGTTGCTGATATGCAGGAGGAGTAGGCGCAGTGCCCTCTCGCTGATGGTACCCTCCACTAAAAGGCTGGTATGAATGGCTACCAGCCTGACCTCCGAGGAGGGAAGTCCGTGACTCGTGTGAGTGAATGTTGACGGATTGCTCCGTTACGGAGCGATGACCTTGAGAAAGCTTAACCAGGTTTCTGGTGCGTCCACACGATCTTGAAGTCGTTGCTTATGCTCAACTGCTCGGACGTGTAAGCCGGCACTATTTGTAAAGCAGATGTGGCATAGGAATCTCTTCTCGAGTGATTCACCTGGAGTGAGTGGTCGCAGATAGCCGAAATTGTTATGTGGGTTGCACGTGGATGTTCGTTTGCTCCGAGGCCTGAAACACTGAGAAAGGTTGTCAGGGGCAGGCTTTGCGAGATGCCAATTGTGATACAAGAGACAACAGAATAGTGCTGATGAGAAGAACGAAAGTGACTGACTGTCTGAGTACGAACGAGAAAATGGAAGAATGCGGGAAAAACGCAGCTCTCAGGATAAGAACGTCGACGAAAGGGTTCTGGCTTTGGTTGGGCGACTATTAGTCCTTTGATCAGCTCTAAAGGCAACAATTCGCCAAGATCTCGCTAGCGACTATTTGATAGTTTAGGCATTTAACGTGCTGAGTTGGAGGTCACCCCTCCCAAAAGTCAACCAGTAATCAAATTTGTGGATCCTCTAGGCTAACCCCAAGGTCACCCTTGACTGGCTGGAAAGAGGCGCAGTCGTTTGAAAGTCAACGGGGCTTCACTTCCCAAGGATGACTTTCCCACCAGCATGGCACCTATTTTTGGCGAACTAGTACAATAATATGCTAGAACGCGCAGTGTCATTTTCCACCTTAACTCCGCTGCCCTGAATGTTGGCCACGGACGATTTTCAAAATCTTTTGGGTGCTGATGATCTGCTCAGCAACATTTTCACCTATGAATGCAAATCATGAGATGAGTCTGGTTGTCATTGGGAAGGCAGGCTTTCTCGCACATAAGTCGATATAGATGATGACCATTCTCCCTTCTCCTGCCTCATTGCTTCTACGCCAGGTCCGGCTTATCATCTCTCCTCCAACAAGCACTTTATTTGAATCGCGTGCCATCTTGTCTGAAGTACAGTCCAAATTCGGTTCTATTTCGACTTTCATTAATCAGCGCTATGACCCAGTTCTGCGCCAACACCTGAAGTCTGAACCAAGCCCCACTTCTTCATCACAATCACCCTCCCAAACCATCCTCGCTGTGTTTGACCGGCCTTCCTCTAAGGACTCAGCTATCGGTTCAGATCCTTTCACCATCGTCTGTGGTGGTGATCTTGTGCCTTCAGCTGATGAGTTAGACCCTTATAATGCTCGTGGCCTCCACGGCCGACACCACCCTCCAAAGCGCACCTTCAGCTGCCACATTGTTGAGGAGGAAGATCCTGCTATCCATCAGCGATTGGATGGACAGCACCCATACACTGGACCATTCCGTGTTGACACATTGCAGTTGAGCTATGGAGACTTGGTGAAAGCTGGTGGGGCACCCAAGGAGGTCAAGGAGATGGCCGATGTGATGCAAACGGAGCGAGTACCTATTGATGACAAGCATCTCAAACAGCGAAAAGGGTGTGAAGACGAGCTGCATGGCGTACCGTCTAGATATTTCTATTCCGCAAGTGACAGGCGGGAAGATCCGCAGCTAGAAGGTGGACTGATGGCAGCTTGGAGACGCAGCATTGAGAAGGAGAAGACAGAAGAAGAGTCTCAGAGATGGGATGGCACGGAGCCCGCCTCTAGGCTTCATTAATCATATTCCATGCCAATTATGGATCCTACCTATTCACTTGGGTAGGGTTTGGAAAGGGCACATCTTCGAGCAATGGCTCTCTGCCTAGTCTCCTGCTCAGAAAGGTGTACGCTTGACAGAGACCAAGAAGGCCGCCGGTGGAACACGACCGAAAATACAAGAACAAATCGATGTCTATGGTCACGAGACCCTGACATACGCTAAATCGTCAAGTCAGCTTCCCATATGTTGTGTCTTGCCATGCGCCAGGACTTACTAGCGTCAATCTGCTTCAGTTGTGGCAAGGCCAGTCTGATCTTGTTTCTATACACCGCAGGCCCCTTCGTTTGTAAAGGGTTTCCTTCGAAGTACACCGTCGTTAGCTCTTGCTTGTTCTTCAACTCTCTCTCCACTTCTGTGAAATCCCCTATCTGGCAATTTGATGCCCAAAGCTCTTCCAGATGGCTAAGATGAGAAAGGTTCTCCAGATGCGAGATTGGATTGTTGGAGACGTCAAGGACGCGGAGTCTGGTGTTGGTGTCGAGACCAGATATCTGCGTCAAGGCATTGTGGGAGATGTAAAGTTCTTCAAGGTTGGTAAGGGCTGACAGTCCAGAAATCGAGGTAAGACGGTTAGACTGTATGGAGAGGAGTTTCAAGGATGTCAGGGTAGAAAGGTTCTGACGCACGTCAGCATATTCTGTGGGAGCGAAGTATGGGACAGGCTGGATTCCGCCCACCTTGATCTCTGCAATCTTATTCTTCCCAAGCCAAAGTTCCTCTATCGAAGTCAGATTTTCCAAATTCTCAATATCCTGTCCATAGCACACGTCAGCGCAGGCTCAACGTTCAATCACGCAATCACTGCAGCCAACCCAGACTTACACGTATTCTATTCGCCGCCAGCTCTAACATTCTGAGCTTTCCTAAACCCTCCAAACCCTCAATCTTTTGTATACGGTTCTGGACAAAATACAGATCCCTGAGTTCCTTCAGTTTATCCAGCCCTTGAATGTGTTTGATCTTGTTGAAACTCAAATCCAGACTCTCTAAACTTCCAGCAAGCCCTTCCAGCCCATCTACATGCTTGATCAGATTATCGTACAGATCCAAATCCTGCAATTTCTGCCCGAAACTCTCCGGAAACTCGATCGAGGAGATGGTGTTCTGGCGCAGACATAGTCGTTCTACCGCAATGAAGCGGGAGAGGCGAAGGGATGGGATTGAGCTAATACGGCAGTGTACAAGGTCGATGTCTGTGCTGTCGGTGGGGTAGTCATCGAGTAGATCTTCGTCTGCGGGGACGACGTCTGGTGGTGGAGCATCTGGGTCAGAGTAGTCGGGGTCTGTAAGGGCTTCGGGATTTGTGAGAGTGGGTTTGCAGTTTGAACTGGCGGACGAAGTGCTAGTCTCCTTCGAAGGATGCCTGAGTTTCCCGTCCCAGCCATTGCTGTCGAGCAGAGGTTTGGATGAGCCTAATTCGGACTGAGGGGAGGGGATATGCTCGGTGGGAGGATCTGAAGCTGGCATTGTGCCGGAGACAGGTGAGAAGTTGGCGATTGAGACTGTTACATCAATAAAGGCCAAGTGGAGAGCGGAGAACAAATAGCAGAGGGCGGTGGGAATGTTCTTTTCTGCTAGAATGCGCATGCAATAAGGTCGTCATAACGGGACACTTAGGGATGCAGGAACAGATTGTTCATAGACCCACTTCGATAGTCCAGCATTACATCTCATTTCTGTCACGATCTCCGCACTCATGAATTATGCAGGAGCCCTTATGGTTTTGTGAAGTTGCGCAAGTAGGTTCTCCCGTCAAACCCTCGATCCTCGAACACGAGACCAATTACTAGCTACATCGGTCTCTCTCTAAGGCGCAAACTCCTCGTTCAAACAAGTCGAACTAGAACACGCAATGTCCCAATGAGTGGATTTCTATTCTCTGTGCATAAGTCTAACTGCTGGAGCTCTTCCTGTGCTCCGTATGCAGAAAGACACGTCAAATGCAGACGATCTACTTGAGGACAACAGATCGTAATTGAGTAGAGCTGTCGAAGCCTGACCCTCTGTATTCACTCACAGTGGAGTGCTCTCGGCCTTTTTACGGGAAGCGAACAAGGAGGTAATGATAGTCTAGCAGTGCCTCTTCTGCTTCTCCTGGACCCCACTGCATAGGGATGCCACTTTACTCTATGATGGTTGCCCTTGCTTGCTTCCCTGACAATCCGTATCTCTGCCCGGTACCTGGAAGATCTCTCAGGCTCTGGGCTTCTATGGGCTATTGATCGAACAATTAGATTGACGCAAAGCCATGTCGTGTTGATGCGGTAGCGTCCTGCTTCGGAGAATCTCAAGGCCCGGTAGGGTGCATGAACATGACTGGCAGATAGAGCACTCACTTGACACATGTCGAGCAGTAGATTTGCTGATTGGTGTGAGATACAATGCTGCGCTCACCACCTTACTACTTTCCAAGCTCGCCGAGAAGAAGCTTACGGTCTGACGAACCAGAGACGACTGGACTAGTCAGCAAGTAACGAGCTTGTGGGGCGAGGGCAGACTCACTGATGGGCTCTTCTGTTGGTGAAAATCGTGCATCGTTGACGGTCCCTTTGTGGCCCGGCAATTTGTACAGCATCTTGCCAGATCTTGTATCCCACACGACCACCGTCCTATCTCCTGCTCCCGCGCAGATTCTGCGACCTGTGGGATCCCAACTTGCCCTCATCAAATTCTTTTCGAGACCTACCGGCGCTCCATCATAGGTTCGCATCGACCGGTCCACAGGAGCAAATGGTCGAATGTCCCAAGTCCGGACAGTAGAGTCGTGTGAGTGTGACAGGAGGGTCTGGGAGTCAGGTGAGACCTGGAGTGATGTGATTGTGTCTGTATGGCCACTCATAGTGTAGATGACTTCCTGTTTTCGTGCATCCCAAACCTTGATTTGATTGTCGATACCTCCGGAATAGATTTCGTTCCCCGCCTCAGCTAGTGCTACTGCGGTGATGGGGAAATCCGTTTCGATGAAGTCAATGGCTTCTTTCTGACGGGGGTCCCAAATACCAATATATCCGTCATCACTACCGCTCAGAAGCATTTCGGAACCTCTTCTGCTGACGTCCAGACAATTTATTACCTCCTCATGTCCCACATGCTTCCTCAGCCGCAGGCCAGATTCTAGATCCCAGCTTGCTACCGTCATATCTGCTGATGCCGAGAATATCGCTCGAGAATCGCGCGACCATTGAAGATCCAGGATGGCGCCTTTGTGACCTGTCATGACTCCGTAGTTCTCACACTGCCTGTAGGTGCGCCAGAGCACTGCTTGTAATTAGGAGCGTACCTGTGCCGGCTTGAGGGGGTAACTGACTGATGGAGCGGTCCATTGACCCAGATGCAATATGTTGACCTGTTGAGTCGAACCGCGTGGAGAATACTTCTCCGGAGTGACCTAGAAGACCATTAACGAGGTGATCATCCTCAAGACAGCTCAGCATACCTGTAAGTTCCATGATCGGAGCTTCCAGCCCACTGGTTCGCAAAACCTAACCAGCCCCTCCATCAGCCTGCCTTCGTTCTTGAGTTCAGCTGGAGATGCTATATTGCTGCGAGACCTAGATTACATACCGGTTGAACAAGCGCGCCATTCTGTGCATTGTTGCCAACAACTGCAATGGCTGAGCCATTGCTGAGATTGGCATCGGACTTCTGCCTTTTCACTACCAGCTGTTGTGAGGAGGAAAAGCTGTCTGAAGCTGTTCTTTTCGGTGCCGGCATCATGGTTGGATACTGCGGGCAAAGCTTGTACTCTGAGCAAAGTTACAAGACCTCAAAGACTCGGAGTCGCAGAAGATATTGGTACGGATTACTAAATAGTCAGTAAATAGTATTACATAGTGTGACTGCTATTTTCTCGCAGTCAAGTGTAAATACTTGGCAACATTCCCACTTGCAAGCTGGGTCTCTACACATCCAATAGCATGATCTCAGCATTAGATATAGCTCTTCTTCACCGTTGACGAGTTAGCTATCATTGAAGGAATCCACATAGCTAGAGATCTTTATCTCATATCCTCCAGACGGTAGCCGTTGTTCATCATGAGGTAGTGGCCTCATAAGAACCCTGAGCACTGAGCTGTATTGGGACTTCCCACAGCGACGACCATGACCACCGCCCAGAAAGCGACGCGCATTGGAGAGGAGTATGGAAATCATCCTCCGCCATGGTTCTTTGCAACTAATGATTGAGGCCAGATTATGGAAGTATGTTTCTGGACCTTTGGCCACCATACAACAGGCCCAATAGTTTATCTCTCCTCTAACCGACGGCTAGAACCCGGGTGGACAAAGTGAATGCTGAACTAGTGACTCTGACATATGGCACAATCGTTGCTCAGCTATGCAATGATTATGACAGCAATTATGTTGAGGTCAATAGACAGCTAGATCGAATGGGCTACAATATTGGATTGCGTTTGATTGAGGACTTTTTCGCCAAGTCAAATACTGGAAGATGTAGCAACTTCAAAGAAACAGCGGAAGTCATCTCCAGGGCAAGCTACTCTCCTTACCTATTTCGCGGACTATCTACTAATCAACCCTGATTGTGCCAGATTGGATTCAAAATCTTTCTCAATATCACGCCGGCCATTGTCAATTGGACCAATGACAACAAACAATTCTCGTTACTTCTTGACGAGAATCCACTAGCAGACTTTGTCGAATTGCCAGATGATGGACGAGCGCAAGATGAGCTATGGTTCTCTAACATCTTATGTGGAGTTCTGAGAGGAGCACTAGAGATGGTAAGCCGGTTTCTTGAATAGGCATTTAGCTTGCTATGATGGCCATGGCGTGTCCCCCCCAGAGAAACAAGACAGCTGAGTGCTGCAGGTACAAATGCAGGTTGAAGCTCATTTTGTCTCTGATATCCTGAGAGGGAACGATACGACAGAAATCAGAGTGACGCTGATACGCTACGTCGAGGATGAAATGCCACCTGATGACGAATAACGAAGCTTTGTGGACACCAAAGAGGTCCTGTGAGGCCACCAGTATGCACAAGATGATGAAAGAGCCACGGACATGTCTCACTGGCATTCGAGTGCACCAGAGACGGCCTAGTATTTCACGGCCATGAACAGTAGCCGATAGAATGACTACCTCGCTTAAGACAAGCTGCTAGCGTTCCCACTCGGCAACGCAAGGAAAGAGCAGGGTCAGCGGCAGAAAAAAGACCAAGAAAACTGCGGTGCCAGCTACAAACAATAGCCGCTGACTGCTATACTCAACATTGTACTAGTATTTACAGCCGTGAGTATCGATGCAGCACACCCAAGAAGCGGGATCCCCTTTTCTTCGAGGTTGAAGATTTCCGTAGTCTCCCCTCCTCCCGAAAGAGGTACGCGTGATTGCAAATACAGTTTGCCTAGTGTAGAACGTGGACCGGCACCCTCGAACGTCTCGCCCGCTTCACCGTCGACCAGGTCGTTGACGAAGGTCCTCAGCCCTCACGATATAGTACTGCCCACCGTGCGATTTGTATTCAGACCCTTCTTCACTTGAGTCGAAAGATAGTGACTGTGCTTGCTGGAACGACGCGGCTCTTGCGACAACCTCCATCATTCTGCTCCCAAGTTTGCAACTTACCGTCTCTTGGCATCTTGCTGGTCCTCCTCCTCCTCGCCCTCCGACCTGCAGCAGAGCCTCTTTTTTACCCACCGCGGCCCTTGAGCCATCTGGCTGCGCTCTCCTATCTGTCATCAAAACTGCGAAAGGGGAGATGTACCACTGACCCAACGCGCTTCGACACAGAAAACTATGTGCTGATGCTTATGTGGTGTGTCATTGATAGCCTATCCCACTACTTACCGAAGTGAAGCAAAGCGTGTGCGCCAACTCCTTTGCGAACTTCTCCACCATCGACCATAACCTGAGTGGCGTACAGGCAGATCACCTTGCATATCGGTGTCGCAAAATTCTAAGTTTCAAGATAACCCGTGCTGGAGGACAATAAGCTCAAGATGAACATGACGGGCATGAACCCAGCTGCGGGAGGGCCTGTAGGGGGCGGCATGATCATGATGATGAACAACGGAAACCCCTCCAATGCCGCCAACAGCAGCAGCAGCTCCTCTCATAGTGAGCTGAAGCGAAGGCTAGACACTTATATCTACGACTACTTTCTCAAGAATGGGCACCACGAACATGCCCGCGCTCTCTACCACGATGATAGCATTAAGCTCAATACGCACCCTCAGACCAAGTCCAGCCCGAGTCGGCGACGTGACGCTGAGATGAATGGAATCGATGAGAATGCCATGGACACTGATTCCAAGGACGACATCAACAAGATCCCTGACGACCTTCCCAAACCTATCGTCCCCGACAACGCGCAATGCGGGTTCCTATACGACTGGTTTGGCCTATTCTTCGACATCTGGTGTGCTTCGCGGAACAAGAAACCTGACGATTCAGGTGCTGCTGCCCAGTACTTGCAGCAGACCCAAGTAGGACTTCCATCATCTATCGTGTTGGCTATTGCTAAAAAAATATACTAGCTGATGCAGAGAATGCGGGAGACGCAGCACTCTTCAACTGTTTTAGGCCGTCAAGGCATGATGCCCAATAGACAATTCGGCCCACAAAACATGCGCAATGGCATCACTCAAGATATGCAGCGCGCGATGGCTGCCAAACAGCTGTAGGCCACCCAAGGCGATCTCCACTGCTACTACCGCTGACAATGGAACCTAGGTCGCCTGCGCAATTTCAACAATTACAGCAGCAACAAAAGCAGCAACAAATGATGCACCAAATGCACCGCGAACAGTCGGAAAACGAGATGAATGGGCATCGACCACAGTCTCCCGCATCGACTGAAAATGCAGGCTCGCCGTCAAAACGGCCCCGCCTTGATGGCCAGCAATTTACCGGCGGTCCAATGGCGCCCAACGGCCGAGGTCAAGGAATGCCACAGCAGCAACAACAACAGCAGCAGCAGCAGCAGCAGCAGCAGCAGCAACAGCAAGCTATGAACATGTTGATGGCAAGTGGCATGGGTGGGAGAAACATGTCTCAGTCACAGTTTCAATCCTTTCCGACGCCAAATCCTGGCATGCAGAAAAATTTACAGGTATATGCCCAGAATCTGGCCCAACAGCAAGGTCGCTCAATGATGAATCAGGGTGTTTCCATGCCAAATGGTATGATGAATCCAGGAGTCATGCCCAATCAGGGCTCACCCATGCTCGGACCTGTGGACGGCCCGAATTTCATGCAGAACATGTCAATGGAGGGCATGTACAACCCACAGCAGATAGCCGCCTTCAGGCAGCATGCCAGCATGCAAGGCGCTAGCGGGCAAGGGGGCAATCATGCTCTACAAGACTATCAGATGCAGTTGATGCTTCTGGAACAGCAGAACAAAAAGCGTCTGATGATGGCTCGCCAGGAGCAGGAAACCATTACACGAACTGACGGTGGGCCTCCCATGACAGGTCCCGCTGGCATGCCGCAACCTGTTATGTCACCGGGAAGCCGAGCGGGAGCATCCCCCAATCCGACTGATCAGATGAAGCGTGGAACGCCTCAACTTCCTGCGAACGGTATGCCCTCATCACCCTCTGCTGGCGACGGCATGCCGCAAGGCCGAGGATCTCCTGCTGGGATGAACTTTCCAGGTGGTATGCCTCCGGATTTCAACAATCAACTCTATATGAAGAACCTGGGTGACAATATGGTAGGTCCGGGTGCACCTGGAATGCGGCCTCCTACATCAATGAATCCTTCCATGAACATGGAAGGCATCGCTCGACAGCAGCAGGGTGGTAGAATGCCAAGCGGCAATTGGCAAGGCAATCCACAAGGCCAGCCAATGATGCAACAGCCTCCACAAGCTCAGCCTCAGGCCATGGGGACTCCACAACAACGACCAGGAGACATGCCTCCCCCCGCTGGTCTGCCGGTGGGCAATGCTCCAAGCCAACGGAACCAGCCACCTTCCCCCCAACCCGGTCAGGCTCCTCCCACTCCCTCACAATCGAACAAAGCCAACCCTAAGAGTAAAAAGGACAAGAATGAACCTAAGAAGGTACCTCTGCCTAGGCCAATGCTTTTGCTGGTGACATCACTGATGATACCCCTCTAGAAGCCGAATAAGAGAAACTCAACTGCCAATGCACCCACAACATCCGAACCAGATCCTCCCGCCACACCCACACCTTCCACTCCCATTACACCAAACAACCAGGCATCATTCCCAAAAGGTACCAATGCTCCCACCGGCGGAAACGCCCCGCCCTCGAACCCGACTCCAACTTCCAATCCAGCTGTGCCTCAACAACAAGCGCCTGCCGTCGACCCTACAGCGGCCGCTGGTGCCTTTGGCGACTTCCCCAATTCCAACGAAGCTTTCAATCTTGACTTTAGTGGACTCGAGACCACTGATGTTCTTGAAAATTTTGACTTTGACAGCTTCTTGCACAATACCGACGATGGCAACAATGGATTTTCATTCGATCCTGGTAGTATGAATTTCGCCGAAGGACTAGAAACGGCGGGTATGGAGTGATGCGCCCATATGACCAACTGTCTAGATTGAGCACGGTTGTTTATATTCAAAGCAAAAGAACGTTGACATGCCGGCTGCTGTTGAGCAACCCAATCTCTCATGTTCAAACGTCTTATTGAGGCTGTTTTCCGACCATCCATTCGCAGTCTGAGCCCTGTACTACTCTCATCATTGTCCGGCGTCTTGTCTCCGAGTTGAAGGCTAAGAAGTATTCCTGACAGATTTCTGCCAATATCTATACCCTTGTGGTTTTCTGGAAAGGCGTTTGTCACTGGTAGGCGTTCGAGGAGAATCTCGTGCTTTTTACAGTTGGTTACAGCATAATGTCTTGTACTTAGGTCTCTAGGTCTATATGATGCGTCAAAAGTGTTGCATATCGAGCAAGACATAAATCTCATATAGGAAGTTATGGTTTCAACAAATGTGCAACACCCTTGATTGGGACTCCTGGTGAGCACGCAAGCTTGAGATATATAGGGTGGTGCGCTGGCTACTCTGTTGTTCCTTCTTCCTTTTTCTCCTTTCATCTGCTGCACATGCTTTCGATCCTGCTTCACCAAAATGATTGTGCAGTTGGGAGATTCTCTGGGACATCGTGGTCAGGGCAGGAGCTTGTTCACTCTCTACCTAACAGTGCCTCACTCTTGCCCTTCATGTGTCTACTTTGTTGCCTGTCCTCTTCAAGAGAGACCGCGGCTTCGACTCCTCTTCAGATGACTCTTGCATCGTTGTATAGGAGGATTTGTCGGCATCCATTCCCAGAGATGAGGTAGGAGCATCGAGGCGCACACAAGCTACTATTTTATGTACTTACAAACCCAACATTGCTTTCCAGACTCTGGCTTGGTCCGCACGTCTGTTAAGCCTCTTTCCCTCTTCATCTCCTCGGCGTGCTTGGAAGTCGAGAGCTGAAAGTGTGTCTTTTCGACATGCGGTACGGTAACTGGGATGTGCTGCTCTTCCCCCATGGTTCCAAAACCCCCATGCAAGAGTTTCGAACTCAGTGCTTCGTCACGAGAGACAACGGTATGAAGCATCAAGTCATGATTGGCAAACCTTACTTACCTGAGGTGCAGACGTCCCTTTCATCCATGATCCTACATCCTCTGGCGTCCGATATATTTCTGAAGGTAGGCCTTTGACGCAGCTTCCAGTTCTCACCACCTTCGTTGGCAGCCTTGTCCACAATGCGCCATTCCGAGTGTCAATTCATAGTTGGGAGCAGCCCAAGGCTTCAAGAATGCTGGACAGCTTGGCCAGACCAGGAAATTCAGTCACGTTTGAAGCTCGTGTTTACATCGATGGATTGATGGTAGCGTGAGTACCAAAACTGGATTGGTTCTCTCTCAGACCTTTTCTGATATTCGGTGGCAGATCGAGCATCTTCAACCAGCGAGCCATGTGGCCACATGTGATTGGTGCGTTCTCGAATCCGCAGGTGCATCTGAGGATTGCTAACTCAGGAGCAGACCTCTGTTCCCGTAACCACTCCCTGCTGTCAATGACGGAGCAGCGGAAATTGCTGACCAGAAGCAGAGATGGACAGAGAAGGCTACCAGGAGCCACTTCGGTTTCCGCCCTTTCACCAAGAAATCCTTCACGCCTCCAGCTGGGATGCGGGACAACTCCTGGGCCGCATACGAGTTGTCATTACAGAGGGCTTCTCTCGCGAGACAGGTTCTCCTTACAACAACCTAAAGCACTCTTTCGTTCGCATCAAAGATGTCTTAGCATTCTCGTTTCAGCATGCTCCGATGCGTGAGTTTGTCGCCCAATTCTCACCCGAAGCCTCGCTGATGATAATTGTCATAGACATACTTGAGTTCTCTGGGATTGCTTGGCCTAATCCAGGAATGTGGATGCAGGTTCAGTCTCGCAGCAGTCAAGGTCCAGTCTCGGGCGGTCAGCGCCCATTTGTATCTGAGACGAAGGAGGATGAGGATGCCCATGCACATTCGCCCCGACGACCAACCCATCAGGATGTGTGCATACCTGAAGGGTTCAATTCAAGAAGTTATCCAGATTTCGACGACTACTGGGCGAATCAGAGTATGCCACCACCCCCGAATCGAACGGCAACTGCGGCATGGAATCAATCAGCATTGGGAGAGCCAAATGTTATTCGGCCAAATGGATTGCTAGCTGACCCGTTCCTGGATGTGCGTGGATTAGGGACTGCGAACACCCACCGAGAGAATAAGAAATCCAGTGAAGACACCCCGATGCCCGATGTCCCCAGCTCTGAGGCAAGTCGGAACCTATCCGGCATGACCGGCATCAGCTGCAACCAAAAAGATCCTCCTTCCACCATCATAGCAAGCCACGAGGCCATCATGAATCAACTAGTAGAAGCTCTTAGTCCTCTAAAGAGCGATTACGATGGACCCCACAATACCACAAACACACCATCAAGTGGACGTGTTTTCAGCAAACCGTCCGCAGCCGCACAAGCTCGAGTAGCATCACGCCAAGCTTCCAGCCCAGAGAAGGGCGAGGCGGTGGAAGTTCCAGACAGCACGGGCCGCAAAGCTAGTATGAACATCATTTCGGCCAACCCTGGGGGCCCTGTACAAAGCAAGAAAGAGGGAGAAGACAACAAAGAGAACATGCCGGAGACTCGTGTCATTGGTGCTGAATTCACACGTCGGTCCAGCTTGAGCGCTCATCTCATCAGCACCAAAGCAGTCGAGAAGCTGGAGCGATCGACTGAGTCAAAGCGCAAGCGGCCTTTGGAAGAAGTACCTACGTGCGCCCACCAGAGCAGCGTCGATGATCTCACATCGTCCTCTCCCAGCAAAAAGGTATCGAAGATTGCGTCTGCAGAGGCGCTGTTCAAAGGGCAGTCTCCACATACGCCTGACAGAGGAAGAGACGTAAGTGGAGGGGTGCCTTTCAAGCTTGCTGCTGAAGGGGAATGAAGACATTGCCCGGCGGACATGCATGTTTACAAAGCCACGAAAGCATCGGGACGCTGGGTTGCTGCTTGCCAAGTGCATGAACATGGATATATGAGCAGTTTAATAGAGGAGAATTGGCAGAGCATAATGTGCCAGACTGGAGGAACGAGGCAGTTGAATGGGATCGTACTGAGTGGGTTCTCTATCATCAATCACTCAGGAAGCGAAGCATGAGATAGGTATTGGACATTGGTAGATATTTAGTGGTCTTTTGCATTTCAACGAGAGTATGTACGTTTGTCCATTGGTACTTGACTCCCTCTTCGCAGGCATTATGACTTTCGACAGGCAAGACCCGGTTCATCCGTCCGGTCAAAGACTGCGGGTTCGGTCCCACATGCAGACTGCACCTTCCTTACCGAGGGATTTACCCATAATATGCCCAAACACAGCACTGATGACCTAGATGGAAGCTCCTGAAGGCCCTTGAGCCTGTTACCTTCAAAACATTGTGAATTCTGGCCCACCTCACTTCACTTCGCTTCGCTTCACCTCTACTTTCTCTCCCTTGCAGATCCAGAGTCACCTCGGATTGTCAGCTCAGCTTTCGAAATTACAGAAGGGAGATATTTATTTCCGCCTCTACACTCTTCTTAACTCTCGGGTCAGTTGCTCTCTCCGAGATGTCTGATAGCGCTGCAAGGGCGCCGGCCTCAGACGATGACGCTCAGGCGGAACATCAGATTCAGGCGTCGTTGCAGCGTGCTACTGAGGAAGTCATTGGCTTGCTCCATCCTGCAAAGCATGGAAATGCTGGGAATGGCGCTGAGCGTGGTACAGATACTGTTACTTTGGATGCTTTGCCTTCGGAAGTACAAGCATCTGTGGCGGCTCCTGCTTTCTTCTCTCTCAAGCACAGTGAGCAGAATGGACGTTTCCGACATGCTGACCTCTCTCAGTCGGCTACAAGGATCCAGAACGGTGTTCATTTCAATGTTACTCTGGAAGAAGATGGCAGCAGGTTGCGGGAACTAAACGGGGAGGTAACTCACATTTCGTCGTCTATTTCTACAATCAACGGTGGTGGCACAAATTTACAGGCATCAAGCGGACTAGAGAATGATCGCTTCGGCACAAATCAGTTGAGCAGTAGTTGTGATGAAAATCCTAGCGCGAAGGATTGCAGCAACTCACTTCACAGGCAGTCTCACACAGTTGATGAGACAACAGCTGATTTACAAGGGGCATCCCCAAACTCACCTAATCGGACGACATCCTCTACAGTCCCAAACCCATGGTCGGTGTTTGCCCACTCTGATCTTGACAGCTTTACGAAACGTACATTGTCATCTGTGTTCAGCTTTGGAAGCCGACCGTCGAACAAGGCGAGAACTGGAGCAGAGGAGGTCGAGAAACATGATGACCTCAAATGCTGTCCGATTTTGGAGATGGAAAGCACGACACAAGACCAGAGATGTGACAGATCCGAGCTGCAAACCGGCGATGAAGATCAGATTGAAGTTGATGAGACCTCACATAATGTAAGTCGAGAGGTCCAGGATGCTAGCGCAGACAGCTTCGTAACAGCCAGAGAAGCGCCAACCCCCGACAGAGAAGAAAGAGTTGATGCTGCCAGAGATCAATCAAATTCCTTCTTTGGCGGGCTTCACCCAAGCCGCATGATACTGGTCTCAAATCGGGAAGCACCTCCACAGACTGGACTGCCTCCCGAATCCTGCAGCGACATGGCCGTGATTACCTGGAAGGCAACTGGAGCCAATACTATGCCGTTGAGCACCCAGCAAGAACCCAGCCAAATCCAGAAGCCAAAGAAAAAGACGACGCAGATCACCTCGAACATTGCCAGAACCAGCCAGAGCGAGGGCTCATCTACAAGGGATTGTCCGAAAGTTGAGATACGTTTCTTGGTAGAAGGCATTGAGAGCGTCAAGAAGAGATACGCGTACCTAAACTCTACCACCATCGACAGTAAGGAATGGTCTTTTGCATGGCAAGAGATAACAGCAATTTTCCGAACACCTTTCAGCTACCACTATGATTCCTGGCAGGAAGGGGTTTCGGTACAATTAAAGACAGACTTCAAGATGTTCAGATTCTGGGGCACCTTCACCAAAGCCAGGGCCAAGGAATTCATCACCAAGAAAGCCGTTCTTTACGTTATAGATAGCCCGTTCTTCTTCAAGCAAGCTGTGCCTGCTCTCCAGAGTAAGAGTCCAAATCCTCATTCTTTTAGCTGATCAGCTTTCTAACCCTAGACCAGCGTTTTGCCGAACCAACGGCCTTGCTGCCCCTGTTTATACGCACAACCGCCACCCAGATGGTACGTTTGGATGCAGTGTTCGCGTTGGTGGCCAATTCGCTGTTTTTGGTGATGACGCAGAAGGCTGGACGCATAAAGAACATGCCAAAGAGGATACCGCCAAGATGGCAATCAATGCGTTGTATCGCGAAGGCGTGCCAATGGACATTGGGGCTATCCCTGACGCAAGGCCAGCTGGTGCTGACCCTCATGCTGAGCCACAAGTTCCAAACAAGCGCAAAGCGCCCCTGGGTTCGCTTTGGGAAGAAGGTCAGCGAACCTCTTGTCGCATCAAGGGTCGAGCAGCACAGCATACCGGAGGCCCACGATCCAGTATTGAAGACAGAGAAGTCAACACGATTGAGCCTGACACCAAGGATGACATTCAGCATGTCACCACTGGATCAGTGTTGAGACCAACAAAGTCCTCCGTACGAACAAGGTCAGGTCTTGCGAAAGTACTCAAAGAAGTTCTGGAGCCTCAAGAGAGGGTTATGGGTAAGTCCCGCCAAGGTCTGGTGATTCGAGATGCTGAGAATGAGGGCAGTAATATGTGACCACTTGCGGATCCAGAAACCCGAGTACTGGATGGAGGGATCTTTTGGCAGGAGAAGGTGGTTCATTCGCTTTTTGTCAGAACATCCTTCTCACAAAGTAGGTCATACCTTAATCGCGCCTACAGTCGTCGGCAGCCTTAATGGCCTGCAAGACTGTGCAAGAAGAGTTGAAGAGAAGCTCTTTGAGAAACTATATAGTGGCGAGATCTATCTCGGGGATGGCGGTGCAACGTTTCTAGACCCTGCAATGGATTCTGAGTGGAGGAAAGAAGACTCTGCAAACCTCCCTCCAAGTAAAAAGCGACGCCTAGAGATGGACGAGAGTCGACCGCTGGAAGAAATCAACCGAAGGCACTATAACTCAGATAACATTGCTCTCCCGCCGTCTGCGAACTCATTGCCCCTTGGAGTCCCGGCCCTTGAGATGTGTGGCATGGACGAAGATATAGGCTATGAATCTGAGGACGAGCTTCCCCGAGACGCCATGATACTGGCCAAACCGAGTAATAGCGAGCATTGGGGACCCCAGTCAAATCTCATTGCCGCTCCACAATTTCAGGAGGTGAGACAGTCGGTGGCAGCTTCGGTCACCACAGCACAAGCAGCAAGTAGCAGCTTCTCATCGAAGCAATTCATTCCAGCAAATACCGCTATTGCTCGACCTCAGGACGCTGCTAACAGATGTATTGCGCAGAAGGGACTAGGGCTCCACGGGCCTGCCAATCTGCTCCCTTCAGGTGAACATCGTTATGTGTCACCACCACCGTTCCTCGACACGCCGACTCGGCTACCAAAGATGGGACCCGCGATCGTCAAGGTTGAGCCTCAGGATGACGAGGATGGTGATATTGTTTGGGGGTTGGAGAAGGCAGCAGCGTCGAAGATGGTGAGATCGCTTCCCTCAGGCGATCACGCTGGGGATGATGGTGCGGTTGCCTGACAAAAATTAAGAAAAGCAGAAAAGGGCTTTCTCACCTCAGATGTTTGCTGCATGGCCTCATCGGGAGGGAGTTGTAGGAGCCTGATCGTGCTGAGGTCATTGATCGACTCAATGCTACAAAGGAAAGAACGTTGCTAGCACATAACATGAGAGGGCTGCAGCATGGACATTGGAGTGAAGGGTAGAAGTCACTCTCGCTACTACTGCTCCGTTCAAAGCGGGCATAGCAAGCTCAGCGGTCTTACTCCTCCCGGTCTTTGTTGAAATGTGTTCCCCATTACAGCCGCAAGCCCAATTTGCTTTGAGCACTGATCCCAGTGCGGCATGCAGCAAGAGCAGTATTCGAATGAATGCGCTGCCAGGGAGAGGGAGAGGGAGAGGAGCACGGCCTACACAGCTTACAGTAAATAGCTCAGGGGAAATAATTCCAGCGAAAATCCCTCGTTAGGCTAGTTACATAGTCCAGACCCCTTTCCCACCGGGCGAAAAAAAATCCCAATATCAGCAAATGGACGAGCGAGCTACTTTTTTGCTCTCCTCCTGGGGCAAGAAGAAGTTTGCACGATCGGGAAAAAAAAATCCCAAGAGCCGGCGGCCCCAAGAGTCGTCGACGATTCGAGAATGAGATTTCTCGCTACACAGAAGTGAGTACCCTTCTATCTTCTACTTTTTTCAGGAGACCGAGGACGCCGCCTCTGCAGAAGAAGAAGATGATGATGATGATGCCTGATACTCCAAGTATTGAACCCCCCCCTGCCGAATTCCCCCCAGTGATAACCTAACCCAGTATAGATGTGGTGCGAGCATCCAGGCGCGACTCCGTTGGGTCTGCGCAATCGCTTTTGGGGGGAGGAGAGTCGATAGTGAATAAGTTATAGCTCCGCCTTCGGGCCCAAAAGTCCGCTAGCCTAACTTAGCAAAATAGATGCCTCGTTCTGCGGAGTTGGATGCTGCATCCGCGACGCGATCCATTGAGCACCCTTTGTGACTAGGTGAAAGAACCCTCCATTTAAAAAAACTAAAAAAACTAAAGAACGGCAGAAACGTCTCGTCCTCCACCGAGGCGGAATGAATGTCAGAAGGCCCGCGGCTGACAGGCAAACGCCTGACCTGGACCTGACCTAAAAGCAAGACTCCTGCTACCGGAGAACAAGAAGCGGATTGGAAGCGCATCATTCCGCCAGATGCTGTGGAAAAACCAAGTTAGCCAGAACACCGAATCTTGATCCACGAAAGTATGCCCACAACCGCCGCGTGAGTTTGGGTAGGGGGAAACAATGGGGAAAGAGACCGAACACCACATACCGACCACTCGGGAATCGCCTTGATCTGTCCCCACATGAACCTCTCCAGTTTATTCGCGCTCTTCGCATATGGGGTCGTGTCGGTGTTGTAGCTCCGACAGTTATCAAAGATCAGCTTGGCATCTCGGATGAACTCGGCGGGGGTCGGGTAGAGATCATTGCTCAGCCGCTCTTCCATGGTGGATAGGTCCATGGGCTGCTGGATGACTTCGTAGTAGTCGGGGACTTCGTCGCGGTTGACTGGTTGCGCGAACGGCCAGGCGGCGGTGTGGTTCTGCATGTCGTTGAGCAGGTGGAGGAGCTGGTTGTAATTTGGCCCGTGGCGCGGTTGGCGCGATAGCTCGTCCATGCTCGGCGACCAGCCGGACAATTTGATGGCGGGGATGGATAGGGGATCGATCGGAGTTATCGGACCGGTGCTGTTTCTCCACTGAGGCGGTGGTTGGTGGACGACGTGCGATTTGGACACGGCGCGGATCTTGGCCATGACGCATTCTTTCTGCTTTTGGAGCATGCGCGACGTCTCAAGGTAGCGAATCTTGGGTAACATGGTGCATTGCATTATGGTGCCGCCTTCGTAGTCTTTGATGTAGCCCATCCAGATGGACTTTTCGAGCGTGATCTCTTTGGTGAAGCCTTGCTTTTTGAAGTAGCCAATCGCGTAGTTGTCGGCGTAGGTGAGGAAGTGCATCACGTCCGAGGTGGCTTTGACGTAGTCCTTCAGGTGCGCCATAAGGTGTGCGCCGTAGCCTTTTACCTGCTGGTCGGAGGAGATGGCGCAGAAGACTATTTCGGCGAACTTGCGGCCATGGAAGGGACGGTAGGTGATCCCACCTACAACTTCGAGTGGGTGTTTGACGATGGCGATGGAGAGATGGGTCTTGTCGTAGACAAGGCGCGCAATGTAGTCTTTGGGCATTTTGGGGAGCTGTTTTTGGAAGATACATTTCAGGCCTGTGAGGATGATGTTGCTTTCTCGGGAATTGTCGTTGTTCACCACGCGGAACTCGATGATCCCATTCTTTTCCTCTATGACGGCCGGCTTCTCGGGGAATGTGACGATGTTGGGAGAGGGGAGGGGCGGAGAGTCACCCTGGATGGTGAACCAGTCAGCCTGACCACATTGCAGCATTTTGATTGGAAATCTGTTGTTCAAGATACCTACCTCCTCGCGTTTCGGCTTGAATCCATTCTGCTCCGGCGTTACTGTTCGCGCCTTCTTGGTTCTCACGGAAGTCAAAGTATCCTCCGGCGCCTTTCGTTTGTCTGTGAGTCGCAAGTCAGAAGTCAGTTCCATCAGCCTCCACATGGCGGTGAGTGGCACAACATACTTTCGGCCGACAGTGGTGCCATGCTGTGTTAGACTCTGGAGTCCATCCACCACTATCAGATTCTCTTTGCACATACTTTGGAGCACTTGACACGCTGATCGACCAAGTTTCGCCCGCAAGCGGCAAATATTGAATGACGAACGCGGTTAGTGTCGGAACTTGGTGCCACCGACTCGTATAGCTAGACAGGCCTTGGCAGCCTTGGCAGGTACGCACCCAGAACTTCAGTTGCTGTCAATTATTGTAAGGACAGTTTGTTGCGTGCGATTAGGAGGATCTCATGAAGGATATTCATCACTAATCTATTGCTATTACCCGTGTTAACCTTCCTCCGACTATACCCTACATCAATCGCAAATGTCTCTACAAGAAGTTTGGGAGGTGGCTTCCGGAAGTCCCTTCACACCTGTTGTTTCCAAGGATAACCAACTGCTTCTCGGCCTCACTTTGCTTCTAATTGGTATTTCTTTCAAGCAGAGGAGGGTGTGAGGCCTAGCTAACCCTTGCAGCACTGAGCTTTAGCGCACTGTTTGGACTGAGTATGAAGACTAGAGTCCAGCACAACGCCGCATCGCACTGACATTACATAGATCGATCACTTGTTTCGCTTCCATTACTCGGGATACCAGCTTCTCTGGCATTCGGGTAATATGTGCCTCGATCTCCGCCATTGGCAATCCATGCTAATATACACTAGCTTCGGTGCTGTCTACACAATCTGTGGTGTTGGAGTCTACGTCTAAGCCTGCAACCTTGGTATCCTACTCTGCTGCACTCGATCGCAAGATTCGTTTCGAGGAAAGGAGTCATACTTGCGTCTTCCACACCAAGATGCGATAAGAAGAAGACAGCGCCACAACTTCTTTCATTTTCATCGGAGATGGACAACAGCAATAACCCTATTTTTACAGCGGTATCCAGCTCCGTCCGACAAGTCTCCCTCCTACTGCGCTGCATTGGTTTTTCTCCCAAAGCCGAAGTCCAAATCACGACCGACGGACTCCGCTTCTCTGTTGAGGAGTTCCGTGCCGTACAAGGACTTGCATTTCTCGAGCGAAGTCTCTTCTCGTCCTACAGCTTCAATGCATCCTCCGACACCGCTCCATCTTCTCCTAACGAAACAACCTCGTCGCCCAGCTTCCAGATCAACCTGATTGCTTTACTGGAGACTCTCCAAATCTTCGGCCTCTCGGATGCCACCAATTCTTCCTCCCGCAATCCTAACGGCGGCTTCACATCCTCATTTGCTCATAATGCTTTCAACACTCCTGCACTCGCGGCAACCGGCGGGACATGCCGTATATCTTATCCATATCTAGGCGCTCCACTCAGCATTACCATTTCCGAAGCAGGTGTAACAACAACATGTAATCTGAATACGTACGAATCTTCCACCGATGCAGGATTCGATGTCGATGAGTCCATTCCCTTACAAAGAGATGCATTGACCTTGAAGATCATAATGCGAAGTACTTGGCTGTATGATGCAATCACCGAGCTTGCGTCTACCAACCCCACGATGTTGATTCTCACAGCGTCAGGTCATACCACCCCTCTCTTCGCCCTTGAGGGGGCGGGCGGTCCCTTCGGAGACAGCGTAGTTGACTTCCAGCCCGAACCGTCACGAACCCCAAAGTCAGGTCTGAGCTCCAATGGAACAGGAAAAGATGAGAAGGCCAGGGCGCCCTTGGTATCTGAAACCTTCACCGTCCTCTCGGGCTCGGGAACGAGAGGAACGATCCGACAACGTTACAAGTTCGCGCACATTCAGAAAGCGGCACGGGCAATGGATCTGGCTAGCAAAGTTTGCATCCGTTGTGATAGTCAAGGTGTCATGAGTCTTCAATTCATGATTGAGCTCTCCAGGGACGGCATTGGTGTTGGACCAGCCAGAGATGCTGAGCGGCCTAATGGTGGTGGTGGTGGTGGTGCTGCCGCTGCAAGAGTGAGCTTTGTGGACTTTAGATTCGTTCCTCTGATTGATGAAGAGGATGAAGAAGAAGGGTCTGACAAAGAGAATGAAAGCTTCGGCGGGGATATGAATGGCAGTACCGCGTCCGATCAATAAGGAGTATTTATTAAGGCATCTCTGCTCCTTCTCCTATATTGACAGGTACAGGTACAGATGAAGATCATCCACACCAGATCACCGAAAGCCTCCCTCTGCCCAAACCTTGAAAACCTACCCATCACTCATTCACCTCTACATTCACCCCTACCTCTCCTCTGAGTCTGTGACACAAATTTCATATCACACCCCAGATCACTAAAAATGAAGAAGACAAAACCAAATCCCCTCTCCGTGGACCCCGCAGATCAAAGATCAAAATAGTATATTCTCCCTCTAGTGTTGTTGTCTGCATCCCCACTGTATCTGTCCTCAATTGATATAGCTGACTTCACGCGGCCGGTCAGCAGCGTCAAGCTGAGCTCAGTATGTATGGATGACTGACGGAGCAGAGTACTACTTAATTCCTCAGATCCGGCCGAGATGGAGCTGGGAAGGAAAGGGGGCAGGAGGCAGGAGATTGATGTATACCTTATCATGCGAATAGCTCAAGAGACAAGGAAAATCCGCGACTGGGTGATCCCACACATCGAGTTATCGGACCAGGCCTTCGTGGTTCGTGGAATCGCGTCAGCGCTCCTTTTGCTCTCCTGTCCCGTCTCGTCGCTGGTCTCTCTAGTCTAGATGCTGAATGCATGAGATGGATAATGGATAAATAAATCAGTCATCCCAACCTTCAAATTACAACTAAACACGTTTCATCGACTACTGAGACCAGGCGAGCGAGCATGTCATCACTAACCAGTATGCGCCTGCTCAGGTATTGGTTTCCTTACCTGATGGCATGTAACTTACTGAATGATGAGAGAGTCATGGATGCTGATCTTGGTGGTCACTGTAGTCAGCGTGTTGCAGCTGTAATTGTTAGTCAGGTTGGGAGTGGCACGGCGAGCTACAGATGACCAGTAAGTTAGATAAAGAACCACATGCATAATCATTCGGATGCCATGTACAGAGTATTGAGGTTAGCTAGTCAATCAAGGTTTTGGGTGTGACCAGCAGCACCCACAAGATATTCCAACAGTTGAATCTGTGCGTCATGCTTTCAAGCAATTCAGACAGACTACCCATTCTCCCGCTTTTGAGACTTCTAGCTCTCGAATACCCAAATATCCCGCCTGTTCCAACCAATGTCAGGTTCCTCGTCACAGGTCCCTCCCAAATACAATGCGGTCTTCTATCCTATCAGTTCTTCTTCCTGTCCCGACCCCTCTCCTTCTCCCATCCCTCCCAAATCTCCCTCTTCAACTCCCCAATCCTCGTATGCATCTTCCTCAACACCTTCACCTCCTCCGCATCTCGATTTGCCTCTGGCATAGCCATGATCTTTGCATGCAGGGCTTGATACCGCGCGTATTGGATCTTGAAACGTCGAGATTTGGATTTGAGCTGCAGATCTGATTGCAGTTTTGATGTAGAAGGAGGGGAATGTTTGGTGCCGGTGGTGGATGAGGAGGCGTTGGTTGTGGTTGTGTTGACGGTTGAGGCGGAGGATGAGGAAGGTGTGCGGCTTCGTTGAGATGAGGAGGGTGTTGTGATACTTGTGTTATTACGATTATTGGTTTTGTTCTCGGCAGGCGGTTTGTTGATGCGGTTTATAGTGGGGCGCTTGATGTGGTTTCCATTGATTTGTTGGCGTTTAGGTGCAGGAGAGGGATGATCTTCCGCTTTGCGCTTCTGCGCGGTGGAGGTGGGTCTTGGTTCTGAAGTCTTTGATGGAGGTAAGGGTTTTTGGCCTTTAGTATGAGGTGGGCTCATTGCTGGAGAAGAAGTTGCAGAGGAGAGGCTGTTGGTTTTGCTGGATTGCGAGTTGTCGAGGTCGGTCGCATTGGTTGGTGGAGATGATGCAAGAGGAGAGCGCTTCTGTGGTGAGCTGTCAGTTCGCGGTCTTGGAGATGCTTTGTTTGTGGTGCTGTCAGGTCGAGGTCGAGTTAAAGCCGAGTTTGGCATCAAGTTGCTGGTGATTTGGGAAGACGTTTTGAGCGAAGACGTTGGTGGTATGCTGGAGGTAGTAGTAGTAGCGGTAGGCTTGGATGGTTGCTTCATGGTAGATGACCTGGCTTTGGCATCGGGTCCCTTCTTTAATTTAGTAGTGCTTTCAATAGTGGTCTTGACACCCGCGAGTTCTTCGTCAGAGTCTTCAATGACTTCTGATGACTTGAACTTCGCATTCGCCTGAGCTTTTCTTCTCTCCTTTCTCGGAGCGTCTTTACCATGCACTTCCTTTAATTGCTTAGTCGCTTCCTTACGCAAGGTCGAGCTCTTTTCCAGACTTTCATTTGTGTCGCTTCGAGGTTTTGTCTTTGTCGCTGACCCTTTTGCCTTGCCAGCAGGCTTTCCATGGTCTGTATCAGTGTCTGTCACGCTTGGAGGGGCACCTTTACTCAAGCCAGCCTTAGGTGCAACGACATTGAGTCCCGCCTGGGCAATCTTCAACCTTGACAATTCTGAGCCCTTGCCCTTTCCCCGTTCCTTGACTGGCAACAAGGTCTCCCAGATTTGATCACTTGTGTTTATTCTCATACGATCAAATGCCGAGATGGCTCGATCGATTGCGGCTTGACGATCATTTTCACGAGGATACGGAAACTTCCATGGATCAAGCTCACGGTAAGCTTTATCCTTGAGCTCTTGCTTTGCGTTTGCATCTCTCGCATCTTTGACGTATTTGTGCAGGAGCTTCTCGCAATCGTCTTTGGTGGCATGAATTGCTTCGGCAAGAGCTTTAGGTGTGATAGCGTCAACGGCAAGCAAATGCAGAAAAGGGATCTTTATGGCGTTGAGTCTGATTTGGTCCTGACTGACAGAAGCGGGAACGGATCTGGCGATGGGGCCAGGACCATTTGTGGGTGAACCCCCAGCTCCAAGAAATGGGCTAGTAGGGGTGGACCGATGTGTTGTGTTCAGGAAGCGATCTTTGCGAATAGCAGAAGGCTGGGATTGATTGCCTTTTGCTTTTTGGCTCAGTTCCGTCAAATGTCGAAGCTCATCTTTGTCTGTCACTATCCTTGCTTCATTTGATGCCTTTTGCTCCTCGTGAGACTTCAGGCTGTTTTGAAGATTCGCCAGTGCCTCATCTGCCTTTGCAGTGTCCGTTTGTGCCTTTTGGGCTTCGAGTGTATGACTGAGTTTTCCCGAAAAGTAGAAAGTGCTGTCATCGTCGAGGGAACATTGGTACAGTTCGGAAGGGCATAATTCAGGATATGCGGAGACTGGCTGTAACTTTTTGCCGTGCTGCACCGAAACTCGCTTGCCGAAACGAATGCTGATCTTCTCCTTGTTGTGAAAACTCTTCAGTATCTCCTCAGTAGCTCTCTGAGCGAGGTTAAGCCGGATCACTTGAGAGGGAAGGGCAGAGTTGGAAGCAGGACCCCGTTCGGGAGTCCGCAGGAGGACAAGACCATCACTGGGAACAGACAAAGCAGCCATGGTAACAGAGACAATCCTGATATCTGTGGCTGTAGGTTTCAATGTTGAGAAGTTCGGGTGGTGATGGGCTCAGCTTGTGTTGGAAGTGGGGAAGGCTGACAGAGTGAATGAACACCACTCAATAGCCATGTCAGAATTGGCTGTTTGAGTGGTGACAATGCGGGCCAAGGTTACATACAAGTAGCAGGAAATGATTGGGCACTTGAATGCATCGACCTACAGAGAAGTGAATGTCAGAAGTAGGAACAGAACAAAGAATGCAGGTTTAAGGTGACATTACATTGACAGCAAGAGGAAGGGACGGACAGCGGACAAGTGACGAGTGAGCAAGGTGGTAGTGAACACTGAATGGTGGATTCTTACAAGGTGCGTGTGGGGACCTCAAGGTTCCTTGCTGAACAAGGGAAATGAAAGTTTAAAACAATGGGAGCGAACCTCTTTGAGCCAAATTCAGGTGCACTTGCTGGATGCCTAACCGGGCCCAGACTGTAAACGTTCTAGGAACATGCAGGCCAAAACACGCCCTACTGCCCGGGAACTCGGCTGCACTTCCATGTGCTCGATCCCATCCACAACCTACATCCACTTTCCCGAATAATGCGAGCATGACGGCAAGATCTGTCGAGCAAGATGCCTGCCGAAGACAAGATGGACCGACGATCACACACTTCTTTTCTGCATTGGCAGCGTACATGTAGCAGCTGTGTGCATTGTGGCTGGAAGAGCGGGGACACCAGGTCATCTTTCGGGTATCAGACGTGCCACGGATGCCGAACTACTACCCTTGGTTGGGCCAAGCAGTCTCCACATACTTGCAGCTTCTAGCCGAGCCTACATGATCAAAAGATCAAGAAGTACCTGACGGAGAAGTCGCTCAGAGACGGCTTCCAAGGTACTCGGTATGGAAAGGTGATGTGTCATGGTCAGGTGCCCTTTGCTGTTGATTCTCGTGATAATGATGTGACACCTGTAGATCTTCAGAGCTGATCCATCTAAACTTAGCTGAGACCACTGCCAGCTAATTGACGTGGTCGTAAGGAACCCGCCGCCGGAGCTTACTAAGTCAAATTCAAGCGTCCGGAGGTTCCCTTCCCTGTAACTTTTGTGAGTCCACCCTAAGAGCCTCGGCAAGTGCCGCTCCACGTATCAGCAGCCTCTAAATGCGCAACAACTCGATGAGTCTCTACATGAAGAGAGTGTTCATCTCAAGGAATACCAAAGCACATAGAATCGTGTCATAGGCACCAGATATGTCATTAGGTACGTCTCTTACTCTGTGCTGTGGGCTTGGCCATGTCCAGAGGATCGTGCTCCGAGTGGCAGTTTCAGTTGTGCCATGGGATTTGGAAAGCTGCACTGCAACTGGCGTAGCTGACGCCTACAATAGACGAGGAAACGCTCGAACAAGTCGCGAAGGACGGTTCTATGGACTAGTCAGTTTGACGGCTGGATCGCACGAGCGACCGAGAACCACTACTCCAACGGCTTGGTCAGGTTGTTTTCAAATGCATACAGCTTACGGTCATGACGGGCTTGGGCTCACATATGTCTTAGATTGTTCGCAATGATTTCCCTACCCCAACAATACCATCCCCCGACTGGTTACGGCCACGCAATGCCAGCCCGCCAGAGCGGTCTACCACAGACGGCGCAAGTCCCGAATTGACTGCCCAGCCTCGACATCCACAACGACCTCTACCTCCCGTCCCGCCTTTTGACTCCTCTGCGTCGACTTCGAACATTCCTGACTCGGTATCACCATCGCAGGCATGCATCGCAGACTCAGTTCCCGACCTTCTGATCCAGCAGCTAAACTCGATTTTGCGGACTTTACGTGGCACCTTCGCAGACAAACCACCTCATACGATCCAACGACTTGCTGAGCTTGTACTCAACCCTAACAAGCACTATAAGACTCTACCAGCATGGCTCAGAGCAGTGGATCGTGCGGTCTCCGTCACCTCAAAAGCCGATATCTTCCCTCTACCACAAGCGCAATCACTGCCCCAGGGTGTTTTGGATGGCGCCCTTACGAATGGCGTGACGAACGGCCTGGGTAGTGGGACAGGCGGTGGAGGAATCCTTTGGACGAACTCGGACACAAGGGATGCCGGACTGGGGAGTGATGAATCTCTCGGTGGCGCCCTCCTCACTCCAATCCCGTGGCTGAAGAATGGCGAGATTGCAGGCACAACGTCACCAAAGTCGGATCCCTTAGATCCAATTGACAAACCAAGCAATTCGTTCGTGCCTGAACGTCAGGATGGCGCGGTCACGCAGGGTGAGTTGATCAGGATGGAGCAAGAAGCTGGGATCGTGCCCGTCAGTCAGACAATTGGGGAAGGGGGTGTAGATATCGAGAACGAGAGCGCAGAGGCTGTACCGCATGCGCGGGGTCCGGATGTGGTGGGCGTTGAGGACATGGGTTTGCAGGACGGCAAGGATGTTGAAGTGCAGATTAGCAAAGGGTCGGCGAAGGCTGAATCGACAACCATGGAAGATATCAAGCCTGGGCCTGCATTGGATGATGCAGTCATGGCGACGGAAAAGTCGGAGGAAGCAACCCCGACTAATGGTGACGGCGATATCGTGCTTACCGATGCGGACGGGAAGACCGAAGGGAGCGAGCCCAAGGGAGATAGTAAGGATATCGGCCCAGATGGTGTAGATACTTCTGCTCTGTAGAAAGCTCTCTGGCCTCGAGAACGCTGCGAACCAACCCACCTCTGCATCCAGATAGCTCCTACTCCTTAGCTCTCTACACTGCCTCCCGTTGGCATGCCCGCCACATTCCCGCCAACGCTAGTTCGCTTTTTCTCCTTCTTTGCCCATCTTAGCCCGCAAGCATTGCACAAAGTCTTTGGGCCACTTGGTCCTTTTCGCCACTCCGGACTGTCCAAGGTCCCACAATCTGTACAGACATATTCATCGGCCATCTTCAATTTCTTCTTCTTGTCCCCACCACTACTCCCCGCAGCTCCACTGGCCCGCATCCCATCTTTGTCGACAGGAATAGCAATACCAGCATCACCACGGATGAGCGCAGCAGAAGTATCGCCAGTGGAGATGCCTTGACTCCGCTCGCCCTCACCGTAGTGAAGCCCAGTGAGCATTTCGATACCTTCAATATGCGATGCCCCTTCGTACCGCGCCATCTTATCGGTGATACTATCTGGCCGAGAGCTGGCATTTGCTTCGTCAAGATTCTTCTGCGTAAGAGCTGTATTTGAAGCACCCGGCTTGGCAGGCGGGGGCATCCCACCATAAGGACTGTCGCTGAGTTGTCCACCGGAATATGAGGCACTACCTGGGGTCTCAGACTCACGCGACTCTGAAGGCGTAACATTGTCGTGGCCGTTTTGTTTTCGATACATGTGCCTGTTCTGGGCTTCGAGTTCTTCGGCTTCCTCGCGTTTCAAGTCGGCGATGCGGCGGCTAAGACGCTCGTTCTCGATTTTGTGTTCAAGGAATGAGTCTAGCAGGCCGGCGTTTTTGGTGGGGTAAGGACGAGCCATCATGAAAAACCCACGACAGAAGCTGGCCGCATTATTCGAGGGGTAAGCAGCATCTGATGTGAAATGTGGATGTCCGTGTGACTCGAAGATTGTGTAGGTAGCATCTGCTTTCCGAAAGCGATGAAAGAAGCGCAAAGGATTGCCTGTGGCGATGGACTCACTGAACTCGCGAGCAAACATGGCGGTATCATCGGCGTGGATGAATTCGATCATGGGTTTGCCGACCAGCTCGGTAGACTCGTAGCCAGTCAGAGCCTTGACTGAAGAAGAAACATACAAAAGCCGGCGATCTGGTGTGAGAATATACAGGAAGTCTTTTAGTTCTTCCAGTACACGCTGGGACCAGTTTCGTCTTTTGGTAAATTCGGTCAGCGTGCTGCCGCTGTTCAGATTAGTGGAATGTGCACCATAGCCTGTTGGGAGAGGACCAGCCCCTGCACCGGTGATGGGATGTGCGGACGTCTCATTGTCGATGTTTTGTTGTTCGTTCTCCGGGGCAATATCAGAATTCACCTCCACAGAATCCAAAACAGCATCTCCCGCAACCCCAAGGGTCATATCCAAATTCATTGGCATTCCGTCCATATCCATTGTGTCAACAATGCCGTCTCCATTGAGATTTACAAGATCCGCCATTGTGGCATCGTTGGGTAAGGAACCCATATTCTTATCTCTCAGATTGGTACGAGTACTAGACGTCTCTCGAGGCACATCTCTAGGAATCCAACTAACTACAAGAGACTGTGAGCAAGCGGGAACAATGGACGATAGGCGCAAGAGAACTTGATCATGGTAGTTGCTACGGCATGCCGTGGAGATGGGTAGAAAGCGCCGAGATTTGATAGTTGGCTTGGACAAGGAGGTCAATCCACCAACTAGTTGGTAAATTTTGTCGCCACGTGAATTATGTCTTCTTTCATATGTGATTTCAGAATACTCGAGGACAAACTGGGAAATGTTGTGTTAGAAAGATCTCTAGGATGTCATTAATAAGTCCTTAATGGCTACTATTAATTAAATGCATTTCATAGTTTGATCTATTCGGAGACAATGCTGTATTACAGCAACAATATTCCTGTCTCCCAGCGCCCCCACTTACATTACTTTGGCCCGACATCGCAGTAGTAACTACTCTCTATTGGCCCACCTGACACGGAATTCTAGCCCAAGTCAGGTGGACCACATTTGTAAGGTCTTCCCACCAATAACGCCTAAATTTCGATGCTTGCTTACTACTGGTACGCGTTAAATGCTCTTGCTCTACGACACGCCATGCTCTCCAATTTTGGACATATTTGCCGCCTTCGCAGTCAGACGAGCAGGTCGATTGGATACCATATCCATCAACATCCATGGGGCAGTTGCTGGATTCCTGTAACCCACCTGCACATCAACCATTCTACGAACCATGTGCTTTCTTTCGTTGCTTAAAATCAAGGACATAGATGCATTTCTTCAAAAACCCATGGGGCCAGCTTCAGCAAGTCCTTTCCACTCCGATGGTTGAGATAAAGCCAATCTATAGTCCCTCATGATCGGCTCACCCCGTTCAGTTCCTGCGGCACTGGCGAGAAGTGTTTGATACTAGCATAAGACACTCTCCAGTGAGGCAAGTAATGCGACTGCGGTACGGAGTACGAGGCTCCGGACTCCTGAATCTAGGGGCGCATTTGCGTTCCACGGGCATCATATGTCCTACTACATAGTACATGTTCTGCGACTGCGGTTGGCGCACGAGTTTCGGGGTGTCCGTCCAAGAGCCAGCACCTGGAGTTGTACATGCCACCGGAGCCTTTTCCGATGTTTTGTCGGCAGACTAGTTTGGACGTTTTGTGGTGGACGGTTGCAGCCTGCACCCTTGTTTCTCTTGGCAAAAGAAACTGCGACCGTTTGACGAATTTGGCTTATGACACTCTGTGTATCAGCCTCCTGTTATCCCGTCAAGTCCTACCCCACGTCTTCATTCCTTTGACGAGAATCTATCTTATCTAGTGAGACGTTCTTTTATGTAAGCACCGCATCGCTCGGAGAGCTGGGATCGCAAGATTGAGCCGTCCAACGATTCTACGCCAACATCACAGCAATCTCCTCACTCCATGATACTGCAGTGTAACAACGCTTGACTGCAAGGGCGGTCAGGCTACGCCGGGTCAGGCTGTGCCTTGGCGGCCAGAGAGAGATCTCATTGATTGAAAGAATTGTGGTGTCGAGGAATTGATCTCCTACGAACATAGACAATGCAGTGAGAAAGTATTTTATCGATGAGTAAACACGCACACTGGTTGCCCTACATGTTTATCCTTCCTCTTTCTGCCTTTTGCAGTCTTGTCACATCTACTCCACGTGCCGCTCGGCACTTCCATCTTCGTGCATTACTCAATGCATCTACTCCTGTCCCTAGTAGGTAGTACTGGTGTATGTCATGAAACTTCGATCTCTTGATTTCAAACAATCTGAAAACAAGCTATCAAGCGTTATCGCAAATGTTCCACGATAGTCCAAAAGAGGCGAGCTGTATAAAGAGATGGGCAAACATCCTCATAGATTTGTATCAGCTTGTTTTCTCATCCGCCTAATTTATTCCAGCCATAAGATTACCAGTGGTTGACATCTCACACTATCAGCTATTGATATCCCTTCTCTATAATCGATCTTCCCTGCTCGTTTCGCCATAGATCATATCACCGAACCAGACGCTTCATCGCATTTTAATCACTTCTTCTACAAGCAATCTCAAATATGCCGGAGCCTATCCTTATCTCAAGCATTGCTGGAACGGTCATCAGTGCCGCTATCTGTATGTCTGCATCTTGCCTTAAGGCTAAGTTTTGGTCTGACCTGCTCTAGTGCTTACCGTGGGTGGTACGGCTGCGGTTGCGGCCTGGAGATGGGGCGAGCAATCACGCAACATCATTCGAGTGGCCTTTAACAAAGCTAATGAGCATGAAGTTCAATTGTTTGAGAAAGGAATCTTGCACGACACGCCATTTCGACAGCTAGCTGGTCAATATGAAGCTTTATTCGCGTCTTGCTGTTGTGGCAATCCAAAATATCTCAAAGCAGCTCAGCGATTGAGAGTAGCGTTGAGACGAGTTGTCGAGGAAGGCTTGAAGTTGCCGCCCTTCGGTTCCCCCCTCCTCTGTGATGATGAGAGTCCCAGAGCAGCTCACACTCCGATTGAAGAGAGAGATAACTGGGAGATGCTTCATCTAATGCGTCATCCTGACTTTCAAAGGAACGAAGTGATTAAAAGATTACGAGTGGATAGAGGTTGGCGCGATTATTTTCGAACTCTTGAAGCTAGTGAGGGCGATCTCCGAGGTGAACGACCTCCTGAAGCTGGCTTGACTGGACCAGCAGGCCCACCCGCTAGGCGAGCTGATGATGAACGCCACACCGAGAGGGGTGGAGGTTCAAGGCTTACATCACTCGATCTAGGAGGGTTTACAGCGGTAGGAGAGGGTTCAGTTGCGGATGGTGTACCAGTAAGCGTTTTCTCTGGCGATGGTCGAGCTTCGGTGCTGGGATCTCCGGCCGGAGGAGATCGAGCTTCAGGTAGAAGCTTGCATTCTGAAGCATTGGGATCTCCTGCGCCAGGAAGTCGACGTTCCAGGAATCCTACCGGAGCCCCACGCGGAGGGGATCAGCCTTCAGCAGCTCTTACCGGAAGTCGTCGTTCTATGTCTGGAAGTGCCTCTGCGTCCGCAACTGGGGGGGCTTTCTTTTCGAGATCCAGACCGTCCCCCTCTACGGCAGGCGATTCTGAGGGAGGTCTTTCCCGAGTGACTGAAAACAATCAGCCTAGAGGAGGTCCAGCTGCACTATCTCAAACAGATCCTGCAGCACTGGAACCTCTTGCAAGGGACCGTCGTGACGCTATGGCAACCACAAATGCTTGGGTAGCCGCCCCAACAGAATTTTTCGGAGTGGGTCCTTCAGTGAGAAGCAATTCTGGAATTGAATTAGCCCAACAAAGCTCACTGTATGAGAGGCGTCCTTCATCTGAGAGAGCATATCAAGGCAGCTCTTCCGGACTGCAACGTCCTTCTCCACGAGGTCATTCGACGAGGACTTCTTCTGAGATGGAATCTGCCAGAAGGCCCCGGCTTCCACGTATTGAGTCTGCATCTGCAGAAGCCGCTGAAATGGGGTTGTCCGGATTAGGATTTGTTCCGGCGCGCCTCACTTCGATGATTCCCACTTCGGCAACGGGCAACGGTTTGGCAGATCACACTTTGGCGGGTCTCAAATCGGCGGGTCCATCTGCAACAGATCTACCGGGATGGGCACGTTTTAGAAAAGACCAATCCTTGGCGGGATGCTCTCAATCTGAAGTTCAGCCTGTGCTCCAGGAAGCGGTGAACTTAGCACGGGTAGGCTCATCTCCACTACCTCCAATTCAACCAGCTCCACCTCAGGCCGGCCTACCTCAAGCAGGCCCAAGTCACGTTACACCAACACCAGAAGGGCAAACAAGTTATGTGCCCAGCTCAAACTTGGCTGCAAGAGCACGGGCTGAAGAGCCAAGCACACCCACACAGGGACGGATGGCAGCCGCTGGAACGCAAGAAACACCTCACACTAGGAATCGCAATGGACCTCAAGGACTAATACAGCATGCAGCCACCAATGCCGCTCGCCAACTTGAGGAGCAAGAGTCTAGTAGAAGAAGTGCGAGTAGGGCGGGAGTACGAGGTCCCGAAATTCCTGGTCGAGGTCATGAAAATTCAAGAAGAGGCTCGGGGGCATCTTCAGGTGCAGTGGCAACCCGTATCCAAAGAGAAGAAGATGCGGCAAGAGCTAGACAGCAAGCAGGCTCTCCCCTGCTGCCAGTCTCGCCCACGGCAAGTCCAAGTGGCTCAATGGCTCAGAGTCCTGAGCGCCCAGCTGCCCGTCCGGTTGTTTCAACGCTTCAATCGCCGTCCCGGAATTACAGGGCCCCCAGCAGTCAGACAATGGGACGTGGAAAATGAGAACATCTAGGAATATTAGATGATCGCGCGACATGTCAAGATAGATATCACAGCCTAGACCTTGGATTCACTGGCAGGGTTATTTGAGCAGTAGCATGGATACCACTTGATGATGTCCCCAACGTCTGATAACACTGAAAATAGTCATCACCGCTTGGGCTTTCGGTAGAATTGGTCCCATATCGATGTGTGGGGCAGAGATGCCAAAGGGCTTCAACAAGAGTTCTCGAGGAGCGGGTAGAGAGGTATTTGACGCCATACTCCTTGATTAAGCCTTCTCATTGCAGGTGAGAAGATGTCAATGGCCATGGCTTGTCCCTTGTCTGCGCTTATGTTGTGTATCACTGCTGTACTTGTAAGATTGATCCAGCTGTGAGATCATGAAACAGTTTGACGTACGGAGAACCTTGTTACTCCATCATAGTGCTGTGATTTGTTATCGCAAAGCTTGATTGAGATAGCTTCATTCAAATGGGTTGAAAATTTACATTCAATCTAATATAGGCTTAGCTGCTTTGTACAAAATGATGAAGTGGATGAGTGGAATTCTATCTACCTGCAGAATCTGTCTCAAAAGGAGGAGAGGCTAACTACTGCGCAGAGTGCGGTCACGTGAGTGCCAAGGATTTGGCTGTACGCATACCGCCAATTCCAACACAAAAGACGTTTTTGAGTAAAGATACTAGCGCTCAACCAGCAATATACGTAACTACGGAGTACTCCGTAAATACTAGCAATAAAACAATTATCCACGTGACAGCTACAGCGTGAGAATCGATCTCCTTCAAGATCGCGGAGCCATTGCCAAGATCCGGCTGCTGCCTAAAGGCGTGTTTCATGGACAATCACTTCACCTGTTGACTCGGTTGGTTAATGCAACATACCTGTCCGTATATTAATGGCCGTCTCGTATGACAGTACCGTTTTCTAACCTTGAAATTGCCCGTGACCTGTCTTTGTCGCCATGTCAAAAATCGACAAGCTCTCTATCCTTGGAGTCCGGTCTTTTGACAACACGCGAAGTGAGACGATTCAGTTCTATTCACCTCTTACCCTTGTAGTGGGCTTCAATGGATCTGGCAAGACAACGATCATCGAGTGTCTTAAGTATGTTACAACCGGCATTCTCCCGCCCAACAGCAAGGGTGGCGCTTTCATCCACGATCCCAGGCTGGCTGGCGAGCGAGAAGTTCTAGCTCAAGTCAAACTCTCCTTCAAGGCGGCTACTGGAGCGAGAATGGTGGCAACTAGAAGTCTACAGCTTACTGTCAAAAGGCTCACGCGACAGCAGAAGACGTTAGAATGCCAGCTATTGATGATCAAGGAAGGCGAACGGACCGCCATTTCTTCCCGTGTGGCAGAACTAGATCAAATCATCCCTCAGTACCTCGGCGTCGCCACCGCCATTATTGACAATGTTATCTTCTGTCATCAGGACGAAAGCTTGTGGCCGATGAGCGAACCATCAGTCCTGAAGAAGAAATTTGATGAGATCTTCGAAGCTCAGAAATATACCAAAGCTATCGACAACATCAAGCAGCTCCGCAAAAAGCAAAATGAAGAATTGGGCAAGTACAAGATAATGGAGCAGAATGCCAAGGAGTACAAAGTCATGGCAGAGAAAACCCAGAATCGAATGACGAAGCTCCAAGAGGAGATCGAAGCTTTACGCGAAGACGCCATTGAGCTTGATCGACAAATAAATCATGCCGCTGAACTTCAGAAACAGGCACAGACACAGCTTGACAATTATGATTCTGTCTCCAAGTCATTGGAAATCAAACGCAGTGAGGCTGCCACAAGAGAGGAACTCATACAGAGCCTGAAGTCGCGCATGAAAGAAGTGCCGGAGCCTGACGAGTGGTTAGCTTCGTCGCTAGAGCAATTTGATTCTCGCATCGAGCAATATGAGAATCAGCGAGAAGCTCGACTAGGGACGTTCCAAGAGCTTAAGGCTCATCTCGACGCCAAGCAAGGTGAAAAGGACACCAAGCAGACCGAGAAGGGCGAAATTGAGGCAGAAAAGAAGCAGTACGAGAAGCAGGTCCAAAGTAGACGAGATTTAGTGAAAGACGTTTCCCGGCGTCACAACCTGAGGGGCTACGACAATGTTACTGATAGCCATCAGTTTGATGATTTCATGCAGAAATTCAGGAAGATCTCACGAGATCAAACCAATTCCCTGTCCCGCGCTAGAGAGGAGGCCGATGAGAAGAGAAAAAAAGCTCAGATGCTTAAAAATCAACTGGAACAACGGCAGAAGGCGTTGCAAGACAATAAGATTGAAGCCAGGAAGCTTGTAGTCCAGAACGACCGCGAAGGGCAAGAAATACGAAGGAATATAGACAAGATATCAGCCGATGAAGGGTCCAAGGCGGTAATTGAATCCCGTATCGAAGACATCAGCACTCGGCTTCACAAGGCTGAGAATGACGCAAAGGAACCTTCACGTGAGAAAGCTTTGACTGAAGCCCATGCCAATGTTCTCCTGCTTGAGGAAGAATCGAAACATCTGCGGACAGAACTCGTCCAAAGCACCAAACTTTCGGATGAGATGGCGGAGTTGACGCACCTGAAGAAGCTTGTCAAAGACAGCTCCCGTAGTCTAGAGACAATGATCGATGTTCATGGTGACCGAATCAAGGAACTTCTTGGTGGCGACTGGCAGCCAACAACGATCGAGGCTGCATATCAAAATGCACTTCAGTCTCGTAATCGCCAGCTCTCGTCGATAGAACATGAGCAAAATATCGCCTCTCGAGAGCTCGAACAATGCGAATTCAAAGCAAAAACGAACAGCGAGGAAATCGAGAAAAAGGAGAAAAGCTTGTCCGAGTCTAAGCAGAAAGTGCGTGACGCTATTGACGACGAGCCTTCGGAATATGAAGTAATATTACAAGAGCGGCAGAAGACTGTCGATACGGTGCGTGATGACGCTGGCCAGATGGCGGGCCTGAGCAGTTTTATGCAGCAAATCCTAGATGTTGCGAACCAGAAAGGCGCTTGTCGCACTTGCTCGCGACCGTTCCGCACCGAAGCCGAGTTAAACAGGTTCAAGGCCAAGATTGAAGGCCTGGTGAAAAAAGCGCAGACTGACAACCAGGAAGAAGAGATCAAGGAACTCGAGCGAGAGCTGCAAGAGGCTAGAGATTCCGCCATCCATTATGAGATGTGGAAGCAGATATCATCTGAGCTTCCTTCACTGAAAGAGCAGCAAGTACAACTTTCTCGTGATCGAGATAGACTGCTATCACGACTTGAGGAATGTGACAGGAAGCTAGAAGAGCGACAAGAAGCCAAGAAGGAGCTGGAAGCATTGTCTAAAACCGTGCAATCCATTGCCAAGCACGATGCCGATATCAAAAGCAACAAGACAAGGATTGAGCAACTATCAAGCAAACAGTCTCAGACTGAAAGCTTTCACACTATTCATGAGATTCAGGAAATGATGAATGATGCCGAAAGGAAGACAAGAGAAGCCCGCGAAGTGGTTCAGCGGTTGACGAAGGAAGAGGAGTCCTCACGAAACGACATCTCGAGACTCAATTTGGAGCTTGGTCGACTTGAGAGCGATTTGAACACATCGAATTATCAACTTGAAAAGAAAGCCAGCCTTGTCGCGGAATTAGAAAAGCTGAAGAGTGCAACCGCTCGACAACGCGATATCATCAGCAAAGCAGATGACGAGATTGACAGCCTCGACGCTGAGATTGCAAAGGCGCGGGCCAAATATGATGACATTGACGAGAACGCCCGGTCAAAGGAGAAAGACCTCCAAAGCCGGGCTGATGGTATCTCTTCGAATCTCCAGGACCTCAATTATTCGAACAAGATCATCCAGGAATACATTACTGCAGGTGGGCCACACCAACTAGCCAGGGTTCAACGTGAGCTGAAGGTTATTATGGACGAAATCGCACGAGATGAAGCTGAACAAGGCGATCTGACACGAGAGATAAACAAGTTAAAAGAGCAAATCGATCAAAGCGACGCGATGAGGGTGAACTACTCCGACAATCTACAGTATCGACACATGACGAGAGAACTGCAGAAGGTAGAAGCAGAGATTCGCGATCTTGCCACCAGAGCGTCCGACGTCGAAAAGGCACATTTTGACGCGGAAGTGAATCGGCGGAGAAAGGAATGTAATTTCCTATCCGGACAACAAAAAGGGAAGATGGGGGAGATCAAATCCAAGGACAACCAGTTAGCAGAGCTGTTAGCGGATTACGAGACGGATTACAAAGACGCAGCACGAAAGTACAAGGAAGCACACATCAAGACCGAGACCACGAAAGCCGCAGTGGAAGACCTTGGTAGATATGGCAGCGCTCTCGACAGAGCGATCATGACATATCACGCCCTCAAGATGGAAGAGATCAACCGCATCATCGAAGAGCTGTGGCAGCGCACCTACCAAGGCACCGACGTTGACACCATCCTTATTCAGTCCGACAACGAAAACGCCAGAGGCAACCGCAATTACAACTACCGCGTCTCCATGATCAAACAAGACGCGGAGATGGACATGCGAGGACGCTGCAGCGCGGGACAAAAGGTTCTTGCCAGCATCATCATTCGTCTCGCGCTGGCGGAATGCTTCGGCGTTAATTGCGGTCTGATCGCACTCGACGAGCCCACGACGAATCTTGATCGTGATAACATTCGATCTTTAGCAGAGTCGCTGCACGATATCATCAAGCATCGGCAGCAGCAGTCTAACTTTCAGCTGATTATTATCACGCATGACGAGGAGTTCTTGAGGCATATGCAGTGTGGTGATTTCACCGATTACTATTATCGGGTGTCGAGGAACGAGAGGCAGAAATCGATCATCGAAAGGCAGTCCATTGCGGAGGTATTGTAAAAGCCCAACCCCTAAGTTAGTACTGGGAGGAGGGAGAGAGTAAGTCAACTTACTTGCGATTTCTATTCCAATGAATATGGTGCCAGCGCCCATAAGTGCATCTCAAGCTTTATGCTCCTCAGATAAATGAAGGACCATCATGTACGCAGGTTGAAGAAGAATGAGCACTTCAGTAGCCAGTTGCAAGTAGTTGACGATGAAAATCTTCTGCATCAAGTGCTACATTTTTCAACAACGATAGCAGGTTATCGTACTACCATGACATACCTGTAATAGGAAAACACTGGACGCTGTGCAATGTGCCCTCAATTAAACCTTGATGGCGCTTATTTGCACCAGTTGCACATGTACTAGAGCTAGTCTCCAGAGGGCCATACTACGCAGTGGATAGCTATTCTTTGCGCCGTGGTTGCTGCCAGATTTTCTACCATATACCACGTAACTTAGTATTTATCTGACCCCATTTCAGAGAAGTAAACCCTGCTCTGGCGAAGGTGAGGATTGTGAAACCATACCTCTCCGTCCTGTTTCCCCCTTCCCGCCGCCTCCTGAATGCTCAAACGTATCACATTCTGGTAAGAGAGAGGTTTCACAATGATGCGTCAAAGACTTGCTTGCTCATATCCTGTTTGGGGTACATCCATTCTTTTGACTCACGGACCCGTCGATCCTCATTCCCGCCGGAGATGACATAAATTAAACGGTGGGCATGTGGACAGATGTGGTCAATGCGAGACTTTGCAGTCATGCGTAGTAAATATGTACCTCGACCCAATCATCGTCAGACGCCCTCGCTTCGCTTGCTGACAATGGTTGTCGGTTACGCGAAATCAAGCACTTGCGTATCAACGGAACGATAGTGTGTGACGTTGCCACTAAGCAGATAGGCTTTGTCGTCATTTGGGCTCGAGGCGCAAATGGGAAAGGAAAAGTGGATCCTCTGGAAGCTTGGTTGCTACCCAAAGCAGCCTGGGCGAGACATCTGACCCCTCTGAGTGGTCAGGTTCTGAACCTGTGAGCGTTCCTGCTTCTGAGGCTCCGCTTTTGGTGGCGGGAAGATTGGTCTTTGGACCCACCCTGGGGAAAAACGCTGCGCCTCAACCGATGTTCTCAAGGAGTCAACAACAACACCCTGAAACTGGCTCAATCTGGTGTGCTGAATTCTACCCACTCTTCATGAAAGGAGATTGGTATCCGAATCAGGCAGTAGAGAAGGACTGCAATCTTGCCACGAATGTCTTGGAGGTTGCTGGCCACCATTGCTTGTCCTGGAATGGGGATTGTCACTCCCAGCAACGTTCTGGCTGGGCAACTGGCTCCCATGATGAAATTGCTAGCACGGAGCTTGAGTTTGCTCTCTTGGACGGAGTGCTACCGACTCTTATTATTGAGCTTGCATGTCAGACCCACTGCTCGCGTCACGCTCAACATCCTGGTATGTGCGTACATTGGAAACACTCGCTCTATTCTTGACTGTTCTCTGATTATTTTGTATCTGGCATCACCCACCCTTGCGTTCTGAATATTCACTCGTTCATCTTGCCTGTGGTAGAGTCTACTAACCTGCCTGCCACAATTCCTACTTGCTTCTATCCATCCCTCCCCTGGGCTGTCATCATCGTCAATCTTTACGGTAGACGATCTACCTTGACATCAACAAGTTTGCTTAAACATCGTCGGTCGTCTTGCCAGCGAAGTTGGTTACACATTCGACGGGGTATAAGCTTTCACCTGAAGTCTCATTTGACCCATACAAATAGTCTTCACTATGTTATTGAGGAGTATATTGGTGACTGCTGCGTCGATAGCTTCAGTATCTGCGTAAGTGATCCAAGCTGTGCCCGCAGAGTCCTCCAGCTGACGCATTACAGCGCACCGTACTGGAAAAGAGATGTCGCCTTTGACTTCAGCTCGCAGAAGGTCCATGGCACAAATCTCGGCGGCTGGCTGGTATTAGAACCATGGATCACTCCTTCAATCTTCCAAGCCCAAGACGGCTCGGTTGTGGATGAATATACCCTCACGCAGAAAGTGCCAGATGCGGGCAGTATTCTACGGAGACATTGGGATACTTGGGTATCATTAGCAGACTTCCAGAGAATCGCCGGAGCTGGCTTCAATACTGTCCGAATACCGATTGGATATTGGGCTTTCGAGAAATATCCCGGTGACCCCTATATCATGGGAGCACAAGACTATCTTGACAAAGCCATCGATTGGGCTCGGCAGACTGGCCTGAAGGTCTGGATTGATTTACATGGTGTGTGTCACTCAGGCTTCTTCGCACATCAGACTAATCGTCTTGTAGGAGCACCTCTCTCTCAGAACGGTTTCGACAACTCCGGCCAGCGAACCAGCACCCCCGCATGGACATCTGGCGATACCGCCACCTTCACCAACAATGTCATAGCCCAAATTGCCAACAAATACGCCGTTCAGTCCTACCAAGATGTCGTCGTCGCCATCCAACTCCTCAACGAACCCCTTCTCACCAACATTCCCGGCGGCCGTACCGCCACCGAACAATACTACCGCGAGGGCTTCAACAACGTTCGGAAAGTAAGCAACACCCCTGTCGTCTTCCACGACGGGTTCGCCCCCCCACAAAGCTGGAACGGATTCCTCAGTCCCACCGACAACAATGCCCAAAATGTCGTCGTAGACCATCACGAATATCAAATCTTCAACAACGACTTCGCCGCCATGCAGCCCTACGAACACAGACAGTTCGTCTGCAACAACGTCGCCTCCTATAGCCAAAACCGCGATAAATGGCTCGTGATCGGTGAATGGACCGCTGCGATGACGGACTGCGCCGCTGCGCTCAACGGGTATGGTATCGGCGCTCGCTACGACGGTACCTTCCCCGGCTCCACCAGACGCGGGTCCTGCGAGAATGTCAACTTCATCGAGACGTGGAGTCAGACATTCAAGGATGACATGCGTCAATACGTCGAGGCGCAATTGGATGTCTTTGAGCTGTACAGCCAGGGGTGGATCTTTTGGAACTTCAAGACCGAGGCCAGTCCCGAGTGGGATCTGTATCGGCTTTTGGATGTGGGTGTGTTTCCACAGCCGTTGAGCGATAGGAGGTTTGGAAGGGCTTGCTCTTTCTAGCTGGGCGAGCAGGGGGGTTGCTGGACGCGAGACAGCCACTTCCTCGGCTTTTCTCGGTCTTCTCATTTTGTGCTTTTAATACTAGGGGTTTTCCCTTTGATACTGGATATGGGTTGGCATTGCATTGCATTGCATTGCAGGCGTCGCGTCTCCCTTCGTTATGTGGATTGGATGCATTGCATCAACAGCCACACTGAACGGCTAGGCCTGAAGTCCATATCGGATCGGATGGAACAACATAATAATACGGCGTTTTTCCATTTCCTGTACATTCATTCTAGATACTATTCTTCATACACATATAGCTAATACCACAGAAGGCCTCCCTAGCGCTCAGAAACCCCAATGGATCAAAAATCCCCAATCCCGTCTACAGACTCTTCTGCCCATCCATCCGAAAAAAGTCTCACGCTCATGTAGATTATTCAACTTTCCAACTCCCCCGGAAACTCCACCTCTGCTTACCTTTCTGTGCCAGCCAGCCCACAGCAGCCTCTCTCTCTCTCTCTCTCTCTCTCTCTCTCTCTCTCTCTCTCTCTCTCTCTCTCTCTCTCTCTCTCTCTCTCTCTCTCTCTCTCTCTCTCTCTCTCTCTCTCTCTCTCTCTCTCTCTCTCTCTCTCTCTCTCTCTCTCTCTCTCTCTCTCTCTCTCTCTCTCTCTCTCTCTCTCTCTCTCTCTCTCTCTCTCTCTCTCTCTCTCTCTCTCTCTCTCTCTCTCTCTCTCTCTCTCTCTCTCTCTCTCTCTCTCTCTCTCTCTCTCTCTCTCTCTCTCTCTCTCTCTCTCTCTCTCTCTCTCTCTCTCTCTCTCTCTCTCTCTCTCTCTCTCTCTCTCTCTCTCTCTCTCTCTCTCTCTCTCTCTCTCTCTCTCTCTCTCTCTCTCTCTCTCTCTCTCTCTCTCTCTCTCTCTCTCTCTCTCTCTCTCTCTCTCTCTCTCTCTCTCTCTCTCTCTCTCTCTCTCTCTCTCTCTCTCTCTCTCTCTCTCTCTCTCTCTCTCTCTCTCTCTCTCCTCCCCCCCAAACGATGACGAGAAATACTTTCGGATGGAATGAGATGGGATGGATGTGATAGACTAAGTATAATGGAGTGGGCATGGGAGGGAGAGGCAGAGACAGAGAATTGCAGCGCTGAAGGGAGGGGGAATGAAGAGTGAGGAGAATGCAAAGGCCCAGCGAGATGTCGGTCAAGATCGATTGGGGAGTGAAAATGCGGATCAAGGGAAAACGGCTGGGATGGTATTTGGGGATGTGGAAGGTAAAGATGAAGGTGAAGGGGGGCGGTGTGAGGCTTTGCTGACTAGAGCAGGTGAGTTGGTTGGTTGGTTGGATTCTTCCAGTGGGGATACAGCGTTATACGCAGCAGAAGAAGAGATGAGAAACGGTAGGGGGGAACTATGCAGTCAGTCCAGGATGCAGCATCGCCCACACGGCCCGTGGCATGAAATTATCATCAACCAATTTCCAAGGATTGCCATGGAGAGGAGGAGAAGGAAGAAAGAATTACCAACTCCAAGCTATGACTGACGCTGAGACGTCTATACAGCACTATACCCTCCTCTACTGCCCCCTCCGGACACGGTACTAACCACTTTTCTCGACCAGTCTTTGAACAGGTACGGAATATCCCTGATTGTGTCGCCGTGGGGAAGGAGATCCCAACCCCGTGCGCCATAGCGGTTGTAGTTGAGCCAGGATCCGAAGATCAGGTAGGCGGCGATGCCGAGGAAGAGGCTGTAGAGAGAGAGAGAGAGAGAGGTCAGCATCCTGATTCCACACCTGTAGAGCTAGGAGGGAACAAGGTACGTACAGGACGATAAACCAGGTGAAGAAACCCCAATGCTTGCTTGTACCCTCTTTGCCGCTTCCGGAGTCGTCGTCTTCTTCATATGTTGTGCATGCGTATTTTGTTCGCCAGTCCAGCCGCAGGACCTGGTGGTCTTCCTCCTTTTTGTAGCTGACGAACCGAAGGCTGTTGTTGTCGTCATCGTCGTCATCGTCGTCATCTGCTGAATCGTTCCCCTCGTCCGATTCCGCGTTGCGCACTTTGTCGTCCTCGTCATCCTTTCCCTTCTTCTTCTTGACCGGGCTCTTCTCATTGCCGGTCCTTTCGGGGTCACACTGCAAATCAATGATGGCCACTTGCTTCTGTTTCATGTACGTTCCCCCATGTAGTTCTAGTCTCAGGCCTGTCATATCCGAACCGGAAATATCCTCAAGCCTCTCGATTATCGGATCCAAATTCGTGCCTGTGCTCGTTGCAAAGCTTCCCGCTATCGGAATAACTTCGTCGACGTGCGGCTTGTCGTCATCATTGCGATTGAATGTTGTTTTCACCCCGCATACTATCATCGACGAGTTAGCAAATAGCTCTTCTTCGCAAGTACGCTGGATGATGGCCTACCATAGCTTCCACTAGGACATTGATCACCGGCTGGGACCTCTTTGTCCTTCTTCAATGTGCCGCAGAGATCAACGGCCCATGTGGTGTTGTGTATTGATGGAGGAGAATGCTCTATCACCGAGACTGTATGCGGTCCTCCAATCTTTTCAAAGTTGTACTTCTTCCCCTTGACGCGGATATGACTACATTCGAAGGTGAGGGCGGTTGAGAGGGAGGGTAGGAGTAAGGATGCAGCGAGGAAGAAGCATGCTGACGGTTTCATGGTCCGAAGAAGCGTGTCACGAGAGTATGTAAGAGAGGATGGACGATGATTTGGGGCGGCGCAAAGGGCAACAGATAAAGAGTATGATATAAAGAGCGACGGGAAGCAGAATAATCAGATGGTATGAAAGACAGCAAGAAGAGTGCACGTGTGGCTGTCGCTGTCGCTGTCGCCTAATTAGATCAGTTGTAAAACAGTAAGATGACTGTGTAGGAGGATGACCCCAAACCTGCCGGGTCAGCCAGCGGAATCAACCGGATCCAATCGCGGAGCTCCATCGCTTTTTCTGCAGTTCAATCACCCATCCAACTACTCTAACATACTACAGCTACAGAGCGCCTTCAAGTCTCTTACCTACAATGACAGGGCTGTTCTGACATTAGTTCAAAGTCCACACTTGACGAACAATGCCTCGAAAGCCAAAATCTTCCGCCAAATCTACTCCCAAGCCCTCCGACTCATATCCCAATCCACTCCCCCTTTCTCTGCAATCACATCCGCCAATCCCCATATCGAACAACCAAACATCCTCCGACGCCTCCTATGACACTCAACTTGCGGAATGGACAGCAAAGAACGCTCGAGCAAAAGCAATAATCATGTCGACCCTGGTACCCGGTTCGGAGCCATGGCAGATTGCAGAACCTCTGGAATACGCTGCCGATATCTGGAAGGCATTAGAGGAGAAGTACGGGCCGAACAGTGAGAAGAAGGGCTTTGATGCGAAAGACGTCGTTCACGACGAGGATGATGATGGACAGGCTACAGATGGCGGGTGGCAGGAGAAGTTGCCCGGTGACCCGCCAGCAGCGCCCAAGGATAGCCTGGCACAAGAGGTGTCGGAAGGTCTGCAGGAAGTCGCTGAACTCTGGACCCATGAGCGCGAGCAGGAGCAAGCGCAAGCTAGGACAAGATGCGCGGCAGAGGGTACACAATCGGCGGAGGAGAAGAGGAAGTGGAATGATGACTCGATGCGGGATCAACGCTTTCTATGGGCACTATTGAATGGTGGCAAGGAGGAAGAGCTGATTCGCACCTATGAGACGAAAAATCATGGGTGAGGGAGCTGGTGGTTGAGAATGCGTCAGCTTATGAGGTTTCAGGACAATTCTACCCTGAACGAGCAAAAAAACTTTGCCAGCTGATCGGTGACTTGTCAACGTGGTCCTCGTGCAAAGGCATCACGATGCAGCCCAGCAGCCGAGACACACGAGCGGTCTTACCATTTCCCCATCCTGAAGTATGTGACAGTGTGGCACAATGCCAACGTTGCAGATACTCCACCCCTCGTTCTGCCGGAGAAGTGCTGTCTTGGTTTGCCAGTGGCCTTACAGCTACGAGCCCGGCCTGACACAGTCTACCAATAACTTGAGGAACGATGGGGTTCCAGTCCTCAATTACCGCAGAATCGGTGCGCATTTCCCATGTCTTGTAGTTGGCTGAGATGGTGTCTGCAAAGGAATGGAAAATCGCAAAGCAAAGACCAGCCAGTCAAGCCCACTCATCCCATCTCGATGTGCGGAAAGCGACAATATAGCGGAGAGATCGGAGGCGATTGGTTTGCCATCCACTTGGAAAGCTCAAGCGTCATCCGGTCGAGGAGGAAGCCAATCCCCTGATCCTTGATTCACGCTGCGACACCTGCAACGGAGCCGGCCGCTTATGAGAAGAGAGAGTTACCTTCACATAGGAGCGAGATGCAGGGTCACTGCAGTTATGGACAAACGTACATCATCTCCCTTCGCCTGGCTAGCAAGAACGCGAGAAGTAGATAGGTATTGATCGGACCAGGTGTGGATAGGAGATAGAGCATCAAGCACGACGACGATCAGGACCAGTATGCGATGTCCAAGCACAACGCGATCTGTCTCCTCCCTCGTCCGTTCGTTCCATCGGAGTCATCAAACACGCCTTTGGGCCGAGTCCAGTTTTATATCCATCCCCGCCGTCCACCAATCCCATGCGTAAACATCATCGACCCTCCTCGGTACACTGCGCAATTCACGTCCAACCCCTTTATCCTGCAGGCTGAGGGTGATTCAGGCACAAGCCCGACCCATCGATCCAGAACCACCCAACTCCAGCCCATGGCCAACTCAATCCATATTCGCAAGACCAACCAAATCCCGTTCACATCCAACCATTGACAAGCCATCTCTTCGCCTGCCCCTTCGGCCCCGCATCTCCGTCCCCTTCACTCCCACCACCGCCCATCCCATCCCACCCTACATTCCTCGCCCCTTCCAAGATCTCCCCCGTAACCGCCCCCCGCTGCGCCAACTCCCTCAACTCTCTCCCCAGCGCATTCAAAATAATCGTACTCCTGCCCAGCCGGGGACAAAACACCACCTCGAACCCGCCTCCGCTGGGGATGATGAACGTCGAACTCTGATCATCAAACGCGTAGCTATAAGCGTCGGGACAGATCTTCTTGGCTTGGGTGGAGTAGAGACTGGGGCGACAGGTGTTGGCGTTGTTGTAGCGGCCGGTGCAGCAATCCTTGGGGGAGGAGTATTTGGCACAGGTAGAGAAGCAGGGGTTGAATGCGGGGCGGGGGATGGTGGAATCCGGGTACGGGTAGATGCCGTCGGTGGGTTGGAGGGGAGGGGAGAGTTGGAGGTCCCATGGGCACCAGGATAAGAGGGTGGACGGGGTGAGGGTCTGCTCCAGCGGGAGAGGGTAGGTGGTGTTGGTGCCGAAGTTGGTGGTGGAGTCTTTTGCTGCTGACCCCGTAGGGGAGAGGAGGGTGGAGGTGCCGATGCAGATTGGGTTGGTGAGGTTTGGGGGGATGTTGCTTAGATCGGTGTTGTTCGTGGTGCTGGATAGGAGGGAGAGAATTCCTAAGGGCAGATTGTAGCCATCGACCAGGGAGATGTCGTAGTAGCTTTGTGAGGAGCCGGTTTCCAGGGTGAATTCTGCGAGGGAGGCCGGCGGGTGGCCAGAGCCTCGACACGCGAGCGTGCCGGGTGGTGGAGTCTTTTGCTGCTGCCCCCGTAGGGGAGAGGAGGGTGGAGGTGCCGATGCAGATTGGGTTGGTGAGGTTTGGGGGGATGTTGCTTAGATCGGTGTTGTTCGTGGTGCTGGATAGGAGGGAGAGAATTCCTAAGGGCAGATTGTAGCCATCGACCAGGGAGATGTCGTAGTAGCTTTGTGAGGAGCCGGTTTCCAGGGTGAATTCTGCGAGGGAGGCCGGCGGGTGGCCAGAGCCTCGACACGCGAGCGTGCCGCCGCAGTCGCCGGTTGAGCAGGCTTGGCCCGGTGCGTTATTGGCCGGTGCGGTGCCCTGGCTGTTGAAGCTGCAGTTGGTTCGTCCCCATACGCGCCCTTGCCAGTCCGCGCTGACTGACTGGGCATTGCTGCTGCCGGGAGTCAAGCGGAAGCCAGTCGATGGTGGTCCGGTGCCTGCTTGAGTTTGGATGGCAGGGTAAATGTCTTGGTCGCAGTCGTTTGTGATGCGCAGAGGAACATTGGAGTTGCGTTTATTGACCCAATGCAGAGGAGGTCTGTTCATGTGATGCTCTGCAATGGCGTGGTATTTGGGAGTCAAAGTCAGAGCGAACAGAAATAATAAGAGCAACCTCATAGCAGCGCGTTTGTGAGGTCGCACCGCTTTCCCAATCACAGTAGGCGCACCAAATGACGTCTATCCATTCGGTTAATCGAATAGGAATATCAATAGTGGCTGAAGACAATTCATCCTTCAACAACGAGTGGTGGTAGTAATATGTATGGGGGTTCAATGACTGGGAAATGAAAACAGAGGAGAGTGTGAAGAGCAACGAGCAGCGTTCTGATGGCGGCTGGTTTGCGACTTCCGAGTCTGATGGCATGTCTTTCCTTTTGCGAAAAACAACATGGATTGGTGGCTTGACATGACACACTGCAAGGGATCGATGCCAGCCAAGCAGTCCGACCCAGCTTCCCCTTGATTATTCTATCCGAACGTGCTGAAGGTGATAACTTGAGGGGACATAACCTTCGTGCCAAAAAGGTAGCAAGCTACAAGACGTGTTGATGACTTGAGACTTTCGCTTTCTTATGTAGCTGCAGCTCTCGTCTGGACTTCGCTCAAGGGTCTATCAACACGTGACTGCTCCAGCTCGACCCAGATTGTGCTCTTTGTAAATGAGATGGCACTGCACGAGTGATCATGCGCTTCTGCCGTCAGCACTTGCTCCTGTCGCCAGACCTTCTCTGACTAGGGCAAGGTAGGGCGAGTGCAAATTCACATCCAATCCCTCAGCTGGCATGACTTGTAGCCGAATAATTTATCTCAGCAAAAAAGGATGGTTCTAAGACCGCATCATCCCTCGTTCAAGGTAGCTCATAGATTTGGCGATGTTGACGCACGCCAGATCCGCCTCGATGGCCTGGCATGTCCCGCGACGGCGAGTTGGAGACAGACATTGTTTCTGAGCGTGTCCAACCTCTAAGCTCCCTAATAGATGCTAATTCGTGCTGAACGTCAATTGGGGAAGCAAGCTCGTACGTAAGAGTAGAAACGACTTGGCTTGGGAGCTCACTGTGATAGAGTCGTTTGCCTGCGAGTTCGGCTTTCTTCCAATGGCTTGATAGCTCGGGAGCTGCCTTAGCAGGTTTCTCTTGCCGATTGCGCTGAACACAGAGCGATATGCGGATCACGAAGAGAAGAACCACGATGATGCCGCCACTGATGGTACAGATGATGACTGTTCGAGACCACACGCTTGTCGAATGAACGTTCTGAACCGTATCATCGGGTCCATCGGAGATGCCCTCGGGCGGGTTAATAGTGACTAGATGTGGCTCAACGTTGTAGTCGGGGAAAACAGCCGGAAACAATCTGAAAGCGTCACGATCATAATCCGCAATCACGTAAGCTGCTTGCAAAAACGTTCTACCCTAGTGTGTATTGTGTCTCGTTCGCGGCCTGTTTTAGGGGGAAATAGTGCACAGCCTCATTCAAACCGGCGAAAGGTGGTTTGGCTTTGAGATCAAATGCGGCATATGGAAACGTTTTGTCAAGGTGGTCGTCCGTGCGTTGCAGCGAGCCAGTGCTCAGAGTAAAGGTGATGGTGGCATTTTTCTCAAGGAGAATCGAGCGTTGCGTTTTATTTAGGATATAGAGCTCATATCTTGAGTCCCAAACAAGTCCAAACGCGGATTCGAAATTCTTGCAAGCTGAGATTGGAAGCCAGATCTGCGAGACGATAGAGTCCAGAGCAGCAACAATAGGCATATCCAGAAGTTTCGTTGATCCACCTTTAATATCTTTAATACCAAGCCGCATTGGCTGATAGGTGTCCTGAACCCCGTGAATCGTCAAATTCTTTGATGCATCCATTCGTGTTGAGTCATAGCCACCCAAGGTGAGGCTGCCAAAATCTCTGGCAGGGAATAACTGATAGGACGCTCCTGCAGTATAGCCGTACGAATTGCTAGAGACGTTGTTACCCTTCTTGAGAGTCCCCAATAAGCTCAGATACTGGTCAGTATAGTCTGAGATATTGACCAACGAGGGCGACAACCCCAGAGCACCAAGGTAGAAATCCTCCGTGTCGTACCCAACCACGACTTGATGTGGAAGACTTACACCACCGTTATCGTTCGAACCGACTGCGACATTTTCGAGTCCATAATTAGCAGCTCCACTAAATGGTAGATAATGCTCAGGATTGAGAGGCAATTGGAACAGTCCCTTGTCCACCCATGTCGACGACTGGTCGGACGTGAAAATGTTCCCACGATCTGACCAGCAGGTATTTGGAGATGAGTTCGGACAAGCTCGTGGTAACACCACCCATATAGTATTTCCTGTAATAGAAGGCAGGAGTCTCACCATCTGCGGAGGTGTTCCGATGTGTAGACTGAAGGTGGTCCAACACCCGTCGATTCCATCACTATCAAGTACAGTAGAAGTCAGATGAGCGTGGGGATCTGGGAATCGGTAGGCTCCTGGTGGAATGAGGGTTCGTACCAATTAGGACTGGGAGCAAAGCTTAAAGGGGTCACAGAAGAAGTGTCGATGGCGCAAAGCACCTGTCGACCGCTTGAACAGAAAATCGCCGAAAGAGTGGCAAACTTTTTTAAGCGCATTCTCATATGTCAAAGCGACGGTGTATGCGGTGCTCTCGTAGAGCATATTGAGTTTTCGCAGACATGAAGCGCAAAGACTTCAGACCCATTTATGAGAAGTACATCGATCCAGCCCAGAGCTCTCTTACGCGGCCTGAGCCAGGATAAGTTGTCAACAAGGCTCAGTCCGCTCTGAATCTATGGCTTGGATCTGTCATCATAAAAGGTTCATCCCGAACAGGATGCATGATCGAGAGCAGCACACGACTAAAGATCCCCTCTAGACAGCATGTTGGATGGATGGGAGATTGTTGTGCAACCAACATCGTCTATTGATGCCTTCGAATCTGCATCTGGCCTGATCAGAGTGTTGCTCGTCCGTGGAAATCCTGTCTTCATCGAGACTGTATTTGCAATGTAGTTTCAGTGTGATAGTGGGAGAACAGAGACGCATAATGTGGGGTCTGGGAAAACAACAAGCACCGAGACGCTGTGCTACTGTGCATTGCGAAACTCTTGCAGAAATTTGGAGGTTGTACGGAGTTGCTGCGGCGGCGTTGTCAGACAGAAACAGCTGACGTGGACTCAATAAATAGATTTATTCGGTATACTCTATATGGAAAAGATGTTGTGCTTCTTCTGATTAGTGATATAGATGTTAGATATGCAGGAATCTTCTTAAAGAAGTAGAATCTGCTCTGTAAGTTGTCAGCTCTATCAAGTAGAGTCCATACTACTATTTATCTATATCAAAAGAACCAGACGAAGCTCTGCTTCATATTGGTGTATTATTTTTATTCATATAATACAAATCCAAAGAAGATCCTCAAGAGCTGTTTCTGTTTGACAACGCCAAGGATTTGCAGGAGTTTCGCAATGCACAGTAGCTCGGCAAGAACTTTCCCGCTGACCTTCCAGCCTTTCTTGGCAACAATACGCGAGTGAGTATGTCCCAGAGATGCTACCTATATGGAATTATGGACCAATTGTACGGCCCGTACCAGGTTCTCAGCAGGGCTGATTCGGCAAAATATGCGTTTGTGTGCAGAGACCCTGCTGGCAGGGGGCTCAGATTTCATGCCTTGCATGGTTTTCAATGCCCCAGTCATTGCCTCAGAACGACGAACAGAACAAGGTCGTAGAGCTGTTTGTCATAAATTGGTTATGTTGCAGCTGGCTCTATGGTTCGTGATGGTGTAATCCCAACCGAGCGAAACTATGCCTGCGTAAAGCGCATGGACTTGGCTCCTTCAGGCTGCGTGGCTGCGTGGCTGCGTGGACACCCATGTCCCAAGATCTTGGTGTTGTTCTATAGCAGTACCAACGTTTTCTTCCTATATCTAATGGCTTTCTCATGGCCCCATATGTATCTCTTGCTACGTACCATAGTAATCCAGCCCAGTATCGTCTTTCTTGGGTGTTGAACGGCGGTTCTTGTTCTTTTTGAAGCGACTATTTTTCAGCAACTTTCTATTTCTGTTGGGAAGACAGCTCAATTGTTCTGATAAAATGCTCCCATTCGAGCTCATTTACATGCTGGGCTTTCTGCTTACGAATTGCGTATCTCTTACCTCTAGTGAGTTTCACCACCCAGACATAGCACCAAAAATGTTGTTTACCTTTAACACGTTAGCAGGCATGTATATCAATGCACAAGCATCGACCCAGACGCCAAACGGTACCTCCCAAGGAGCGCTTCGTCCTTCCACAAACTTGAGCGTTGGCGAAGTCAGAACGAAGTCAGAGGGAGAGGTTGGTTACGCCATACGTACGCCGACATTTGACCCTACCCTGACAATCCCAACTGCCACCGGTGTGCTACTACCAAAGCACAATACGCCATTCCAAGGTGCATCAAGAGTGTAGCTAGTACGATGCGGTGCTCTACCACAACTCAGTGCCGGGCTCTCGAGGCTAGACAGCCATTACTATTGAATGAAAGTGGTAGTGCTCATAGCACTTCCACTGACATATTAACCTTCGTCACGGGCACCACCACCATATCACATCTTGATAGCGTCACTAGCAGCCGTATAGAGACCGCATATCGTCCGACAAAGACATTGATCTTGGTTGACCACTTTAAGATATCCGGGACTGGTGAGGTGTCTCTACCAATTGAGACACCTCACCATCTGATCCTTTCACCCTATACGGCCACAAGGCTTACAAAATTCGGACCGGTCAATACCCACCGACCACGGAAACCAACGACAAACGACGACGAGATCGACTCACCAGTACCCACTGCTACGTCGACGGCCATTACTAAAGAAAATATGCCTTCGTCCATGCAGACTAAGTTGACCAAGTTCCTTCCCTTCACCAAAGTCACAGCCCGAACTAGAACATTCTCACTAAGAATTGGCAGCTCAATCTCACATACTGCTATACCTACGGCCGTCACACGCTCTCCCTCAGCACCAGGAGTTATACTCCGTAATTCATCTCAGTCCATGATTTTCACGGCTTGCCAAATACATTCTTCAAACCCTGTACCAAAGACAACGGAGTGGGAAGGCGCAGCTTCAAACTACACAAAGGCTGAGCGTGATCAAAATGGAGCGTGACGCCGGCACTGGGCATCAACGTGGATCCAAACCCAGGAGCCCGATCACTGCAACAAAGACGGACATGGTAGTTGACGGAAAAGATCACATCAGCTGTGTCGGATCTGTTCCGCATTGCAGTGAAAGCGCCACGTTGGATGGCACTTCAAGCCCAAGGCAACCACGATCTACGCCCTTGGAATCGGCCGTCCCGAGACAATGAATGCCACGCTAAGGAGGAGCGTCATTGACATCCTACCAGAGCAGAACCAAGAGTATTCATGTTCATATTCATAATTCCTTGGCCTGCTCTTCAAGACTGATGATGATGGAAGGATATTTCAGAGAGCGAGTAAGTAAAGGGATGCGCATCTTTATAGAATAGATCTCGACAAATTACTATTAGACTCAACCTATTACCTTTTATAGATCTTATGTATGGTCTTCTCCTTTCGGCCTCACCCTTGAGCATTGCTTGCTGGTTTGCATTGGACACGATCGATTGATCTTGACGTAGCTTAGTCATCTGAGTCACAAGGCGAGCCCGGAAGCATGCTGAAGGATGGGGCCAGTCAGTGGGGATCACACCAATTAAGTGTGATTCGAAAACCCCCACGCGCTGCTCTTTGGGTGGAGTAGTGGATGTGTCACTTTCTCTGGAACAAGCAGGTAAAAGAAGCTACTGGCGGAGAATTATTGCCGCGTGGCGAACGTACAATTGGACGTCCGCCAATTCTCGAGGAGCTGCCACAGTCGACAAGGAGTAGAAACATGCCGGCTTGTGGAGAAGAGGGGATGAAGTTTCGAATGAACGGGATTGTGTAACCTGAAACGTCGAGGCAGCGAGGAGAAATTCCGGTTGGTCTGCCGCGCATCGCTTGGCTACCGGCGCCCCTCTCAGCCTGCATTTGTCGTGCATTTGACCTGAAGATCCAATCAGCTTGCGTTTTCGTGTATTTTTTGATTTGACGATCCAAAAAAGAAATAGCCGAGCTTGGTAGGACGTCGTAGGGTAGACCGTGCGCCTACCCGACCCATTTCACCCACCTTCTTCTCTTTGCTTACCTCGGTGCTCCAATCACCTAGGACTCGGCAGTTCGGAGTCAGGGATATGAGTAGGAGGCACATGGTGTGCCGAGAAAGGAAACGACCCGTGATATATGGTTGGCAGAGAACCTGGGCCACAAACTGAAACCTTGGGCCTATGTTGGAACATCCGATGCCAGGCGAGTATGGATGTGAACGCGAACAATGAGTATGAAGGGCTGTGCTGAACGGCAAGCCATCCGGTATCAAATGCACCCTGGACTGAATTTTGGTACCCAGAATGCTAACATCCCTGTCATTAATATGATTATTGCGCTGCCAAGAGCTTGGTCTCGGGTGTTGCCTCTTTCATTGACAGCGTGTGGGTTTGACAACACCATTATGGGTATGACGAGGGCAAAATATAGGAGGGGTCTCTTGTGAGCTTAGACGTAGCATGGTCATGCTACCTCCAGGATCTTTATGGACGGACGACTTCGGATGTGGCTTGTGATGGTAGCCGATCATGGACGTAGTACGATGGGTTGTAGCAATGCTCGTTGCTCTTACGACCACGATCCGAGCCAGGAGTTTGGATCAATGGATATGCGACGTTTGATCCACATTCTTAGATACAGCAGTCTCTTCCCAGGTAGATTTGGATCGAGATGAAGGCAGTCTGATTGTAAAAACTAAGTCAGCAACGGGGGTCTCGTGGGTCATATTGTCTGATATGGAGGCTGAGAACCAACACATTAAGCGAGACTGTACAAGGACCTCCATTTCCACTCCATGAGTCCCAAAGCCCGGCCATAACCGGTTGAGACCCGCTGCTTCTTCAACCGCCTCGAATGAAACGTCACCGAAAGATAAGTCTATTCTCACTGTGTAGTAAAAAAACGCTGATCAGCCGAGGCCACAACAGACCCCGGGCGAGAAAATCTTGAGGGTGTGTTGATGCATCGAAAAACTAGGCAGACACAGAAAAAGGACACAATGACAACGAGCGAGGACAAGCTGATTACCCTCTTCGCGAGCGCATGGAGCAGATCTGATGCCCGCTGGTGCCAGGTTCTGGGTGTGTAGATTCGAGTCTGGACGCTGGGTTTATGTTCTGGCGTCAGACAATATCAGGATGATGAGCAGGATGCAAGAATCAGGTGCGGAGAAAGCGATGATGATATTCCAGGCCATCTCGTTAATTGTGTTGGCTCGCGCAAGAGCTGTTACATCATCCCCCTCACCCACTCAGGTGTACTACTTCAAATGACGAGATTGCACATGCTTCATCATTACACGACTTGAAATATTCGCCTGATAGATCGAACAGCACAAGGAATCCGCTAGTTAGTGAAAGAGGGGAAAGAGAGGTAGCGGAGCAGGAAGGCGACATGGAGATGTGCAGACACGCTAGACTTCAGAGACAGCTTTGGAAACCCAGGCCAGAGCGTGGAGCAAACCCGTCCACTCGCTATTGCGTACTAAGAGATATCACCACCTAGCGGGACACCATAAGCATCACGTTCAAATGTGGTAGCTGAAAGCCTATAAAGTAGAGCACGGTGTGCATAAACCCATGGACATACCCAGCAGGTAAAGCCAGCTTTTAGTTAGTAAAATGCTTCGCTCGGAAACAAGCCCATCCACCTAGCCCAAGATAGCGCTGCCTGCCCGCAACAAGGCGTGCTACTGTTCTGCACCTTGGTCTGGTGATAGGCTGCCATTGTCCCACACCAAATCCTTAACCGTCGCACATTGTAGATGGAGTGAAGAGCGGCCATGACAGCGGGCAACCGTGTGCCCTGCTACATTAGCACTCGGGTAGGTGCTCCAGTGACATATCACATCGCAGATAGCTCGGAAGACGCCGGGCGAAACGAAACCCAGCGCAAACAGGGAGGACAAAAAGGCAGGGGACTGAGTCACCGTAGCACAGTGATTGATCAGGCAAGCACCTCGCCAACTAGTTAGCGGTAGATCGACACGAGAAGATGACGGTTACCAGCCTTCAGAATTTATATCAGAAGTCGCCTCTGTGGATATGCGGTCTTCGGTGAAATACCGATTGTCCGCATTCAAGCAGACTCGTGAACCTATCCTGCCGGAAACACTCTTAGTAAACGCATTCGCTTCTTTGGGTTGTCCAGGAAGAACAAATACAGCCCTGAACCATTGAACATGGAAAGAACCAAAAACAAATAGATCTGTAGAGGCGAAGCGCGCTGTGCAGGGGTCTTTTCCCATCGTGTATTCCATGAACAGGTAAGGAGGCGATGGATACTCGGAGATTGCTGCCCTGCCTGATGCCCACAATATCGGGACTCTTCAATTCAGGACTGAGAGGAAAGCCGTGACGGACACGGTCTACTCCGTATAGTGATTTAAGTGGAGCTCTGCCATGTTTGGGCACGTGGTAATTTCGGGGATGCCTGAATCTCAAAGAGGACAGGGAGCCTGACAGGAATCATGAATGCTCCTGTACTGATATTCGAGTAGTGCCATTGCAGGCAGTAGGGGTGGGATTACAATGGGTGCTACAGTAGGCTAGAGAGGTTAGGGCAAGGAGCCGGCCCATCAATATTCGCTAGTAGGAATCTGCTTTTAGCGTCAATAGTGCAGGTCTCTAAGCAATTTGAGCATTAGGGACGGCTAAATTTTTGGCCCCCAGCCGTTGAAATGCTGGATGACCGATAACCGAAAACAAATGACCCCGGCACAGGTGGAACAAAAGCCCCGAATCTGGAAGGTGGCGCAGGAACCGGCAGTTTGAGGTCTGTGATTAGCGGCTCGGCACGGAAGAGCCGGCGCTGTCACTCTCATGATGCTGCCATGTTGAGCGTCTAGTCCGGTTCAGATCCACTCATTTGGAGAACCTTTCTGTTACTAAGTTATCTACGAGTACTAGAGCCTGCAGCACTCGTTAAAACATTCCCAGAATGCCCGCGGTTCAGTCACATGATCTCATGTAACATTGAAACTGTGGGGGTGAAGTCGAGCCGCAGACTGACTGATCTCAATACGGGGGTGACTAGCATGGCCGGGACAGGAATCCGAGGCAGGCCAGATGCAATCGGTAAGGGTCCTGCGGTGAGGTCCTGAATATTAAGGAGCTCTTGTCCCAAACAAGACGGCGGCCGCAGGAAAGTCCTCAGCACAAGGGTAAAGTATCATTGAGCCATTGTACCTACTAAGTACGTAGGGATCGAAGCGCTGCTCGCAGATCACACTGCATATGGCTACTAGTAGCTCCTCAGGAGGCTACGCCGTTTGCCTTGCCTTGCTACCTGGTTGGGAGCTCACGGGCGCCCAAATCAATGCGAGTAGAGGTGGTTTAACCAGGAAACCCGAAACTTCGCAACAAAAGCTCTCTATGTTCATAGAGAGTCCGTAAAAAGTAAACACTCAGCCGTGCAACCACATTTGCAAACCGGTGCCGCTACTTCGGGCCTTTCAAAAGGAAAAGGCCAGCTCTATCCTCCAAAACTCTGCTTCCTGGGGTATCATATTGTAAAATTGAAAATGAGATCGAGACATCTGTGCCACCCTTGGCGATCTGCACAGTGAAGAAATGACAAAGGATAAAAGAAATAATAATCTGTGCGCAGCCACCAAGTCTCCTGTTGTATTGATTCACCTTCGGCGCCAGCATCGTCGAGACTAAATGATGTTTGCAATCGTCATTCGTGAGGTGTCGCTTGGCGGGCTGACTGATGCTTGTTGCTGAGGTGCCGTCTGGGCTTTTCGCCGCTGGCTTTGGTGTCGTTCATGTAGAAATTGGACACGGCTTTCCACCTGGTCCCAGCCTCCCCAATCTTGTGCTTCCAAGTCGGTAAGCCCAAGACTGTCGATCTTGTTGATTGGACTAGACTGCGTCTGATCGTATGACGACAGTCCTGGTGCACTCTTTGCGAGGTTGCCCGAGTCCAGACCCGTCTCTCTTGCTTGCCAAACCCAGCTGGTATCTGGGTTGGATTGTAAGTCGCCCGAAACATACGCAATTATCTCCTCGTCGTCGTCAAAATCCCCAGAGTGCCCTTGTTGTAGTCGAGAATATAGCACTCGGAGGAAGAACTCCAAGTGTCGACCACAGCATAGATTGACTCGTCGAGCTCCCCCAATGACAGAAGCTGCTTGGACCAAGGCAATTGCCGGACGATACTCGGCACGGAACAACAGAAACAACAAGCACCGCCATATGTGCACACAAAGTAATGTCGATGCAGATGCCGCTAACAAGCGGGACCGTTCAGTCAGCTCGTGCTCGGGGTACAAGGCAGGATCGAGACACCGTGCTATTGTTGAGGCAGAATCTCGAGCAACCATGACACATTTGTCTATCGCCTGCAATCGCAGATCAGGAGGGCTCACAGGGGTCAGGTTGTGGCGGTGCAGTATAAGACGTGCATTCTGCAAGCAGATCAGGGGTGCAACGGTCCGAGGATCGAGTGGCTTCACCGCGGAAGGTTGAAAGCCCTTTGGAAACATAGAAAAGCACGAATGGAGATACTCTTCGCGTGATTGAAGAATCTCTGGTGATATGTATGGTGACTTGAAAATTTGGTTGAGTGATTCAAAGGATCGCACCACGTTGACCATGGCTAGAAGTGGCGTTGACTGTCCGGTAGGATAAACGCCACCAGGGGTGATCTGTTCGTCATCTGCAGGTTCCGGATATTCAGTGTCATAATCTTCGTCTTTGATGAGCAACGGCTTGCCGAGCTCAAGGGCCAGTATTCTACTCTGGTCAGCCGCAGAGGAACACATAGAACATGGCTGGGGTGCTAACCTATCCCATACGTAGATACAGTACCAGAGACGCCTTCGCATCTCACCTTCCACTGGAGACCATGGTCCACTTTCAACGTGTAGACCAATGTCTTGTGATATTCGGACGGCGGAGCCGAGCCAGACCCAACCTGCAGACTTCAGATTGAGCTCGGTAAGGAAGACTCCAGTCAGAAATGCCATCCTGGCATCCTCAATCGAGAATTCATCCTGCCATCCACTTGTCATCCCTATTGCTGTCGTCAAGAAGGCTTTCCCGTCTTGAGCCCAGCTCGGGCCTAGAGTATGCAGACTTCCACAAGCAAGGACACATAGGAACACTGCACCCCATGCATTGCCGAGAGATGCTAATGACTTGGTCCCATATAATTCATCACATTCGCTCTCAAAGGTGGACCAATGGAGTACCGGAAAGTGCAAGTGAAAGTTTTCGTGGTACGAGGCAAGGAGACGATCTGCAATATGCCTCGGAGGCAGATCGGGCATTTCCAATGGCTTGCTGCTTGGCGGAACGGCCACTCGGTAGGGCGATGGTATCTGTAACAGACCGCGACCGTAGTCTGTTAAGTTAGCTCTCACTTGCGAAAAGTCTCTGAGCATCGCAGCCTTCTTGCGTCGTGGAGGAGGCGAGCCCACTGGGTGCAATTCTGCCCCGTGATACGGAGGACTGCCCAGTTCCAGTTCCATCGCGGGTGCACCCTTGGGCACGAGCGATCGGTAGTGGGCTACTTGTTGTCGGGCGTGCTGGAGCTGTCTCTCAAGGTCCTGAAATTGCCTGACCAGGTATCAGCCTATCACTCCTTGTCCCACACGAGGGGCCCTACTTGATTGAGGACATCCGCCTGTTGGTCTCCTTTGTGAATTGACACCTAACGTTTCTGCTGGAACACTCTGAGCAGCTTGTGGTTTCCGTAGCATCGCACTGCATAAAATTTCAGTTGGTAACAACACTCCGATGATCACGCTAACCCACTTTGACTTTTCGTTCTCGACATGCGTCACAACTTGGATCCTTGCGTCGCTGTCGATACGCCCTCTTGGGGTTGGGAGTGCCTCCTGAGCCAGGAGTGGTGCTGGCAGCCGATGTGCTACCCTGCACAAAGGGGTCTGCTACCGGTGCTCCTGCTTCACCAGGAGAAGTGGATTCGGAGTCATATGCCCGAGTGAAGTTTGTTTGAAGAGGGAATTGCATTGCCTGAGGTGGACCGGGCCCCACAGGCGGTTGATGACGACCAGCGACTCGTACAGGGACTCTAGTGGACCGCTCATAAGGTCGACCCGAGATTGCCGAAGAGGAAGATTCGAACGGTGGCGCCGATGGCGCCGCCTGGTTAGGATGATGATGATGGTGATGGTGGTGGTGGTGGTACGGGTCCATTGCCCGCGGGGTAGAAGCAAATGCTGATATGGCCGCAGCGTCCAGCGCCTTGTTAAATCACAGAACACGCCCAATGGAAGTTTGCGGGTTGCCCCTCTTATGTCTGTTTGGCGGAAACATAGAAAAGTTTTAGGCACTCCGCTGATTTGCCCTCCAAGATTGTCCCTCCTAGAGACACGTTTCTTGGAGCGATGTGGCCACAGCGGGAGCTTCACAGAAAATACAACCAAATGAAGCGAATCAAGCAAGATAACAGCAGAGCTGCTCAGCCTTCTGAAGCAGTACGCCAAGCACAATTGCGATCAAGCGGCCGGTACCAATAGTAGGTGGACCTTAAGAGGAGGACCTGCTATGGAATAACCTCTCAATCCATGGGTGCAGAGAAGCCTTTTTCAACGAGTCCTAGCCTGACTAAGTACTCCTGGCTGAGAGAAGCCTGTCAATGGTCTCCAAACCTAATTGTTCAAGTCAGTGAAAGCTCCGGATAACGTGCGATTTTCCGTCAAGGCTAGCCCGGTTTCCTTCGCAGCAAGATTGGGTCAACCCCAAACTTCAAAACGGTCGCTCATCGAAGCCGGAACACTTCCAGGATGACGAGATCGGTGTGCAACCAGAAACTACCTCGAGGAATCCGGAAGAGTCAACCATGAGCCAAGATGGGCACCTTTGCCAGAAAAACGGTCACACTATGTAGTAATAGCATCCAGTCCGGATAAACATTGTGATAACTTATGCCAGGGGCGGCCGTGTGGACTAGGAAAGCACACCAGACCAGCATTTTGGATCAATTAGACCCTCTGCTTGGACAAGCTCCAGCTTGATCAAGGAGTCATGGGCGGCCTCGACTATCATGTACGATTAGAGCTGTGGCTTGTGGGTTGATCAGGGTAAGCAGCCACTAGGGAGGCACATCATCCGGAGGAAGAAATACCTGGCGTCTAGAGCATTTCGCCCTCTTGACTGTTCCCTGTCCCAGGGCCAAAGGGCCATTCAGTTTCGACCCATGTGACCAACTGTAGCAGGGTTGCCATGAAGACCACCTGTTCGAAAGGGGGCAAGTCCTCGTTGGTAATCCGCGTTGCATTTACCGAGTAATGTGGTTTGTGGCTCGTAGCCATATTACCTTGACCTCCCACGTTGATTAGAGTTTTCTGCTCGCGATACTAATGCAAAATTCAGTGCAGGCATCAAGGCAACCCAAATCGGGGGATTAATCTAATCTTACTAGCCAGGTTGTCGAATTGAGAACGTTCTGAAGTTCTGACCTAACGAAGTCGTATCTCTAGCACGGCCTTGGTTGGTCCTATGGAAAGGCAGGCAGGCTTCTGTTCCGTGCAACCCAAAACGGTGGAATTGAATCTTTACTAATGTGCAAATTCAACGCCTCTTGGACTCTGGGAACAACGGTCAGGACATCTTCCAATTCTCCTCAAAGGGATTGCATAAATGAGGTGATACATCCGAAGTTCGAACCAATCAGTGTGACAGTATAACAAATACACTACTACTCGTACAAATGATCAACAACACAAGATTTCAAGGGTTGAGATGAGGAGCAAGATCATCGGCTGCCTAGAGATGTAGTGCGAAGATGGGCACGGTAAAAGGCGCTCGGAAGTGGCACCAAAAGATCAGAAGAAGAAAACACGGCGTTGCTCTGGTCCGCATGTGGAAACCTCATGCTTAGTGGCACAGGCCGCTTCAAAAAATAATAAAGGCCCACTCAACACAGAGTTCGTCTTGTTAGCCTACAAATTAATGATGCTCAACAATGTTTAAATATGGTAGAGTTCTGCGGAGTATGTAAGCTACTTCTATGCTAGTATTGTGGTGCTTTGAAACTCGAAGCAACTGTGTAGCAATGCGCAGGGCTCGTGCTAGGAGATTGTCAGAACTACTGAGATTCTCAATCTTTCTGGCAGTGGCCAAAGAGAGGTACCCGGGCAGTTAATGCTGTGTGTCTACAGAGTGTTCTGGAACACTCTAACCGCGAAGAAGAGTGCATGGATCGAGCAGCGCGTAGGAAGAGGAAGTTGCCGTTGGTAAGTCTGGAGGTAAAGATTTGCTTCTCTGATGTGCAAGCGATCCTTCGCCTCTCGTGAGCCGTCATCAGCTTCGCCACCACCTTGTCTGTCTGGGATCATTTGTGTTCTGAGCAAGCTTGCGGATCGACCAAACCGCTGTTGTTCTCCTCCATCTGATGTAATCATCAAATGTGAAGTCGCTTCAGTGCTCAGACAGGTCAGGGTCCAACAGTCCTTCAGCCATGCGGGGTCGGCTGTTGGCTCTGATTGGAGCTGGAAGAGTGCCCCAACCGCCGTGGCCATACAAACCAATGAGCCACACATGCTTCTGCGGGGATATTCGAGCAAGACCGCTCGGAACACGGACCGGTATACGAGCAGATATCCTCTGAGCTGCAGCAGGCATCAGAATGTCTTACCAACCGAATCGAATGATAAAGTGGTCCTTATCCACTTCCCGGAAGAAAACGTATTTTCAGCTGTGAACAGCGGTCGTCAAAAAAAGTCCTCTCCTGCAAACCCCGGATTCATGTGTGGCTAAGTATTGGCGTTGCAAACTAATGTGGCCTTGTCACCAACATCAGCAGCCTTTTCAACCACGCGTCTAACTTATGCTGAAACTTGCCACGAAACTTCCCTCCCCGCCTTACAAGTACCCACCTTGGCTAATTACTTCCGAACCCCTGGCCCGTTTTTCCCACCCATGGTCTTTCGATCCCAACTTTGCGTCTGAACCTGCAGCGGTGATCGTGACACTAGCAGATGAACGTCACGGCATCTTCCGTCCACTTCAAGCGAGATCTTTCCCGAATTCGGTTTTACAACATTCCGGATTCGTCATAAACTTCCCCTTGGATTCGTCGACTTGCCTCTCCATTAGTAGGTAGGTAACCGTCTTTCATTTCGCAACCTGGCGCAGCTTGGCCGCTTAGTAAATTAGCATGCTACAAGATAAAGAGCCAAGTGGCCGATCTCTAGAAGGCTGGACCTAAGAAGTACGGCTAGAATTGTTTCAGGTTTATGGACTTCTACATGGATTTGACTGCTATATTCCAATTGTTGTCATAACTCTCTTTTAGTCTCATGGTTGTGGCAACGGACTCGAAGCAGCGCTTATTTGACATGGTCACAAAGACATACGATTATCACCGCAAGCGGTTTTGCGATTGACTTGGACATAAACTCGCTTGCGTCCAATCATGCTAATCATTGCCCAGAACGGTAATGCGGATAGAGACAATGGATCAGCGCACCGACCCAGGAATACTCCGTACTCATATGACAGCCAAGATCTGCATGTCTAGGTGATTTCCCACCAGGCCACCCAATGTTCTTCCCAGCACATCTTAGATCTAGTTCGGTCCAGTATCTCCTAGAATGTGCGATCCGTTCTAAAGGCAGGCTTACACCCTACAACAAGCCGCAGATCCAAGCGTAATTTAGGATCAACTAGTCTTGATAGAGGTGGTAGCCTTACGTATGGAGTTAGAAGTTTCTGTTTCTCCTAGGAAAGCGTTCGGCAACTGTCATTGCCCACCTTACGGTACTTGCGCCATCAGTTCCGGTGGTGATAGGTATAGTTCATTGAGATGTGCAATCAATATCATCGCCACCGAGCTCATTTGGCCCCAGTTTGGGAAGATGCTGCTTGCATGTTGTAGTGCAAAGGCGCAAGTAGTCGGATGTACTCAAATATGGGGTCAGGCCCGATCAAGAAGGCTCCATTGGTCCATGATCACCTTCGTTAGCTGCCTGAGATCTTGCATTTCTTCTTCAACCACAAGTCCCGAAAATTGCATGCTGCATCCAAGGTAGACTGGAGTGTTCATCCGACGGGCCAAAATCTTTGCCATGCGAATAGCGTGATCAATGCTGTCGTCGGATGAGTACAGGGTGGTGTTTAGAACATCTCGAGAGTCAAATCGCTGTAACTGTTAGATGGACTGATTGTGTCAAAACAAGGAGAACTACATTTGGCATCGCATATACAAAGCTTCCCATTGGTGTCAGGCCTCCAAAATTCTCGGTTGCAGTGGTAGTCAGGAATACCATAGTGTTCGTTTCGTAGAACGTAAGATGGATATGAATCATTGTTTGAGAGTTGGTAGACGACGGAAGTGCAAGCTGAAGGGACTTGCCAGGAATCTCCATGCTAGATGAGCAGCCGAGTCCAAGTGGATCGAATTTTGAAGACAAGAATGTTGTTCGGTTTTGAGCAGCATGTATGTACGAGAATACTAATAACTAATAGCTTGAATGAAGGCGTGTGCACCAAGGCATTTTAAATTGGTGTACTACGGTATCTCACATGCTAGTATTTTGGAGTGGTAACACGCACTTTACATCCACTTCACCCATGAACGGCATTAGACCACATCACGTAGAACTCAGCAGCCGATGATCGAGAACGGAAATTGACCAAGCTCTGGCGGATCAAGTAACTCGATGTGGCGTTGTACTCTGTATCAGCCTTTACTAGTGTGGTACTGACAACAATCATGTCTGGTACTGTAGTATGCGGAATCACTTGAGGAGCATGCCGGAAAATTCGGCCCACAACACATCAACGGTCAGTAGTAGATCGTACAACACTTATTCACTGATCCCTGTGATTGCAGATGAACCTTATATCTTCAATTGCACAGCGTGATGGAATGTGTTTGCCATGTATTTTCGACCTCTTATCCCTGTAAGCGCAGCTCAGAAGAACATAGATAAGAGCAGCTACTTTCTATTATGTCAAACAGCAAAATCACAACCGGTGAATGGACTGGCGAATACAACCCTTTCACCGATACTGAAGAGCGCCGAGTCCTGTTCGCTGCTCTTGATTCCTTCAAGTAAGTGCCTTTTCATCGTGCCATCTCCTGATAACCCATCTCTCGTGCTATCTAAACGACTATGGTGTGCTTGACCTGATGGAGCTTCCCGTATTAGGATCTACCGAAAGACAGCCCACCGGAATGTGACACATCGCAGAAGACAGAATTTGTACGCCTTACCTACATCACAATGGCAGATTCTTGCGGAACCGCCCTTTTCATTGCTTGAGAACTTGAGCAACGTAGATGACGCCATCGATCTGAATGCAGACATCGCAGATGCCATCCTCGAGTGGGGCCTTCAGACATTTGGGTTGCCACAAGAGCCAGGATCTGATCATGCACAAAAATGGCTAGGCTGTGCCCAAGCAGTGGACGTCGATAAGGCCCATTCGACGATCCGCCAGTTCTACCGAGACTGGAGCGCAGAAAGTGCACGGGAACGGAAACCTTGTCATGACTTTGTCTTGGAACAGCTCGAGGTTTTCTTTCAAAATCGTGCAGCGTTATGCAACGAGGCCTCGCGTCCCAAAATCCTTGTGCCCGGAGCTGGGCTGGGGAGATTAGTCTACGAGATTTGTCGGGCTGGCTATGACGTGGAAGGTAACGAGATCTCTTACCATCAATTGCTGGCAAGTAACTGGATTCTTAATCATGTTGGATCAACGCAATATGCGCTTTACCCCTTTGCAACTCAATTCACGAACCTGCTTTCCAGGAAGCAACAACTGCGAAAAGTGATGATACCTGACGTACAACCCGCTGAAGGCATGAAACACGTGTTGGCGAACGGCAAAAGCACTGGCGAGATGAATATGACAGCCGGAGACTTTATCGTGCTCTATAGCGGAAGCGAGTACAGCGCCGTATTTGACGCTGTCGCAACCATGTTCTTCATCGACACGGCACCGAACTTAATCCGTTATATTGACACAGTGAAGAATTGCCTCAAGGCTGACGGTAGATGGATCAATATCGGTCCACTTCTGTGGCACTCTGACATTGCTTATGAAGCCCCAACTGACGAGAGACATGACCACAAGACAAGGGTAGGAGAGGCTGACCGCGACGCTGGCATAGGAGAGCCCGGAAGCTTTGAGCTGACGGAGGAGGAAGTGATATGGCTGCTAGAGAAGCAGGGATTTCGGATTGAGCACCGGAGCGCTTTCTCTGATGGGGTGGGATATATTCAGGATCCGGACAGCATGTTCCAGAACATGTATCGAGTGTCCTGTTGGGTAGCCAGGAAGGGAGACTGATCTGGTCTGTCTGCGCTGTCTGCTCTGTCTGCTGGATCTGTACAGGCACACACTGCGGTGCAAATACATGAAATGAAAGCAAGGCCGTGCAAAGATAGAAGCAATACCGATACTGCCGGGACTAGTTGGTAGATTACCATACAGATTCTGAACGTGGCAATCCATGAACACCGCCAAGAAGCATCTGGTGGGGTCCAACTTGAACTTAAATGGAGACTTCGGTTCCGTCAGGCTGCGGCTTAGTCAATCAATCAATCAATCATAATCAAAGACCAATCTGATATTAGAGGCACAGCTGACAGCCTTCTGGAAAGATCGAAGACTTCCTCAATGGCTGCGTTGATGAGAGTCAAGTCTCTCCTGCTGTTGTCCAGCCCCTGGCAGCTTTCTTAACATCATAAGCAGCAAACCGCTGTTCTCGCCCACCCCGTTCTGGTGAGGGAAATTTCGGCAGCCAATCAGCAGCAAGCAACGCCTCTGGTGCTCCGCCTGCCAAAAAGCCTTGCACCGGTCAGCCTCAAAACCCGCTTGGGCCATCAAAGGGCAGCTTGGCCAACAATAGAATCAGAACCTCAGGAATCCCCATCTCCTCGCCTCGTACGTGCCTCTGCTGCAGCTCCCTCCCTTTCCTCTGCTTCTCTACTCCTCCCTATGGAATCTATGAGCAATCGCCTCAAGAACCTTGGCTTTGGACGAAAGAGCAGTGTAAACATTCAGACCACCAACCACCTCTCCCCGACAACCAACGGCGCTACCCCTACCCCTCCACAGAGCTCATCCACCACGAGCTTACCTATGAATCCTCAGCCAAACCCTGCAGGTCGACCACCAAGTTATTCTTACAACGTCGCAGGTAGGCCCACGAGCCCGCTACCGCCGGGCCAAACTCAGCTTGCGCATCACCCTCCACCTATCGATACAACTCAGCGATTTCCTGCCGCAACTCCTCCAATGGCTCCACCCCAACCACCTGGGTATGGAGGATATGCACAGCATCCCCAGGGGGTCGGCGCGCCTCACGGCATGAATCAGTATACTCGTCCAGCAGAAGTTGACGGAGGTGGGAGATCGAAAGCGCAGCTGATTGTTGGCATTGATTTCGTAAGATCATCAGTATTCCCGCTCGGCCGCTTTCTGCTGATCTTTCCTGCCAGGGCACCACATTTTCAGGAGTTGCATTTGCCTTTGCGACCAATACAGAGGCCAAAGAAGATATTATCACGGAATGGCCAGGAGCAGGTAATCAAACGAAGCAAAAGGTGGGGGGTCTACTTCATCATGGTGTAACGTTTTGCTGATGCAGTCGACAGATTCCAACAGTGTTATACTACGATCAATATCAAAAGGTTGTAGGTTGGGGTCCTGATATCGCTGATGCTCTCGCTCCGACTGGTTATCCAAAACCTGGCGTACAGAAGGTTGAATGGTTCAAGCTTCAGCTCATGCTCTCCGGAAATACTTACATCGACCCAATAAACCTTCCGCCTCTGCCACCGGGCAAATCCGAAATTGACGTGGCTGCCGACTACCTCTTCAAGATTCGCCAGGCAATGCGCGCACAACTTCAGAAAACACTGGGAGAGGTTTTCAACCGTGAAGAACGGAACATTAGATACTTCCTCACTGTACCGGCTATCTGGAATGATGCTGGCAAGGCTGCAACAAGAGCTGCGGCCATACAGGCGGGCTTTTTGCGAGATGAGAACGATACCAGGTTGACCTTGATCACCGAACCAGAAGCGGCTGCGATGTTCTGTTCCAAGACGGGTCTATTGAACCTCAAGATACATGATGCTCTTCTGATCGTTGACTGCGGTGGAGGTACAGTCGATCTGATTGCCTACGAAGTTGAGGAGGAAACACCCTTCACGGTTGCGGAATGTACAGCTGGTTCAGGCGATTCCTGCGGCAGCACAGCCTTGAATCGAAACTTCAGCAATATCCTGCGTGCCAAGATTCGAAAGATGAAACTACCTGACGGTTCTCGGACAGCCGGGCGTGTCTACGCAAAGTGTATCATGGACTTTGAAAACCGGATCAAAGCCGATTTCCGCAACAATGGGCAGAAATGGGCGGTTGATGTTGGTATTGAGGCCGAGTTCCCGGAAGCAGGCATAGAAGAAGGATACATGACATTCACTAACGAAGAGATTCTGCAATGCTTTGAACCAGTCGTGAACAGAATCCTGGAACTTGTTCGGAATCAAATCATTGCCATCCAAGCGCAAAACAGATCCTTGCAGAATGTGCTTGTAGTTGGCGGGTTCGGCGCATCAGAATATCTCTTTCAGCAAATCAAACTCCACGTTCCACCTCAGTTCCAATCCAAAGTTGTTAGGCCTATGGATTCGGTTGCCGCTATCGTCAAAGGAGCCGTCACAGCTGGTATCACAGAGCGAATCGTCACGTCGCGGGTGGCGAGGAGGCACTATCTTATGGCGACCTTGCAGCCTTTCAAAGAAGGTCATCATCCTGAGCAGTACCGGGTGCCGAGTCTGGATGGGAAAGACAGATGCAAATACACCAGGCAGATTTTCGTTCAGAAGGGCGAAAGGGTCAAGATTGGCGAGCCAGTAAAAGTGTCATTCTTCCGACAAGTCGCACCCGGTGCCACGCTCATGTATGAGGATATTTTGTATGCTTGTGATGAGGATATTTGTCCTGGTAAGTCCCAACTTCCTCCTTGGTAGCTTGCTAGTGTAAACAAGACGTGCTGACTTATTTTCCACTGCACAGAATACACCAAAGATCCACGTATCAAGGAAGTCGTGACTTTAACCAGTGATCTTTCGAGAAAGAATCTTGAAAAGGACTTTGAGAGAATGGATACCCCCCAAGGCACTTTCTATCGTGTCTACTTCGATATTTACCTTACTCTTGATGGGAGCGAGTTCAATGCCGAGTTGGTGTGTCAGGGTGATGTGATGGGGAGGTGTAGTGCGAGGTTTAGGTGATGGAGCAGACAAGCAGAAGGTAGAGGAGATGGGAAGAGTGGATGGGTGTTGGAGTGAGGTTGGATCGTGGTGATGGGAAGATGGGACGGGATGGATAGGATGGGAAGGGATGGGATGGGATAGGTCAAATAAGTTGGGAGCAGTGACCCTGAGCCAGCACTTTGCGCAATGAACCGAAAAGCACGGCAGGGGGTTATGTGGTTCGGCTGGATGGGAAATCAAAAGAAGACTTGACGTAGACTACAAACAGGCTTGGTGGTGGGATGGAAGGATTCATAATTGATAGGCGCCAGGCCATCCTACGCCGGCTGAGGCAGTACGATCATCGACGAACTCTTTGGCTGACTGGCTGACTAGCAGGCAGGCAGCATTGACCTTAAATAGCACACCGTCACGTTGGTTTCTCTCGATACCTATCAGCTGATCACCGTCGTCCTTTCCATGCTCATATCTCCTACCTCCTAGTTATCATCCTGGCTATCTCTAGATATACATCCATGCCCCTGTTGCCACGCAAACTACATCTCCTCACCCTACGACATCAGATTACTGATAACACATGGAGATGATAGGAGAATGGGAAACTCGTTCCAAATCATCCTACATTTTCGCTTCTATCTATCATCTTTATCTCCTTAGCTGAAGCATTTGTAATCCTGATAAGATCTACATTCTCTTGAAGCGCTCCATCTTTTCCCAACGGTCCACTAAAAGTGCTCCTACCACACAGATTAGACGAGAATGCCTTCTCGCATGTTCCTAACAAACAAGTCGGCTTTGTACGAGTGCGAAGGAGCACAGCTTGATTGTTGATCCCATATACGGACCGCTCAACTCAGATCAGAGGGTTGTCGAATGCCATACTCAAGCCCACCTTTGTGCCCTTGCGACGGCCAAAAGATGTCATACACAAGCGGCGCGTCGAACAGTCAGAGTCCAGGCTCCGTCTTCTTCGGTAGGTTGCCTGTTTGGTCGAGTAAGTTGGTCTCCTTGTAATCCTCTTACTGTGGATGACGCCTTTCTCGAACTAACTGAGGTGTTATTGGGGCTATTGGTGTTCTCAATTAAAGCTGTAGGAAATATTCCGGAAATGGCTTCATGTTGATCCAGAGAAAGCTTTCAGTTTGAGTTCTTTGCCTGTTCACCGATTTCGTTTCTCCGCATCTTGTTTGATTTCTGGGTAAGTAGATCGACGCCACCAAGTATTTTCGACGTGTTCCTTGCTACCGCTGTCTGCCCTTCGATCCTGTTCAGTGAAGAGACAAGGAATGATTCTTGGGGTGTTGATGTACAATCAGCAGCCAAAGACTGTCGCAGTAGGGTCTGATTTGTACGCTGGCGGGATCGCGCAATCCTTGACGATTACTTTAAAATAGGGTATCTGTGTTCTCCACATGTTCCTGTTCCATACCTTCAAGGAGAGGGTAACAATCGACATAGCTCATTCGAGACTGTCCATACAACAAGGGCATGAATACGAGGAACCAGCGCCTTTGCTTCCAAGTTAGTCATGCTGTATTTCCAACCCAAGTCAATACTAAGGGGGGTTGCAAATACTCTGATTCCGAGGATGGAGAAAGTCAGGATCTAAGGAGCATTGAGGTTCAGTGTGAAAGACCTACCAAGAGCGATGATCCACCTCTTTCAGACCTTCGAACGTTTGAAATTCTCGTGGCACTGAACTCCTCACGCCTAATTACAAGATTGATGATTGGTAGTTAACAGACGTCTTGGAAAGGGGTATTCTAGTGCAGTGGCTGGTCTGGTCGACCCTGGGCATTGCCACGTGCATTCCCAGTTAAAGATTGGCTGCCATCTTTCATAATAATTAAGCGTGCTGAAACCTCGGAAATGCTCTTCTGGTCCACACCACAGTCACGCATCCCAAGCACTTACGCAGGTACGCGGGGATGCACAGATAATTGATGACTTGATCGCAAGGATTTATGATTTCAGCAAGGTGTTTACATTCGCTTCGCGGAAAGCTACGCATCAAATGGCCTTTCTGTATCAAATTTGCATGAACTCACATCATAAAACAGCCGATACACTTCAGCCAACCAAGCACTTTTCTGTCAGAGCAAGATATCCATGATCTTCAAAAAAATTCCTTCAGATCAGGGATAATATCGGTATCTCGCTCAACATCCCTCATTCACAAGTGCCACAGCGGGTTTGGTCGTATGATATTGACCTCCCGATCTGGAAATCTATCTTCACTTCTAGAATCTCTATCCATACGAAACAGGGCCCAGAGCCAGAAGATTTCCTAAAGTCATTCTACTAGTAAGATGCCTATATTACAGTAACATTTGATTTTCTTACGAGGGTGTAGGTCAGGTCGACACCGCTCTGTTGCAAGCAGTCAAATTCTGGGTTGGCTTGATTTCAGTACATCGAGAATGGTCCGGAGCTAGGTGACGGAAATAGTGAGAGTTCCGTCCCACACCACTCTATTACTTCTATCTTCAAAATGGTATAGGAAGACCATTTCGCTCATTTACGGCAGCTACTCTTTTGGGCATTGTAACAATTGCCTTATTGATCTCCTCCAGAGTGATTTATCCCATTCCTCCTCAATTGCCCGCCGCAGCTCCTCTGGATCAGTAATAAGGCCTCGATTCTTTAGCCTCTGCTTCAACAACCTCCAGATACTCTCAATAGAGTTCAAATCTGGCGATTCTGGGCAATTAGCTTCCCATTGGATCCCTAAACGAGCTTTGGCCTTTTTGATCTTATTCTCTGCCTTGCCACGAGTGCCATGAGCATTATCATTGTCCTCTAGAAGTATCCAATCCTTATCCCAACTAGGAGCAATAACTTCTTCTAGAAAAACAAGATAATCAGCTTGAGTAAGCCGTCCACCTCCTCCTGCGCCTGTGTAAAAGTGTAGGGGACTCTTATAGTTCCATCCAATGTACGCAAATACATGCCAAATTTGATTGCGCCGTTTCAATCGAAATTGGATCTTTGTAGGAGTATTTCGTGCTTCTGTACCGTGTCAACGATGTACTATAGCTTACTGTTGCAAGCCACATGCAAAATGACACTCATTACTGTATTTGTACTGCTTGAATTTCTCTAAATTCCAATGCCGACGTTCAAATCCCTACATTTCGCGTATCTTGATATTTTTAGAATGGATGTATTTTTTCTGCTGTGCCCTATAAGTGCCCATTCTAAATTGCGCCATATTTCTTTGAATTGCACGTTCAGATCCTTAAGCTAGACTAATAGAGCTTGCTATGGCATAATGAGAGGCAGATACAGCGCGAAATGAGGCATCTTCAACTGTCTTAATAGCTTCGCATTAATGAGGCTCTAAAGCAGGTTTTCGACCACGATTATGAACGCTATTGCCGCGGCGCGTAGATTTCGATTTGAGGATTCGATAGCCTGTTGATTCTGGTATATTGAGTGATTCGAATAGCTTTTTTCGAGGTAATTTGCCAGCTGTAGCTTGCGCGGCGCAAAGAAGTCGCGTACGCCGTGGAGTATCAACTATCGTATTTGGCTCACGTGGAGGCTCTGTGGGTATCGAAATTGACGAATCAGGCTGTTGACAGTTTTTTCGAGTAGTTTTACGTATTCTGGCCATTTTTCAGCTGATTTGAATAGCAATTGGTGGAATAATAGAAGATAGAAAAAAGGGGGTTGTTTTGAGGATGGGACGGAACTCTCACTATTTCCGTCACCTAGCTCCGGTCCAATGCACCATTCGATCCACACTTGTCTGTTGAGCTATGAATTCCCATTTTGGCCCGGTCCAAAACTGTCATTCCCAAAGCCATCCTCCCTCACTATCACTCTTCTCAGAGAAAACGTTGGCTTTCTGTCTGCAAAGCAAAATGAAGACCCACCCATGTTCCTTGCTTCTCAATACTTGCTTCCCAGTCTCTCTTGCACCCGCGGTCCCCCTCATCACCACACATCACCAGCACATCCTATCGACCCCTCCACAGCGCCTACAATACAAACCTCGGACTAGGCTCGAATACCTCCGTCCACAAAAGCAGCAAAAAGGAGGTGACGGAACGCGTCAACCGTGCATGCCGTATGATATGCCTAACATATTCATGTTTACATACACACATGCCTATCTATACCGACATCCACGGCGTAGAAGTGCACTCCAGCTCACTCCCCACCCTCTCTTGTCCGTGACCATAATCTTACAGGCAAGAGGCATACCTCCCCCCAGGAAGCCAAGGCGAAAGCCGGGAAGTAGAAGCCCGTTCTAGCCAATATCTTCATCTCCTCTCCTTTCCATCTCTGCGCTACTTCCGCATCGCTCTTCCGCATCGCTCTTCCCCACGTCCCGCTTAAGATACGATCTGACCACGCTGTTCAGGCTGAGTGAGAGAGATAGATAGGCACGTACGATGTGTGTGCGAGCACTCGACTCCTCAGATGTACTGATGTCTTACTACACTGCAGCTCCTCATGGCACCTTTCCACCCTAACCACGCAAGGTAGACTGAATGTTCGAATGAAAAGGCGATCCTAACTAACTAGCAGCCAGCCAGCCGTGGTAGGCCTTTAACTACCTCCCCCACGTATCAGCACAGGCAGCACAGCGGTATCGTCGCTACGGGAACGCCGTTCAAGGCTGACTTTGATCGACGCTAAGTGAAGAGCTAAGGTGTAGCCGCTGCAATGTACCAAAGGGAGGTACCACACAGAGGTGTACTTTTACCAAAGGCCTGGGCAGGAATTCATAGAACTTTACTCCGTATTAGTAGTAGTAAAGGTGGATAGAGGTGCGCCGAAACCCAATACTGCTGTCTATTTTATTCTTCTAGCCAGGGTTCTGGCGAGCCCAGTAGCTCTAGGGTCTATCGTAGCGTGGGAATCCCAGATGCAGAGACGCCAGAATCTAATTAATACAAGCATGCTAACCCGATGATGATGAGGAGACGCAGAAGAAATCTAGAGCTCAGAACCACTCTCAGCTTTCCGGAGTTGTGTTGAAGAAGACCGAAACTCTATGTGATATGTTGCATCGCATGCTCATTTAGCGATTTCAACACCCCCTGTGGCTCCCAGGACTCGTTTGATGTCGCCTAGCAACGTGGTCAGCTATGTTTCACAGCAGGCCCAAATGTCGAATATAATATTTGAAACTTACCATAGATTGCGAATTGACCGGCCGTTAGCGTGCCAACCATGAAAAGACGTGCTCCAATACCGCCGAAGCTTCCCCTGAGGCCTAACTCCTTGGCAATCTTGATCAGACGGCTCGTCGTACCTTCACCAGGCAAGCCTTTGGTCTTGTTGATCTTGCTGAGCATGGTATCTGCTGGCTGAGACACGATGGCGGCAGCGAAACCGGCGATCAGACCCGAGCCCAAGTTGACAGCGGTCTTGGTGCCATCAGAAGCCTTGTTCTTGTCTATTTGCTGCCACATCAACTCTGCTACCTTCTCGTAGACGACGAACTTGGCCATCGTGTACGGGACTTGCTTGAACAGAATGGGTCCGAAGCCGGAGTAGAAGGCGCCGAAACCTTCTTGCTTGGCAATCTTGCCGAAGCCGCTGACGAGGCCCGAAGCAAAGGTGGGTTGTGAGACGAGACGGATACGGGTGGCTTCGAGGGGGCACAGGGCGATGTCGGCGAAGAATTCGGCGGCGGCGGCGGAGGCGAGGTATACGGCTGTTCGGTTGTTCGAGGCTGCCTCGTAGCCAAGCTGGTTTATACATTGCTGCTTGAAGAATTCGTAGCCACCGAATTTGAAGGCGCCTTGGAGGAAGTAGCCGGCGAAAGTAGGGCCAATGCCGGTGAGTAGAGCGCCGGCTCCTTCGGTTGCGATCACCTTTCGGAATGTGCCGATCATGCCGGTGTTATAGGTTGCGGGATCGAGCTGAATTCGTGTCTTCACGCTGCATTGGGTCAGCATTCAACCATGCCTAGTCTCCCAGTGTCCTCCATAGCCGTCCGGAGACCGTAGCAGGTAAAGCTTACACATCGACGGGTGTGAGACCTCCATGAGTGACAGCGCAGCAGACAGCGCCCGCAAAAGCGAATCTGGAATAAAGCGCAGCACCGCTCAACTTCTGAGGCTGATTTGCAGAGGCTCTCTGGATCGCGCCGTCTATCTTGGCTGAACCAGTTGAAGTTGGAGGAGCTGTAGCAGCCATTGTGAAGGAGTATGAAGTGGAGATGAGATGGGAGGCAAGGATGCTAGGAGAGGAACTGTCCACGGAGTAAGAGAGTGAGGGTGAGGCATTTGTCGAAGGGGAAAAAGTTGAACTGGCCAACACTGCGGGAGATCCCGGCTGGCAAATCATTAGTAACTGAACTCCTAAATTAGACGCGCCTAAAAATTGTTACTTAGCCAACTAGCCACTTTCAGAACCATGTAAACAGTCGCGGACTGATTGACATTGTGCATTGGATTGTGCTACCTACCATGGAATTGTAAATGACCGCACTTGAAGGATGAGAGGATGTCCTAGTCCATCATCTGTGCTCATTGTCATTATAATGATGATTCCTCAATGATCTACAGACATTGGATAACCACTTCTCACACAATGGAGCAACCACCGAGTCCATTCAAGATTCCGGCCTCTCCAATCACACCTCTACAGCAAGTCTCACCGGATCGAATCAATCAACAAAGAATACCTGCGTCTCCGTCACTACCAAACCAACTATCGAATGTTGAAGCCAAAGCCCCTGGACAGTCAATTGACGTGCAGTCTAAAGTTGCCTTTCTCAACAGCTTGAACCAGAATACATCTCCATCACGCCAACAGGGCAACTCAACTCATGCAGCACTACAAAGAGCCTTGCTGGGCCGTGAGGAAGCGGAAAATGCTCTGCGCAGTTCTAATACACAATTAGCGGAAGCCGAAGCACGGCAGCGTAAGATCAGTGAGAGACTGGAGAGTTTGATGGAAGAATTGCAAGCTGTAAAGGAACGACAAGCTCATGAGAGGCAGGTGTTTGAGAAAGAGGTGAGGAAGGCCAGAAAGGATGCTTTCCGGGCTGGCTCGGCATTGGTCAAGATGCAAGAAGACTTGAAAGAATCAAGAGTAGAAGTAAAGAGTCTCAGAGCAGAGACCCAGCATGAGAAATTCGAGAAAGAGAAGTCCAAGCAGGAAGCCTTCGAAAGGGCATATGCTCTTGCTGGCGTGTTGGAAGAGGTAGAAGTTTTGCGTGAGAAGATGCGAGCGATGGAAGCTGCACGAGAAACAGAAATTTTGGAACAGCAGTCGAACAAGGCACAGCAAGAAGACCAACATCACCGGCTTGCCGAGATGCGACAGCAGGAGGATGAAGCACATGCTGGACACCTGTTGGAAGACCGCAGCATGCAGGAAATGGAAGAGATAGATCACACGGTGCAGCCTAGGCAAAACCGTTTCGAGCGAACTCTGCCTGCCGGATCACATCCCACCGAGCCTGGTACGGATCTGGCTATAGAGTCGCCAAAGGTCCGACGAAAGCAGCTGAGCGAGGAATTGCAACAGGACGAGACGACGCATATGCAAGAACAACTCCTTCTTGCTGATGCTGAGCTACAATGGGAGAAGAAACTTAGAATACAAGCTGAAGAAATGGTCCATTTCCTTCAAATGGAATGCCAGTTTAAAATTTGCGCCTGTCGCGTGGCAGAGAAGCATGGAACAAGATTTGTGCACGACAAGGACTACCAAGAATTAAACGCTGTCGATTTGGTGGTAGAAAATGACCAGGCTCAAGGAATAGAGCTTCCAGAGAACAATTCCGGCCAGTCATACGAAGCTGCAGGTGAACACATGATTGAGCCCACGGAGGATATGTTCACGCTCTCCCGACAGAGGCCTCCCGAGGACGCTGTGTCTAACACGGATGAACTTCAGATCTCGCCAACAGCTCATCCAGCACAAACAACATACGAAATGCTTTCGCCGAGCGGTAGCGGCCTACCATCGGCCTCTGATCCGACCGGGGGGTCTGAAGCTTGTGGTTTCAGCTTCGCTTCGGCCAAGAACGCCTCATCCCCGGCCATCTTCTCAGCTGAGGATATGACCTATCAGCCGCCTATCCGTGCGACGATCCGTCCCAAATCAGCATGCTCGATACCACTGAGAGATCCTCCGACATCACCACCAGCAAGATCACCCTCTGCCTCGACCTATCCGTTGACACCTGGATTCAAGACACCACAGCGCCAGGGTTTGTGGCTTGTTCACGCTCAGACTACAACGATGATGGTGCCACTCAGAGACAACGACGACGTCTTCTGTCCTGCACCTGGCACTCCTGGAACGCCAGTGAGTCGAGAGGCTGCACTGGCGCAGATAAGAGCTCGCAGGGATAGAGCAAGGAGTGTTGCAATGTCTACAAGCAGAAGTGCTCCAGGAAGTGCAAGAAGGGGTCTGGCAGGAGGATTGAGAGACATCAGTGCGCCTGGAAGATTTTGAGGAGACTAAAGCAGGAATTGCATTTTTTGGTCGATTAGCGTAGCCTGCACTTTTGTTCTTATCCTGGGTAGTAAGAAGAGGAGGCTCTCGGGGTAGGGGAGACTCGAGTACCTGATCAAGCATTGTACAAGTAGCGACCTTGAGAAACACGTTACATGAACTCTGTTTCTCTGCACTCTGTTCCCAAATCCCGAACATCCTGTTTGACTTTATTGGGAAGCACTTGCAGCGGCTAATGGGTTGACATTGCTTGATCCAAACGGTGCATTCTCGGAGATATTTCACGACATTGAACCCAGCCAACCCTGTCACCAACTAAACCAGCTTGTCAATCTTACTTCCAACACCCCACGTTAATTGGTCTTTCGTCAATCTAAATGACCGAACTCAGAAGCGACACTTTGCCCACGAGACCAGAACGCCAGTGCCTTGGGTCCTTCGGTCTCGTTCAAAGGCTGGCGGTTACCGTGCCGAGACAGTCGGCAGCCAACCCAACTCCTTGGGCAGCTGGATTTAGCCTCCACAAGTGGGGGTGCTCGAGTCGTAACAGAGAAGAAGATGCTAGCAGCCCAGCTACACGATGAGGGGTAGGATTGCAAAGTCTCTACTATGGATACTCCCTCCTGTTGCTCCGCGTGAGCAACGACCCTTTTGCCTGGAAGATGTTTCCTCCTCAGCGCCCATAGCTCCACCATGGGTCTGTCGATTGAACAGCAGGGCCGAGCGGCAAAGGCCTACATTATTCAACAGCTTCGAAAGAGTGACGATGGATCCGCGGTACTCAAAGATCGTGACTTTATGCAACGATTCGAGGAGAATTTCATGACAATCTTCGGCATCTTCGCCGAGCTTTACGGCTATCGCTTCGATTGCTTGGACCAATTGGCAGAGGTCATCCTCGTCTGTTGTCGAAGCTGGAAAGGACGCCCGGACGATCTTAAACAAATCGACAAGCAGAGAGAGCTTGATCCAGACTGGTACCTTTCGAGCCAAATGCTGGGGGGTGTATGCTATGTCGATCGATATGCTCAGGGTCTCGAAGGTATCAAAGCCAAGATCCCATATTTTCAAGAGCTAGGCCTTACGTATTTACATCTCATGCCACTATTCTTGAGGCCGAAGCCCTTTTCGGACGGAGGATACGCCGTGTCAAGCTACAGAGAGATCGAGCCGGAGCTGGGGACCATCGAGCAATTGAGAGACCTTGCTACCGAACTGCGGAAAGTAGGCATTAGCCTGGTGGTCGACCTGATCTTCAACCATACTTCGAATGAGCATGACTGGGCCAAGAAAGCTGCCAAAGGTGATCCTGAGCATTCAGCAATGTATTGGATCTTTCCAGATCGAAGCGTTCCCTCAGCCTTTGAGGCCAGCACAAGAGAGATCTTTCCTGATGATCACCCAGGCTCTTTCATTCAATTACCTGACGGTCGCTACATCTGGTCAACATTCTACCGCTTTCAGTGGGATCTCAACTACTCCAACCCCAATGTGTTCCGTGCCATGGCCGGTGAAATGCTCTATCTTGCCAATATTGGCATTGACTTGTTCAGAATGGACGCCGTGGCCTTCATGTGGAAGCAGATCAACACTGACTGTGAGAATCTACCGGAAGTCCACAAGCTTCTGCGAGCCTTCAATGCCCTGTGTCGATTAGCTGCTCCTTCCGTGCTCTTCAAGTCCGAAGCCATCGTGCATCCTGATTTCGTAGCCCAATACATTGACCGCTCCGAATGCCAGCTATCGTACAACCCCTTACAGATGGCCTTGACCTGGGAAGCGCTAGCCACTCGCGACGCCTCAATGCTCTCCCAAGCGATCGAGCGAAGACACAACATCGCCCGAGGCTGTGCGTGGGTAAATTACGTCCGCTCTCACGACGATATCGGCTGGACCTTCTCCGACGAAGACGCCCTCGAACTAGGAAAACAAGGCACCAACCACCGAAAATTCCTCAATGCGTTCTACGTCAGTCGACACCCTGGCAGCTTCGCCCGCGGCGTACCATTCCAAGATAACCCAAAGACCGGCGACTGCCGCATCTCCGGCACCACAGCCTCCCTCGCTGGTCTCGAATCCGGTCAAGAAGGCGCCCTCGATCGAATCTTGCTCGCATACTCCATCGCCATGAGCACCGGTGGCATTCCCCTGATATACCTTGGCGACGAAGTCGGCCAGCTCAACGACTACAGCTACATGAACGACCCGGCCAAGATGGATGACAGTCGATGGGTAAATCGGCCCCCCTATCCCGAGCAGAACTACGCCGAAAGGCATGACAAAAACACCATCCCCGGCCAGCTGTACGCCGGCATGCAGCACCTGATCCGACTTCGTAAATCAACGCCCGAGCTCGCCGGTGGCAGAGCAGTCGGCTTCTACACCGCCAACCCTGCTGTGCTGGGTTATCAGAGACCCGGGCCCACTTCGACGGTGCTGTGTCTGGTCAATTTCTCGGATGAGAGGCAGTGGGTAGGCAGGGAGAGATTGATGCAGCTGCCGGAGGAAGTCATGGATCTGGTGTCCGGGTATATGATCGAGTTGAGACAGGCAGGTATCCATATGAGGTCGCATCAGTATATGTGGTTGAGGTATTGAATTAGGAATCCTAGGAATAGATAGGTTGTGTGTACATCGTTGATCTTCTTGAGCAAAATCGTCTTCGATTCTAAAATCAAACATCTGCACAAGAAAAAGTAAAAACCCTCTCACGCGGATCAAGCGGCGTAAATTCTCAGCCTGACAGGCCAGTTGACCAGAAGAGGCAAAGCAACGGCGTGCTTGTCTCCAAGATGCCATGCATCCACCATACATTCACTCACTCACTCGTTCACTTACTCGTCTCACTCTCATCAAATTATATCCCAAACTGGACGTAGTCCAAAACATCAAACTAGAGGTTCGAGAAAAAAAAAAGATAAATATTATAATTAACGATTGGATCATGATTCTGGGGCGATTCGTACGCCCGAAGGCCCAATCTCCGGTGCCGAAAACCAGCGCCTTAACAAATCTATCAAATTCCATCTTATTTTTTTCCCCACAAATGTGGCCCAGAAAGCAACGAGCACTTTCCTGTTCTTCGTGTCCACAGTTTTCATTGTGGGGACCTTCTGGATGCGATCGAGAGATAGAGAAATAGCTGGTGCCGGGGGGGTTGTCTACAGTAGCGGTGATAAAGGGATAACTACAGGGAACGTTGAGGTTGGGATGGAATTTGGCTTTGTCAGGGAGTCGGGCGGTGGTACCTGTTTGGGAGATGTGTTTTCTATCCTCACTTCTTTCCAGGTGGAGGGTGAGATGTACGTTGTGTCCCTTGCCCGATGGAATTCGTACTTCGTCCGCTCCGTTGTGGCTTCTCATAAGTAGTCCTGTTGCGAAACGAAGGCGTTTCCGAGCCACTACTTCCCTTTTCTTCCTTTCTTCTTCTCTCCCTGCTTCTGTTCTAAGTCGGTCCAGGCTTCAGGCAGCACCACCTACCCACCTGTCCCTTGTTCTAATCCTGATTTATGGTTTCGCCATCCGTGCGATACTCATCTCCCTTCCAATGCCCATCGCTCCGGCCCAAATATCCCCTCTCTCCAACCTCTACCCCCTCGACGATCCATCTCCGCATCACCCTCTCTACCCACCCCCTAGGTATCCCCAACTCGACACTCTGCCTGATAGCCCGGTTCATCCTGCCCACGTACTCCGGCTTGACGGGACCCGGCGAAGTGCGGAGCTCATCAACGTAGACCAAGGCAGTGATCCCCGTCTCCATCTCAGCAGCTTGATCAGCATTCTCCGACTTTGATCTCGCCTCCGGCGCATAGGATTTAGAGCCAACAACCCCATAAGTCACGGGGTCCTGAAGCCATTTCGTGACCCTCACAGGCAGATACAGTTTATTGTAATCCCAAGTGCCCTGCAAGAAGGGTTTCCGGCGTACCTCCTCAGCATCAGGCGAAGGATTGGGTGTTGGGGTGGGATTTCGGTATGTGTGATGGCCTTCGTATCCGTCCAGGATGGATTCTGAGCCGGCCGTGAGGTTGTAGATTAGGCCCCAGACTACGCTGCTGTCGTCGTCTTCATGAAAAGTACCTGGGGAGTCTGCTTTCTGTTCAACATCAGACGCTGGTGCGGTGGCTGGATGGGGATGCTGGTCATGCTCCCCGTCCTGGTCCGACTCTGACCTTGACTTCAGTTTTGGTGCCACTCCAGACTGAGGAGATCTTCTTGGGGATGGCACTACGTTAGCGTACCCTCGACCACAGATGATCCATCGCCAGCCGTCCAAGCGGGCGATGGCAACGGGAATAGAGGATGTGGCGGGGTACTCGGGACAGCGACCGGCCATTTGTTCTGGGGAGAGGTTGGAGCCATAGGCGAAGTAGAATGTGCCGGTCTGGGAGGAGGTAGGGTTTGCGGGAAGACCAATGCTGAGTTCCATGCTGAGCGAGATATGACCTGAGTGCTATATTTATATGTCTATACAGGTGGCTCTCAAGGGGAATGGCTCGCTGAATCAAACCCTGCAATGAGGCTTTCAAATACTATACTTGATTACGAGCCGCTCTACGCCCCCTTCTTGGCGAATATTCCTGTACCAACCCCTCGCCTCCTCGCATCGCTGATCGCTCGAAGACACTTGCCCACCGCCTCAAGATCCCCCAGTAATCCTATATGACCTCTGTCTGTCTTCACCAGACCTCCCTTCACGATCTTGTAGCCCTCTGGTGGTCGTGCCGACCGCGATAGAACAACTCCGTCCCCTGCTGCGAAAGCAAGATTATCGTATGCGTCAGCCCTTTTGATTGCTTCCCGGCTGTCCACACGTGCAGCAAAAACTGTCGGAACACTGTCGCTGTACAGTACCGCCATAGGAGGGTAGACGTCTGCGGAATGATGAGATGGATTGAAAGCTAATTCCTGCTTGAATTGGCGTACCGATCGCAAAGTCCGCTCAAGATAAGCAAGCGCTTCAGCACGAGGAAGCGTGCAAGCTGTAGCTACGGTATCTTTAGTTGCAGCTGGCGGCAATGATCCCATTGAAGGCTCGAGGGGCTGGGTGTTGGGGCTAGCAAAGGCCTCTTCGGCTTTCTGGGCTGTATGGTTGGCGCTTTCCTTGATAGCTTCTTTGGCGTCTTCGAGAGACACCGGAGCTTCTGGAGAGGGCGAATCAGCTCTTCGAGAGATGGAATTTCGCTTGTTTGACAAAGGAAGCGAGGGTAGACTATCCGAGAGCGCACCGATGATGCTCTTCCGTTGTTCAGGACGAGCTACAGGAGGAGTAGCTGCGATGCATGGTGATAGACAATAATCCTCCCATGTTTTGACGTCGAAGAAGTCAACATCATATCTTTCGCCCGTTGTTTTGCTGATAAAGCATTTTCCACTTTCTGGTAGCAGCGCGTAAGAAGTACGCAAGGTAAAATTAACTTGTGCAGTCAGCACACGTGAACTGAGTAGCACGTCATCACCGTTGCGGAGAGGACCAAGAATATTGATGCAGTGTTGAGGCACACCGGCATAGAGCACACCGGCAAACAGATCAGGCCGCTGATTTACTGCGTGGCGAGTAATAGCACCTCCAAGACTGTGAGCTATCACTACAGCGCCTCTTTGACGGCCTGTTATGTCCTTTTTATTGCACTGAAGAGACTCCAAGAATTGAATTAGTTGTTGGCTCAGTAAATCAGGGCTTAACCTCCAATCATAGCCATAATTGTGAATTCTGAGCTGATCTGGTCGGTCCCTTGCCGACCTTTTGAGGTGTCGAAGCAACCGTCTGCAAATGTCGACCGGTCCAATGTGTGAAAGGACTCCTGACGGGACAATCGTCTCTTTCATTCTTTCCTCGTCCTCTGGATTCAAACCGACTTCTAGATCAACACGACGAAGATTCATGCCAACCTAGAATTCCAACATCAGCCCATGACAGGAACTGGAGAGCAGCAAGAACATATCTAACCTTGACAGGAACCCAAAGCTGTTTGTGTGGTGGCTTTGCGGAGCGGAGAATTGACCCTCTGTATCCACCAAGAACAACCACATCACCAGCGAGGTCGGACACCGCTTCATTGAGAATTGGATGAGCATGCTTAGCCTGTTTACCAGAAGATGCATTTGTATTCGCTATGCCAGGTTTGTTCGTCGCAGAACTCCGCTGTACACTAGCATTGGTGTGATGACTGTCGAATTTAGTGTCATCACTGTTGTTGCGTTGGATGCCGCCGGGTTTGAGCGAGCTTAGACTGACGCTTGGCATCTTTGGCATTCTACTGAGAGCTGAATCTTGGAAGCTGTCCGTTATGGCCTTGAAGCGGGAATTGATCTGTTCGGAAACGTTGGTCCATTTCTCTGCATCGTCTTGGGTCGTCGTTCTATCTAAATCGTTGCGCATGAAAATGGAGCTCTCAGAAGTAGCCCGCCGCAATGAGCGTTGCTTTGGCGTGGCACGTGGGGACAGTAAGTGCTGTTGCCATGAACCAAGCGGTAGATTTTCATGACTATGTAGAAGAGAGGCAAATGCACTGTCGTTTTGTTTATGCAGGCTTTGGTTTGCCTGAGCTACGGCAACGGCAGGATCCGGAGGGTGACCCAGTGACACCCATGGCAAATTGCTTGACGAAAACAATGTGCTAGATCTTTTGGACGCGTTAAGCTGGTGGACTGTTTTGGACTTTGACCCAAACCCGAAGCTGGCCAAACCTGGAGCTCTGGGGAGAGAGATCGATGGCAGTTCGGGTAAGAGCTTCTTCAGTGCGTCTACCATCCCACTAGATTCCGAAGATGCTCGCCTTATCCTTGATCCAAATGCGTCTTTCATGATTGACCTTGTATTATTCAATCGAGACGCCTCTTCCACAGATGGCCCAATTGACGATGGCTGATGATTAGGGCTTTTAAATGCCTCGCCAGCCAATGTACCGTGCATTAAATTTGAGCCAATCTGAAGATCTTGATATGTATGCAGACTTGCATCGCCTTCTTTTTGTTCCCCATCTTCTGGTTCGAGGTCGAAGTAGTCCTTCGACTGATTTAGGACCTTGGCTTTCTCGAACGCAGGTGTATCTGCCGATTTCATGCGAAGTTGCTCTTGACCGATACTGAATCCAACAATGTCTTCGATGCCCTGGGCGGGCGAGATATCTATGCCGACTGCACCATCGTTCTCAGAAAGCCCTTCCATGCTTGTTGCTTCTCTTCTTGTCTCATCTGAGGTAGTTCGAGGTGCTGTGGAGATTTTGTGTGCGCTCATGGCCCAATATTGAGGGCCTGCCTTATTTTCCACGCCTCTTTCTTTCGTCTAAATTTCCATATCTGCATAAGTCCGCAAGAGCCAAGTGAGGGGAGTGGCAACGATGTATCATTGTGGCACATGAGTGGTAGAGCGAGGCATCTTGCTTGCAATGAGTGAGATTCGCAACTTCCAAGCGCACAAGAAGATAACCCATTTTGTGCCATTCTGGGAAACTGGAATTGGGACATTGTCAGTCGCGGCAACCCCGGTAACTGTCTGGGGGCGGTGTCGTGTGGTGGATGTAACATGAACTTGGTGCGTGAATTTGGGAGCTGATCCCTGACGTCTAGCCCCCTTTTCTAGTGCAGCATAAAATGTATTGGCAACTTACCCCCTAACCTTCAACATCCAAATAGGAGTGATGACTTCTCTGAACGGGCCCCAAATCGAACGAGATGTCAAGAAAGGTAAATACCTCAATCGAAATCATACCGTCCATCACAGTCTCTTTTCAACCATCATGTATAGGCGGACCCTTTGCTCAAGTCCCAGTATGAGAAACAGCGTTTCCCACAGACAATTGTTTGCGAAGATGTTTCTACAATCTTGGCCTACACAAAGCACTCTGGCTAGGCCTCAAATGGGGTCATCGGCACTCAGATATGCCTGTAGTTACTTCCTAAATCAGGAAATACAGCAAATTGCAACCGTTTCTTATTCTCATTGCCTGGGTGTGTTACAGAAGCTTGTAGATGCCCATGTGCCCCAGGATGCCGCAAGAGTTGGACACGTCCAATATTGCGCTTGGTTGCAAAAACTTTCTTCAAATAAAGGAGGGTCTCGTCAATCTCCATTGCATGGGTAACATTCCAAAATATTTTGTGGGGTTTTGTACTTGTGGTGAGCTTGAGTTTACGCCACCCAGGTCCCTTCGATTCTCTGGACCTATCTGGGATACTATGCGTGGTGAAGAGAGGCTCATGGCCATCTAGAAGACCCTAATTGTGGAATGGATATCACAAGATATGTAGAGCTTATTTCAAAGTCTCTCCCTCCAAGATACATTGACCTCAGTAGAGATTTTACTAGATTGCCGGCATCCTTATATTGGCTGTTTCAACAGTTCATGCATAAAAATTCTTCCTAACGAGGATCGCAGTTCGCTCGGGTTACAGTAGAATCCGAGTTCGCCTCACATTGAATCCAAGCTCAGCCAACGGAATACACTCGATCAGACTCGATTTTTCTACTGCTCCTCTTCGTAGTCCTCCTCTTCCGTTTTTCGTTCTTCCTTTTCTCCAGCACATTTCTCACTACCGGCGTCTTCTGCGATTTCAACGCTTAGCTCTTCATCCTTCTCTACCTCTTCGTCGTGTTCGGGGTCATCCTCGTCTCCCTCTTCTCTTCAATACCATCGTAGTCCACCTCATCTTCATCTGCTGTTGGCTGTTCACCTATATCTTCTACCACGTTCTCCTCATCTTCTTCTAATTTTTCCTCATCATTAGGATGAGGTTCTTTATTCTTTTCTTCTTCTTCCTGTCTAGTATCAACTTTTGCAGTTTCATTCTCGTCTTTGGCATCTACTCCCTCTTCCCCGTCAGTGTATCCATCAAATCAAATAAACCAAATAATGACCCCCATTTGATTTACTTATATAATCTCAGAGGTCAATTTGATCTGATTTGACTCATTTGTCAATTGGATTCAAATGTTAGTAACCAATTTTTGGTTAGGAGGACTGTCAAGGATTTTCAGCTCACAAGAAGAGTCTGCCAAGACTTTTTTTCCCATCAAAAATAGCACTAATCATTTCAAAGTAAAGACTTTTCCGCCAAGACTTCCATTTGACTAATTTCTCAAATTTCAAAGTCTTGATTTAGTTTGATGAAAGCACCGATTTGGCTTAATTGTCAAGCATTTGATTTGGTTCGTTTGACTCAAATGGACACACTGTTCGCCTTCTCCTGGGTCTATGTTACTAGTAGTAGTGGATCTTCATCTGGGCACTGATCAGAAAGGGCTATGTATCTGCTATCATTATTCTTCCCGCTGCTGCTGCCCTTTTTCATTATTGCACTGCTTCGTTTCTGCGCTAGATGTGACCTGGCTCTTCGTTGTCTATTCTCCGTTTATCTGAAGCCCCGACTAAGATGACGTTGGTATATCTCTTTCCTTAGGCACAACCACTCATCCTCGGCAATTCAGCTCCTATATTGCCCCCCCACCTCTCCTCTGTTATGACCGCCAAGCAGGGTACTCGTTGTGAGGGCCAGGAGGACTCTGGTAGATCATTCTCTTGTTTGGCACCTGCCTTGTTTGATTGATAGCTGCCTTGTTTGATAGCTGCCTTGTTTGGCAGCTATCTAATAGAATTATTGTAATGATTTGCATGCAAATATAGTACAAGTTATTATGAGCAATCATGATTGATCAAGAGCAATTAGGATTCCTACTTCAATAGAATTAATCTCAATAATTTGTATGCAAATGTAATGCAAATTGTTGTGAGCAATCATGAGCACTCAGGAAGACTCATTGTACTGTTAGTACTAGTGGTATTAGTGGCGTGCGCTATCAGGGTCCGGCTGCGGCTGTATCACCAAATCCGATGTGCACATGCACTGCGCCGTACTTCGAAGGGAATATGCCATATTTCGACGTTTCATCACCATGTAAAGCTTCCAGATAGAGCCTAATCTCTTCGAACTCAATATCGTTGCCAAGTCGATGCATGATTGGTGTTGTCCCAATTAAGCAGATCTTTCTTGGTGATCCGATCCTCCAGCGCTGTCTCTAATTCTACCGTACCAGCTGGAACAAGGGTAAAGTCGTTGCAAACCTTCCACTCGTGGTAAGAAAGACTTCCTCTAGCATCATTTGTTGTTGAGGCCTGCACATCAATGCTATAATTCTTTGAAGATCTCAAAATATTCTGCACAATGTGTAACGGCTCGGTCCAATATGTCCTGTAATTTCCAATCACATTTGCTCGCCCTATACCTTGCCAGTCCTTAGAAGAGTCAGCCTCGTCCACGCGCAACGCCCAACCACGATGGCCAGGACGTGTATCGAGATACAGCCGGTGCTCCGCATGGTTCCTCAGTCCAATCGCTCTCTTGACCCTAGTTGGAATATCCTTGACGATATGATCTCTCGCGAGATGTTGCTGCTGGAGAACTTTCACAAGCAGGTCCTCATGAAAGGCTAGTGTCAGCTCGATTTCGACACCAAAGCCAGTGATAATGGTCGAAGCATTTTGCGCCATGAAAAAACTGAGACCCAGCCCCGATGAGCGGCTACTTCGGACAGCAAGTGATAGTGTCGGAGGTTTAAGGCCATTGAGGGAGGATTTGGTAGCAATGTGTAGAGCTGAAGAAACCAAGGAAGGGCAGAACAGAGATGAATACTGATAGAAGCGGAGACTATGGGTAAGATAGTCTCGCCGGGTCCAGCCGATGGGTTCAAGATACACACACAGGTTGCCACTGGGAACGCTTATTAGATGATAATTGTGGTTACAGCCGCCGGGACTGCGTGCGGCAAGCATGGTGAATGGCTTTGTCTGAATAATCTTGGCGCATTCCACTCACCGTGCCAACAAGGTCATGAGACTACTAGCCACCTTACTTTCAAGAACATTACTTTTCTCTTGGCGGATTGAGCGTTGGAGTGGTAGGCGACTCAGGTGCTTCGTCAATGGCATGAGAAATGTTGCTGGCAACGAGGGTAGGGCAGTCAATTCCCCAAAAAATTCTTTCATTCGGCTATGACTGGACATGCAGAGATCTTGCAGGTAATGACCTGATAGAGCATAGAGATGGGATTCGTACTGGACTGAGCTACCCTCCACCTCGCTGTGAAATGCATCTTGCACTCCATTACTAGTAAACCAGCGTGTGTAAGGCTCAAACCGGCAATAGGTTGACTAGGTTAAGCCTGATCGAGAAAGTTCCGACCCTGTTCGTCTTTGGTTGCATACCCACCAATGAAACTTCGTATTACGAAGCACATCCCCAACCCAGCAACGGAACTACCGCATTTGACACTTTATCGATCAGGACGACATGCAGGTATCTTCCAACTGTCTTACCTTGCCCAACATCAAATCCCTGGCCAACCCGCCTTTATAGTACCGAGGCAGAGGATTTAACACCGCTTCAGCCAGCGAGTCTACCCTTTAGCGTGCAGAAGAGAACTTAAGGCAAGCACAGTGGGGGTGAAATCTTCGCCTCGTAGAGACTTCAAAATAACCCATCAAGGCCTTTGTGGGCTCAGGGGCCCTCAGCGCCAGCAAACAAGTGAACGTAATAATGTCTATTGACTCAGCGGTAATGGGCAACAACAATTTTTTCTTGGTGGCTGATCTCGGGGGGTGCTTGTTGCCGCCCTTACTTACTGTACTCAGGCGCGGGTTGGCCCCACTCACCAGCTGCTCACCCGACTCACCTTCAACTCCGGCGTCTTCACTTTTCTCTCCTAATCAACCAAAGTCATGTGTTCCTGACTGAATATCTTGTTGTATCGTTTTGGCCAACTTTGAACAGTAGGAACTGGTTTCACACATCCCAACACCCCTCTCTATGGGAGTGACATTGATAAGCACGGACTGTGGATGGCAATCGTTGACCAGTTTCAATCCTAGAGCATCACGAAACCTGATGAACGGCTACCAGCACTAACTGTGATTGTCCGTCAAGTTGACGAACGTGTTTATGGGGCAATACTGTGCTGGGATGTGGAATAACCACCTTCCTGAGACTCTGTGGTGGCCGGACTGCAGCAAATTTGCTGGAGAAGGTCAAGGATTTTGCCAGCTCACACTCGTAAAGCCGATCTCGGAATTTACATCTGTCGCTCGAGGCACCTAATTCACATGTGTTATATAAGTAAGCCACTGAAGCAGTGTTGAATTGCTCGCGGTCGGTTATCAGATAATCGGACACGATCCTCACGGACCATGTTGAGAAGCCAGTACTTATTCCGATCCGAGGGCAAGCTTTGAGGTTTGAAATTGAGTAGCGACTTGAAGAATGATATAAGAAATTCTATTAGGTGTACGCGAACAGCGAGCAAGCCAGAGCCGCGTTAATGTCTAGTACAGTTTCTCTAGAAGTCTCTGCTCCTGCACTAACACCAAGTGCTTCTCTGTCAGTTTCCTTCAATACTAAGTACTAGTATTCAAGATTTCGGACATATGAATAATGTCCCCTTAGAAGGACTCAGACAAGACCTGAGGAGGGATACAAGCGAATCGGCCTGGGAAAGCTACCAACCACTTTGCGTCAGAAGATTTTTGCGAAACTTTCAACCTACGACTTTTTGACGTCCGCCAAGATAAAAACTTCCGCTCAGCAGTCACTTAGCAGGAAGAGGCCCTCTAAAAATAATGCTAGGGGAGCCATCAAAGTGCGCTTAGATTAAGCCTAACCGTGATATGACTTACAGAGTACAAGGATATGCAGCTTAGTCGTTTATGATCTAATAAAATCTTTCTATCTACAACGTATTTTACTAAAAATATGGTTATAGTATGGTCAAAATATGCTTCTTTTATCATATTAGTATGGTGATCATTTGACGAAATGACTGTCATTTCTACTAATGGCACTTAGCGCAAATCTTTAGCTACCCCTTCTCATGGTAAGCAATACAGGGCCTTACAGCCTTGGTTAGTACTAGTAGTCGATATCATCAGTAATTAGCCATTGTGAACAGGTATTCGTGATTTTTGGTCCGAGTTACAGCGTAGGTATGTCCCATTCGAGACTTTTTCAAGTCCCCGAGTCAGACCAGCGGCATGGAGGTGGTTTTTCTAGATGTCTCCGCTTCAAGCATTCCGCACGAATATCGTCCGGCTTAAGGAGGGCTAGGCGGACGAGTCCGATGAAGTGTTCTTTTCACACGAGTCTCAAGCGTCTTGCGGATTTATCTGTTTGTTTGCATGCGCTCGGGAAGGCACCGTCCGTCAAACCATTGAAGTAACATTCACCAATAAAATTGTATGCAGCTTGACAATTCGACAGTTGTCTCACGAGATATATATAGGCTGTTGCCGCCGTGGAAAGCTGCAATTTGACCACCCGTCTTTGCAGCTGCTGGCACCCTCTGCTGACTGGGCCATCCTCGCCCCTAGCAGAAACATTCATCATATCATTGAACATATCGTCCAATTCATCCAAAAAGACTGACCTTCAGGCTCGAGTCCCCCATCACAGACACGGGTCTCGATTCTATTTCTAGGGCAGGGATGCTACAAAGGCAGGCTGCTTCCACCGCCTAGCACTGTTTACAAGTCTTGAAACGTCAGCTCTGTGTCTAGCTACCAGAAGGGACCATCGAGCTTGCTGACCTATTTTATCACGTTGAGTGGTGAAGATTGCGAGGTGCAACAGAATCTGCATGATGCCTTGAGGCATATCGGTCACCAGGCCAGAGAGAAGCATTGCTTGTTATGGATAGATGTAATCTACGTCAATCAAGAGGATGTCGATGAAAGAAATGCTAAAGTCAAGAAAAATGAAGGATGTATACGAGTGTGCGGACAGAGTTTTCGCCTGGCTTGGAGTTCCCTTCAATGACGGAGAGACCGGGCTCGCAGTTGAACTGATGCGCAACTTCAATGTGTGTTTGGAAGAGGGTCTCACAAACAACAACGACAACGTAGGCGCAGTTCTCGCAATGGTCAACAAAAGCCATGCTGGTGGAATTCCCGTAAACAGCGTCAGCCGATGGCATTGCAGTGATGGTCTCAAAAATCATACTGGTAAAGAGTATGTATGTACCAGGAGGCCACCACGCCCGGACACATTCATTCTTCTGCGGCGACCGTGTATTTAACAATATCCTTTGGTCTAATCTTTTCAGAATCCCGGGTTACGACGTCGGATTTTGTCGAATCCGGTGGATATTATAGTAATGCATCATCGCTATCATTGGCACGGCTTGTGCGCGAGAAAGTGAATAGTCAACGATTGATCGACCTTATGGTTCAAGTGAAAAGGACGAATTGCACATAGCCAAGGGATAGAGTTTATGCTCCGTTGAGCCATGCAGGTGATGTGGCCCCTGGTCAAATCGCTCTTCATTACCGCAGAAACCTTGTCCTTGTTCATATGGATGTGGCACGGGTTGTGCTTTTCCATCCTGGCGTGAGATGTCTGGAAGTCCCTGGCTGATCTTTGCGCCTGTAAATAATGCTTCACACAAGTATTTATCGATGACGATCGAGCCACGGATACCCTCCTGGGTCCCGGACTGGAGCGCGTCCCCACCGTCCACGTATAGGACAGGACGATATATGGTGGTGCCTCGTCCAACTTGTATGCCTGAATGTTGCATGACAAGCCGCTGTCGTCTAAAAATGATGTCCAGCTGAGCCTAGTGTTCGGTACTATGGTGCCCACCACTAGATACTCAATATGAATTCAATTATATTTCAAGCGTATTCAGAGTACGTTCAGAGGGCGTTTTGAGTGCGTTCGGAGTATGTTCGAGTGCGCTCTGAGTCTCTGAACGCACTTGAAACAGCGCTGGCGCATTCCTTAAATAGGCAAGCTTTTCAGACGAATTCAATAATTCAAATGCCATTTGGGTGTGACTCAAGTATATTTAATAGAATCAATAAAAATGTCTTCTAAAAAGTGTTACAACTAAATTTTTTAGTTTCTAGACTTTAGATTTATAATTATTGAAGCAATTGAATATACTCAAGTGGCATTTGAGTAGTATTAGTACTAATTCGAACTAGTATTTGTTAGAGGATGTAGCAAATAGCGTACGGAGATACCAATTGAATTGATTGAGTTGCTCCTATCAAGAGGAGCATTTGCTCACACTAATAGCTATAGAAGCGCATTACTGCAACAGCTCAGAAACAGCATTTGGCGTTCAATTCGTATAGCAATGCTCACTGCCATAAATAACAGGGCGTAAAAGTTACAAGAGCGTTTCGTGCGTTTCGCATGCGGGGACCCCTGTATCATCCTGCTAATACGTAACAGATACGTATCGTATGCGCAGGGATTCTGACAGTATTGAGTTGATATTGAACAACTAATGGTGAGCATGATAGTATTGAGGAAATCAAGAAGGATTGTTTTACATAAAAACAAACCCGGCCTCTCACAGAAAAATGTCAGCATATAATAGACGGCAACTGATTCCCCTCTTCTTATCTCCATCAACTCTCGTGTTTGTATTTCTCAATGATCCTAATATAGAAAATTGCCTCTTTCGGTAATACTGGCTATGCATCCAGTCACAGAGTCTGTTTCTCTCACACAGAAAGCCGGAACATCTCATTAAACCAACTACATTGGTCGATTAAGCTACCTATAAGTTGTAGGTATGCTGTTAGTGGCCGATGTGATACTGACTCACGGACACCGCCACCATATTGGTGACGGTTGGCGCAAATGGCAGTGAGAATGGCTTCAGGGTTGAAATTATTTGTTTTCCTTTCGGAAGGGAGGGTTAGAGACTAGGGATTAGAAATGGCATGAATTAGCATTGTGAAAGGCGGATGTGGGTGTGATACGGGCGAGATGAGCTGCGGCGGGTTACAGAAATTGGAATTGTGCAAGGAAGGGGAAGGAAGAGCGGGAGGATGTTAGGATCCCAGGGGAGTGCAAGGGCAATAGAACAGCAGGGTGTCAGTGGAATGACTTATTGAGCGCAGAGAACTAGAATCCATCTAGAGAGAACAGAGATCTAAATATCAAGAGGCCTTTATGCTATAGAAGAACGTAGAACCTTCTCAGCAGCTACCAAACAATGCAGCTACCAAACAATGCAGCTACCAAACAATGCAGCTATAAAACAAGGCAGTTGCCAAACAAGAGAATGAACCACCAGAGTCCTCCTGGCCCCCATACCGTGCGCAGGGCTTGGCGGTCATAACAAGCTGACATGCTCTTGGTCTTATAGCATCTTGCTTTTATCATGCTTCAATATGAGCAATTGATTATCAAGCTGTTCCCGAGGCACCGCAATGGCAGCCACCCAGACAATATATTGCGTGGTCTCTGTCGAGAAGACACGAAGTCCAACCAACAAAGAGCTCGCCTGTACATAATCAGCATGGGCGACTCCTATAAACCGAACATGGAAGACCTAGCGAAGGATGTATTCTCAACTCGATCGATCACGGACTTATGCGTAGTGATGCAGTTCGATAGACCTGCTCGTCCCCCAAAGTACGGCACCAAAGGACACTTGGTCAACTTTATCAACCTTGCCGAAGCCGAGAAAGGTAAGGAGGGAGTAAAGCGAACGGTAGAGTTTCGTCATCACGAGAGCACGGTAGACCCCAACGCCATCAAGATGTGGGTCAAGCTTTTGCTGAGGATCTGCCACGCCGCAGAACGTAATGCGAAGACCGAACACCAGGCTAAGGATCCAAGTAAGTCCTCGAAGGTTGTTTCCCCAGCAGAGAAGGAACGTCGCAAGTACAAGGCACGGCCGTCCAACCTGGACCACCTTCATACAATCGATGATTTGTTTGAACTCATTGGTTTGGAAGAGAACGGATCGCTTGACGCAAGAGATAAAGAGCTTCGGGTATACTGGCAACACAGATACAATCAATATCACGACGCTAACGAGGGTTTGCAGCCGTCACCAGACTTTCCCGACTCGCCTATCATAGCCGGCGCGACGGAGCAAGCAACAGGCAGTGGGGGTAATGCTCCTCCACGATTGCAGGCAACAGGAAGCGGCGCCAAATCTCCTGCCCAGCGTGCTGCATTCCAAAGAGAAGTCCCTGACACTCCTGCTTTCACAGAATATAGGGAGCGCAAATCTCCGCCCAGTGATGAGAATGCTGGAAGCAGTAATGGCAATGATGTCGTCACTGGAAGTGGTCCAGGCAATAGAGCCCATCATCGACGGAGGGATAATAGTTCTCGATTGCTTCGTAGGCTGCACCATGGCCCTTCGATGCAAAAGAAGGCAGAATCAGCCAGAAAGATGAATCACAAAACAATTACCGGGAACGCAGCTCCAATGTCTAGGGAACTCAGGTCTGGTAGGAAGTATTAGAAATTGGTCTTATGAAGAACAACACGGGCGTGGCACGTTTCGATGTCAGGTAGCACTTAGTATGAGCAGGCTATTGGCATGCAAGGTCGTCCGTACTACTATACTTACTACGTAGTAGTATGTCATCGAAGTACTACGTACGTAGTATCATTCGCCAAAAGCTTGTCCAAAAGCTTGTCTCCCAAGTGGAGCATTGATCAAAAGCTTGATTGGGGGATGGTGATTCAGTGGGGCGCTGATGGATGAGATGCGATAGATTATCTGCCAATCCACGCCAAGTCTTCTGATTGGGCATGTGGTACTTAGCTAACTTAAACAGGGCGAAGTCTTTTACTCAATCGAACATTGATGTGATCTAAGAAGCATGTCAATTGGCCAAGACGACTTTCTTGTTTGCCTCTGCCCAGTTTGGCTGATTTAGCTTGTTCCATGACCAAGTTCGGAGGTTGGCATTAGGTGGCGGTTGTCGATCTTCTCACTTCAATAACGGTCCACGTGTCGATCTTCTTGCCCAGGATGATGATTTCGGACGAGTCCATAGGGGATGTATCGCAGTGAATCGTGTAAGAATCTTGATTTTGTGAAGGGCTGCTCCCGATCTTGTCAGTGAGCTCAAAAAGAGCTACAGTTTCTAGATCGGCACCTTGTGCGCAGGCAAGTTTTCGTAGCAAACACTTTTCTCATGACCACGACTTCCCAGAATTTCCCACCTACTCTTCCCTTGTCCTTGCTTCCAACATCTCTTGAGCTTCTCGTTGCTTAGAGGTAATCTCCCATAACGACCTCGAAGCTATTCATTCCTCTCTAGATAGCTTACGCAGCTCACAATCATGGGTCTCTTTGCCCGCAAACGTCCAGTAGATGGAGCGACAAATGGTCATGGACCTGCGCCACGAGCCTCCCATGAGAGTCGTTCAAATCATCAGAAAGAGAAGTTTGACATCGACTCTGGCTATTACAACCGTCGCCCATCATTTGGCCAGTGGCTTAAGTGAGAGAATGTCCTTGACGATATTGGATGAAAATGCTGATTCGCACCAGAATGACATGGCTCGATGTTGTGACAATGATCATTATGGGTATGCTAGATATTCTCTGCCACCAGCACGAGCTGACCAGTTTTAGGTGCTATCGGACTCGGTGTATACTTCGCTCGTCCAGCACCATCCCGCTCATTCCCCGTCTACTTCCAAGACGGTGAGGTTGTCTATCCGGACTTCGCTTATCCTCTTCGCAAAGAAATCATTCCCATCTGGGCCGCGGCGCTATTAGCTGCACTCGTCCCTATCGTCGTCTTCCTCTTCATGCAAATCCGAATCAAGTCGTTCTGGGATGTCAACAACGCTGTCATCGGCTTGCTCTACTCATTAATCACCGCGGCAGTCTTTCAAGTATTCTTGAAATGGCTCATTGGAGGTCTTCGACCGCACTTCCTTGCCGTCTGCAGACCGAACATCCTACCAGGACAGGTGACAGGAAATGGATACAGAGAGATCATGTACGATCGCAAGATTTGCACGGGTGATGACAAGCAGATCAATGATGCTCTTGAGTCTTTCCCTTCCGGACATTCGACCGCTGCAGTAAGATACGAATCCTACCAGTTGTCCATTCATACTATCTTACTGACATCTCCGCGTCCTAGTGGGCTGGCTTTGCCTTCCTCTACTTTTACCTGAATGCCAAACTCAAGGTCTTTTCCAACCATCACCCAGCCATGTGGAAGTTGATCGCCTTGTACGCACCAATTCTTGGCGCAACGCTCATCTCCGGCGCCTTGACCGTCGACGAATTTCACAACTGGTACGATGTTGTCGCCGGCGCCATTATTGGATCTGTCATGGCTTTGTCCGCTTATCGAATGGTCTACGCTTCCGTCTGGGACTTCAGATTCAACCACATCCCTCTAACACGTCACACGCCCTTCGCATATGGTGGCGGCGCTCCTGGTGCAGGTGGATTCGAATCAGCAGTTTGGACCCACAAGGCTGGCTGGGGACATGAGGAAGCTCTTGGCGGTGCACCCTTCGATGCCGCGCACGGAATGAGAGGCGTGTTTGGCAATGCAACCGGGCTGAGAAATGGCGGAGGTGAGACCGGCATTGGTCATCACCACCATGGACATGGGTCACAAGGCCAAGGACTTCTGGGTAATGCTGGACGTCATTCCAACGGCGAGGGCGACCTCGTCGACAGCCATCAACAATCGCACGGTGGCGGATTTTTTAACCGAACCAGACACAACAACTCTGCCAATAATGCTACCACCCTCGAGAACACAATATCCCATCCTCACAATCCTGCAGACAATACTCGCTCCTCAAATGACATGATGGCAGAGCCGGGCCTGATGCATGGACATCAGAATCAGACTTATGAGTCAACTGTGTACGGCCATCATCAACATCATGGGTCCGGATCGAGTTCAATCGGGCGAAGACCCGTCCCGCCGGCCAAGGAGGGGTACGCCGGAGGTGATAGGATGGTCTGAACCTTGAACACTGTCTGGTACTAGCGCGGAAGTGCTGTGAAGCTAGGCAGCTAGAAGTCCTGGCAGGGCAGTTGAGATGAGGAAGGTCACGAAAGACGCTGAGGGAGAGGCCGGGATTCACGTATGCAAGGGGTACCGAGTATGGAAGTCAAGACAGGATGCTCTGCATGTTTTGGCTTGAGTTCCTGACACACTCTGACCCGGGCTATTGCAATGAAGACATGGCTCGGGATGAATTGTATTTGAGCCCTTCGGAGAGACCAAGCGCAGCACTACTTAGCTGTTCAGCGGAGCTCGAAAGCGTGATCTGACCTGACCTGACCATACCTTAACATACCACAGGCGGTTGCGGCGCACAAGGTGCTGGCAATCAAACCAATCAATCAATCAATCAACCGGTCAATTCTTCTACCATACTAATTTTGGTATCATCCTCCGAAGGTTCTAACTTGGTGAATCGTTCATTCGTCCGTCCAAACTTCCCAGACCTGCATTCCCACGCCCCTCGCTTCCCACCTCTAACTATCGTTCATCAATTATATGAGTAGATACCTACTTTGCCTTTTTGGCATCAGTGAGCCAGCGGTCAGCCAGCATGAGATCCCTCGGAAGCTTTGCCGCCTCAGATTAAACCAGGTCGTGGCATCCTCTTCCAGCTGGGTAGGCTGCCAAGGATGAAGACTTGGGTATCGGATAGGCAACCTGCATTGAAACCGTGGTGGTGGCAAAGTTAAGAATACCCATATCTCTTCGTGGAAGCACGTTTTCGTCGTTGCGCACTAGAATTGGGGACGGAAACATTCCACGGAGAAAGATTGGTAGTACAGTAGGGAGGTGCTATGGGTTGGTTGTCAGTATCATGTCAGTAGAAGTAGGGCTTGTAGCAAAATACAACATTGCGACTATTGCACTTTTGCCGATTCATAGAGTTAGGGTGGTGAGCGATGCCGATGTAGGGACATCTGCACCTGCATTCGGCTTCGTGAGCAAGGGGGCTAAGCTAGTCGATGCAGTGCGAAGATACGTATGCTTCAGTCCTAGTGCTGGCACGTTCGTCATTCGGTGATACATTGGTTATCGTCTTTTGGTCAAGATATTCGACTAAGATGTTATACATTCCGCTAGACTTGACGGAGATATGCCAGAGCAATGACTGATAACGACGAACAAGATCATGAACGTCGTATCGAAGGTCGCTAGGTACCCGTAACCGGAATCGTCTTGACGGCACCAACATGATGTAGAGGACGAGGATGCCAGCACTATTCATATCTTTCAGCACAGATCTTGCGTCACCTCCTGCCGTTCGCTCGTCTCGATCCTAAAACCGGAATCGAACGCACTCTTGTGATAATGGCTCGCTAGAGGGAGCACAAAGGACTGCCAAGATGTTCCCCTGCAGGTTGCAGAATGTAAGACTCGTATCGTATAAGCATGCTATGATCTGCAGGGGCTCAAAATGCCATGCCACGGCGGCACTCGTTCAATTCGACCTTTCTATCCATGGCACAAACTGCTGGTCATAAGTCGTGATTTACTGTCCGGATATGGTCAGGAAGTGGTAATGATATGATTTATTGGCAATCAGAGAAGACGGTATGGGTTAAATCCGCCATATTGGTTCGGCAGAATGGTTCTTGATAAGTGTCCAGTCAAGAAATGGAAGACTGTATTGTTCAAGTTTGGCATATGGGTTATGTCTCCTCGCCCATGCCATGATAAGAAATGTAGCCCTGAGGTTCGAAGTCAAGTTGATATGATTAGAAGATGAAAGGTCGGCAATGAAACTATGGTGATGGTAGAGGCCAAAGAGAACCTTCTCTCTACCAGTGGTTTAGACGAGGTAAATGCTTGGATTTCTGCCTGGGTAGAGTACGTCCGCCAGAAGTGTATGCGTATAGGTCCTCTGTCTGCGTTCCTCGTTCAAATGTGCTGCGAAGATAGTTTCAATTGCTGGCGTGGCTTCCTATTGAACAATTGTATTTATCTGACACGATTATTTTTTCCCAGCAAAAGGTTTGTCCTCTCGAATTCAGGCATGCCAGCTTGCCGTAATTGTTGCCTGATTTCACAATCTGCGCACTGGAATAGATCATGCCAAGGTAGTCTTATCTGGCATGATTGAAGAATTGGTTGACTCGGGTGAGTTGTAGTGGTCGGATATCCGCGGCAAATAACCGACTTGATTCCCATCCTGTCGGCACTGAAAGGTTATCATTCTCAATATGTCTTTCTTCTCGGGTTCTGCCCTGCAACTTGAGTGTCATTCATCAAAGAAAATGACAGGGTGGCCCACAATCACGGTAACGATGTAGCCCCTTTTCGAGCGCTTTGTGCCATAGTATCCCACCGAGCTGACGTATCCTGGGCTTAGGCTGCAATATGCAACTGTGCTGTAGACTCGGTGACTTAATCCTGAAGCGCGAAGTTGCGATTGAGGTGTAGTCCAGGGGAGTTATTCGTCATTTAGGAATGACTTCTCTGGATTTGTAGGGGTAAAGAGAGGGGCACAATGCGAGCACATCCCTCTCGCAGAAATTAGCTTTGACGTGGTTTGTCGACGGCTTAGCCAACCTGATTGACCGAGAGGTCATGACACCAGTTTTACGGCATTGGGCTTCTTAAGTCAGTGGTTAACCTGAAGAACTGCATAACAAGGAGAATTGAAATCTTTATGATCGAGGCACAAAGAGTTCTTGAAAATGTGAACCATGATTACGCTATTGCAGAAGCAGGTTCACTGCATTGCGCAATGAATGCGCCATTTCAAGAGTCGACCTAGAGGAAATGAAATATAAGACTGGTAATGTATGTTTGTAGCTGATACCACGACTTGGTGTGTCGCGACACAAATCAAATATGAAGAGACAAAAGTCTTGATTCGTACAATCTTCACGTACTCGTACGTATTGCTTTATATAGAGCTCGATAGACTCAAATTCATCCAGTTCGGATCGTGATCAGTCTGGATTGATCATAGACTACCTCTGCAGCCGGAGTCAGGAATCTAGATGAAAGACCTGCCAAAGAGAGGAGCGCTTCTGATTGTAGTGTAACGAACCCGTAAGTCTGTTAAAGTAGAATACGGCCGATAGAACATCGCAGGAGGTTTCTTTGCGCCACAAGATTATGTCAAAATTAGTTGCCTTGCAATGTGAAATTTTGTCTGTTGAGGCAGGCTTTGTACTTGGGCTTAGCTCGACGTTTGCATAAAAATCGAAAATGGCTTGTAGCGGTAGATGCGGATTAGGATTGATATTTGGAGATATGAGAATTTGAAAGAGGTTCGAAACAAGATGGTTGGAAGGTGGTCTGGCTCGACTGAGGAGTATGAAAAATGGAATATTATGGGGAGACTGTCGAAAGTCAACGTCGTTACAGTTTATCCCAGTAGTGAAGAAAGGGACCTGAGGGAGGTAGCTTTATGGCAGCTCTGTGGCTCGCCGAAGAAAAAACAGTATGGAGATGGGAAAAGGCTTCTGCAGCGACTCGCGCCCTAGTCCGTGAAAATGAAGGTAATGTTCTGGAAACAACTTTGCCGATCTCAAGACTTCGATTGAATAGCTGAAACACGGCTGCGCTTAGCCACATTTTCAGTAAGGGAGAGAGGGTCGAGATCGAGGTGAGTTGAAGTAAGGAGTCGATGTCAGGGCAGGGTAGGATCCAGCCCGCGCGACACGATTAGAAGCACTGTACGACAGTATAGCCATCTCATGAGAGCGACCATTGGTACTCATGCTCCCAAGCAGCTGGTTTATGAGGCAGCTGCGCTCTTCAGTTGAGTTAAGAAAACCCTTTAGCTTGAGGAACAAGGCTTGAATATAGGAGATGTCGCCCAGGCAAGCTAAGGGGGAAATGTGCTCAGATGACCATAACAACTAGGGCCTGCTTCTTGACGCAGGCAGCCGAAGCTGCGCCCCGCTAGATGGCCTCAACTTGAATAGCTACCCCGCCACTTCTTTATAAGTGTTCATGGGTCTGTTTAGTTCTTTCTTGCTTGCTTGAGTTTTGCGCCCCGCATTGATCAAGATATATCCGTACTGAAATATGAAAGACTGAGGGACCACAAGATTGCTTTCAGCATCTCATCAGCCGCATTTTCACACTCGGCTGAAACTTCAGCAATATTTTTCGCGTCTCCCAAGGTCACCGCACCTAGTTCTAACGCTGAGCACCGAGTCTTGAACAGAGCAGACGGACCATGGGTTTCTTCAAGTCACTGAAAGGCGAAGGTCCAAAATCTATTGGTGGCAAGGAAGAGTCTCAAGATCAACAGCAGAGGTCTTCTGAAAAACGTCGTCTCTTCGGCCATGCCTTACCGAGTGCGCAGATATTCACCTGTCAGACTGATGCCAGCTGACTTGTTAAACACAGATCAGTATGACCCTCCTGCAGGTCCTCCTCCTTCACACATGAGATCAACCGAATACGAACCACCTCCTGGACCTCCCCCAGGGCAGTACAGCAAGGCGACGGACACATTCGCTCCACCATCTGGACCTCCTCCTAGACAGACCAATGCAACCGAGGACAACCCGCCACCTTACCATGACTGGACAGTGATACCCGACACAGCTTTGCTACCACCTCCACCTGCCATACATTACGAGTGTTCTGCGAATAATGCCTCCTGGGATGACGCCGCCCGTGCGCACGACTGGTGCCGGCAGAACCCCTTGTACTCACCTTCAAAACCCCACCCTTCTCTTTATAATGCAGTTCAGAATGGTGATATCTCCCTTCAGAAACCACAAGAGTTTAAAGGCGATCTTACACAACGTGGCAAAGGACAATGGAAGGCAACAACGAAATTCTCTTGTACAGACTGCATTTTCTTGAGCACCTTGCCGCTTTACTTCGCAGTAGAGGATTCTCCTCTGATGACAGGGAGATCCAAGACCATATACTTTGAAGTGAGACTACTTGCCACCGGTGGAAATATTGCCAGGCAAGCGGCCGGTGTCGCTGTAGGGTTCTGTGCAAAGCCTTATCCTTCATGGAGGCTTCCAGGCTGGCAACGTGCGTCACTGGGCGTTCATGGGGATGATGGCCGACGATTTGTAAATGACCCCAACGGTGGAGTCGACTTTACAAGGCCTTTCAAGCCAGGGGAAACTGTAGGTATTGGAATGAAATTCAGTATCGCACCGAATGTCCAAGGCCATGGTAAAGCTCATGCAGAGGTGTTTTTCACCAGAGATGGTAAGAGAGACGAAGGCTGGCAAGTGGACGAAGAACGTGATCGGGAAAGTGACAGTGTGCTTGGTCTGGAGGGGGGGATGGACCTATATGCAGCAGTTGGCATGTTTGGCGCTGTTGACTTTGAGGTACAATTTGCGCCAGGAGGTTGGCTCTACCAACCAGAAAGTGCCTGATATCTATAGCAAATCAGATAAGTCTGGTGCTCAAGGTTTTGGCTGCTGGCTCGGTGCATATAACAGTGTGAAACAAGGTCATACTCTGCTGTGACCTGGTCGGTGTACACGTAATACATCATCTTGTATGGTGTTTTGTGCTTGCACATTCAACAACCAAAGCTCCTTTGGCCCGGATACTGGAAGAAATCCGGGCCGCCTTCCACGAATCCCCGAAGCTTTCAGCCCTTTACAGATCTTCGGTGGATGACTCAGGAAAAGGGGCTGCCAGGGGTGCAAAGTCTTTGGAAAGGCTGCAGGAATAGCATAGTATGTGATATGTGATACGTCAAATAACGCGGCGTTATCTCACTAGAGTGTGGTTGGGCATGAAAGCTTGTTTAGACGTCGACGAGGTCAGGAAGTAGATCTTTGACGCGCCTTTTAGCAATATTTAACTCAGCCACGTGGAATGACGACGGTCACCACGCCTTGTCCACTCGCTTTTTGATGTGAGACGACCATGTCGAACGGCCGCCCGGTAACTTTATCTCGCATAAGATCTGACAATGTTCCACCGATATATTGCGCTTAGGAGGCTGTACCTGTCGTAGGAGGGTGCCGTTGATTGCATTTCACAGACGATGCTATTGTAGGCAGACCTCTTGGGTTCAGCGTCAACAGAGCTTAAGCATGTCATCACAAACCCAACGCCAACCACTTGAACGAATCTTAGGCCCCTTGAATTTTATGAACCAAAGCTGGAATGCGTATACTTCCATAGGCACTTATCCAGAACTGGAGGTGACAGCGGCAGCGGCAGCGGCAGGGTCGAATAATGAGCCGAGATCATCATGTACATGATGCTTTAACTTTCCGGGGGGAAGCAAGTGCCCATCTCCCCGGCGTTTCTGGCTAAAAATTGCAAGATCAAAGGTTGCTAGTGTGTAACCTGCGAGCATGTCTTCTCCAGTCCGCCAATCCATGCAAGAAGGCCTACTGTTGACTTGTTGTGATTGGAAAGGTTCATCCCGAGCCGAAATGCTGCAGAATGTACGGAGCAGTGGTTGAGCTACGAGAACAAGCACGACTCAACATTTCTTCCGTTGTACATAGTCAATGCACTAACATGGAACCAGCGTAAATCTTCTGTTGACTTCGGCCACCGGTGAGGCCTTCCAGGTACTATCAACCCTTGTACTGCCATGAAAGTTTTGCTATGCTTGTACGGATGTCATCTGTTGTCTCGTTGCGGTGAGATAATGCTCGAACACTAGGTCTCTGCCATGGTCTTCGCTCGCTTCTGCAGAGCCAGTAGGTTTCGCCATCAGGTCGAATCGGTTGTGATTACTTGAATTCCTAGGTGATGCCCCCACGTATGCGCCCCTCCTCATTAAGCCTTTCTCGTTCCATGTATAGGATGGTATTGGAGCCAATATCTCATATGGACTTGGATCCAAAGAGGCCACTGACCCGACATGCTCGGCTACATTTACGTAGTAGGCAGTCAGTGAGCGTCAACTTCAGGGGTCGAGGTGGAGGTGGTTAACATCTAACGGGACGTCACTTTGCCGATCAAGCTTGGTCTTGAGCTAACGCCAGGCTTTTCTGTCACAGACCAGGCATGGACCGCAACGTAGGAGACCGAAACCATGAATCAACCAAGTCTTCGCAGAGGGAGCCGAGAAGCAAAGTGCGCTAGGTAATAGGTACCGATACCATTGGTGCAGAGGCTATTGCCATGGACTCCAAAGTAGTAGGTGGTCGACAACTTGCCTGCAATGAAGAAATAAAAGTAGCGTCTGTCTTGGACATGAAATAACCTGCACGTTCCCATATGCAGACCAAGGGAACATTGTTGGTTGTGCAGAAATAGGCAGGGTTTTCTCCCACTAGTTAACTAGAGTAGTGGAGCAGGAAAGCCGCTGCAATCGCTGGGCATATGGTTCTCCGCGCGTAGTTAGTTAGGGCTCGGTCTCTCGCAAAGCCCCAATTCTTTTGTTATTTTTCTCATTGGATCTCCGCACGTGTTCTCCCCTTGACAGCATTGTATGAGCCTGATGCTGATGCAGATGCAGATGCAGCATGCCAGCGATGCTTATTCTCAAATACACTTTCACTGAGATAATAATCTTATCGGGCAAAGACGGCCCTTTTTTATCTCAACGCATTTGCTCTCCGTGTTTCGGTTCCGAAAGCATGTCTGTCGTTTCAGCATGCTCAAGAAACGTGATAAGCTACTAGTAATTAGCAAATTCTACACATGCCAATCTTTTTCAGTTGCCTCTATTCTGGAAGTTAGTCTTTGGTGGCGCCGTGCCCTCCTCACGTTTGTGAAGAGTGGGGTTGGTGAGTCTGTTGGTGATCCATTCGCGCCCCTTGAACCTGGGGAGTGCAGATACTACTTAGTGCGCTAATCACTCACCCTGGCTAACATCGGGCTTGGGTGGACTTCGCGTCTAGATTACCCGGGCTTGGAAATCCTTGGTAAATATGGAGTACATATCGTGATGTTCTCAGTGCATCGTCAACCATCGATCTCGCTGAGAATGTCAGATCTAGAACAAATTGCCTCGTAGTGACAGCAGCGAGATACTTTTCTTTTCAGCCTCAACGCCTCGAGTGTGCAGATCTCTGCCTCAGGTGGAGATGGAAGGCGTCATCCGGCAGGCAGAACGTCTCGTACACTTTCCCTTCCCATTCTTGTACCTTGCCTGGTGTGCTGATCAAGTACCTGCGACCTTGAGTTGCAGTAGTTGAGAAGACTGGAAACAGCAGCTGCAATTGTGGATATGGTTTAATCAAATCGGCTGGATTCAAGTGGCACGAGTTCATGCAGAAGATACCTAGTCCCTCTAGCAAGAAAGCGATGCGAACAACGGCCGAGCCGGCAAATGACGAAAGCGTGCGGACTTCACAGTGGTCGGTTCCAACTCAGCCCCATGATGACTGCTCGGGACTTGAGGCTAATCACCACTGAGCCACACAGCTATTGGCATCAACGTCTATCTTGGTAGATTTTGAGAACGGGCATGACCTTATGATTTTGTTACCAATGATTGAGTACCCAGGTAGGGATGCGGATATGCACAAACAGTGGAAACAGTAACCCACCATTGGGCCCATGGTAGACAAGAATAATGACTCTAATGCTGGTTCAGAGCTGGGGGACTTTATCGGTACACCTTGATATGCACCTCTCCAAATCTGGAACCTGCCTATGTTTTGCCGTCTTCGTACCCTTCCACCCTCCTTCCACCCTCGGCGGCTCGATCTCACCTGTCATCCCCCACATGCAGCCAATAAATGCTAAATCTCCAGTTCAAAATTCACTAGATACCAAATTTCAGATCATTCCCGCCAGCACGTTGTTGATTGTAGCTTGCACGAAGGTCGCACAGACAGTCACTATGCCGGAGTCTTCAGTCTACTACACGGAACACATATATCCACCACCCCTTCAACCACCCTTAGCCTTTCTTTGCTTGCTCTTCTTTGATACTGTCATTTCCTATCCCCCAACTCGTCTGCTTGTTTGGCTTGTTGTATCTTCAAGGTCATAGTCTAGGTGGTTCTATCACCCGTACAGTCGTTTCCTGAAGGTTGGCTTGAATAGCTGCAGTTCACCATGTTTTCAGTTGCTCCGCTCTCCTACCTGAGTTGCTTTATAGGTCTTTTGTGAGTGCTCCTTTTCAGTCCGGGCTGACAAGGAGGTGAGAGCCACTGTAGCAGACGCTGACTAGTCGAGTTGCGACAGTCTCTACCGCTATGTCCGATATGTTGTCAACCTCGTCGCCTTCTCCTGCTTCCGTCCGATACCTCTACCAGAAAAGCCAAGCTTGACGTCAGACGATGTTACCGTCATTCTGCCGTCGCTGGAAGGCCGGGGCATGGAACTAGAGCACACCATCGAGTCGATATTGCAGAATGAGCCCAAAGAACTCATCTTGGTCACCATCCAGGCAAACCTTGAATTAGCACAAAAGACCATCGCAAAAATGCCTGCAAGTCAACACGACAGACTGCGCTGTCTTTCCGTCCCTAATCCCAACAAGAGACGCCAGATGGCGCGCGCTATTCCTGAAGTCAACACCAAGATCATCGTCTTCGCTGATGATGATGTATCATGGCCTCGACAGACCCTGAAATGGATGCTGGCACCATTCGAGAACGAAAAGTACGGTGGAGTGGTTACATGTCAGCGATTGCGGCGTAAGGAATATCCGATATTCTCGCAAAAGAGAATATGGAGCTTCCTTGGTGCGCTCTATCTAGAAAGAAGGAATTTCGATTGTGCTGCAACCACGTTCATGGATGGCGGGGTCCCTTGCATGTCTGGCCGCACTGTCGCCTACCGCACGAAAATTCTTCGCGACAAGAACTTCACGTATGAATTCACCAACGAAGCATGGTGGTTTGGTAAATACCGCCTGAATGCTGATGACGACAATTTCATCACCCGGTGGATGGTATCTCATGGCTGGAAGACGTACATGCAATACCACCCGGAATGCGAGGTTCAGACAATCTTGGAGGACAATCCCAAATACCTGAAGCAATGTGTACGATGGTCTAGAAGCAATTGGCGAAGCAATCTAACCAGCATGTTCACCGAACGACACATATGGAGGTAAGCCAGTGCCAGTTGGGGGGTGAAATTGTGAGGGGCATAAAGGGCCAATGCGCGTCTGGACTCAGGCCCCCATACAACGGAACCAGCGCTAACACAAGTGTCGATCAATAGTGGACAGCCATACTCGGCTTATGCGGTGCACCTCACCACCTTATCACCTCCGGCATTCATTGGCGATTCAACTCTCGTCTGGCTACTCTGGAAGGCGGGCCAGACTTGGCCAGAAGAACAACAACACCTTGCCATCTACAGCCTCCTCGTATGGATGTTCATCAGCAAGTTCAGCAAGAATCTCGGTCATTATATTCGATACCCCTCTGACACCGCCCTCCTTCCGGTATCAATCTTCTTTGGCTGGTTCCATGGCTTGATCAAACTTTACGCCATGGTCACTTTGGATGTGGTTAGTGTTTCCCAGCATCGCAATTTTCCCCAATATTTTTGCTATATCCGAAACAACAGCTCTCTTACGCATTCTGCTTTCACATGGCAGACAATCACTAAAACTCGTCCTGCAAATGTTCACTGCTGAACTACGCTACCCTTGGTCCTTCGTCCTCTTGTGCTTGCTCTACTGATCACTCTTCTAGACTGCTTGGGGAAGTCGAGCCGGAGCAGACACAAATTCCGACCGTATGAGGATCATCACCGAATCTGATCGTGCTGAAGAATATCGACTCGCGCTCCGTCCATACACACAGTAATGGTAATCACCACCATCCATCCTCTACAATAAAAACAACAACAACAACAAGACAACATGCGTCCACTCTTCCTTTTCCTGAGCTGTCATCAGCACCGTCCCATTCGTCAAATAGAACCAACAAACTTCACGAATTCATGACCGAATGTAATAATATGGCCGTTGAGACGCTCAGGAGAGACAACAAAAACGTCGGCGTCATCGATCTGGCAATTCGATTCTTCAAAAGCTTTATATTCGAGCGAAGATTGACTAGCCGATTCAGCGGGATATGCCTATGGGCAATGGGTGGCATGCATATGCTTTCAACCTTTTTAGACGATAGAAAGGCACTTGATTGTTTTCGTAATTTCATAGATCTCCTGGAGCTTGCGTGAAGCAGATTTGGGGAAGGACGGCAATCACGTTATCAGTGATGCGCGTCAGGTCTCATAGAGCAATAATCCTCACATTTTGTTCTTTCCTATAATGCATCGTACTATGTATTACGTATGACTCGCGATATAGGAGAGCTTGTAATTGGAAATCCATAATAATCAAATGATGTAATGGCTTGAAATCTCATCATTATCATTAAATCAAACAGTTTCCGTAATCCTAGCACAAAAGCACAACAACTCACTGATGCAGCATTGAGCTTTAATAGCAGTGCAGGTATCTGTGTAATGGACTGGCAAATGCATCAAGCTCTCGTCTGCGGCTGTAAAAGATAATCAATTAAATGCTTCTGATGTGTGGAGCAGATATCTTCCAAATGAGTATACGCACGGATGAAATCTTGCGCACATCGAACCCATCACGATTCCAGCATTGATAGACCCAATAACAAGAAACCTGTACCGCCACTGTACGTCACAGTTTACAGAAACTGTTGACAATTGGCCTCTCCTAGCGTATGGACCCTCCACTTTAACCCTAGGATAGGTGGAAATTTGGAATCAAGACGTCTATCAGCCACGAAGAGCTGTAGGCGGTAGCTCAAAGTATGCGTTCCTACTACGTAGGTCCACCCCAGCGAGTTTCACCATTTTGCAGAACTCTCTTCGATCTCTGCGCCCATGATGTGTGCTAGTTTCTCGATCTTCACTCAGCCTGGAAAGCTTCGGCCCGCCGCCTTATCGCTCGGCTTAGAGTATGCATATCTTGCCCGAAACGCCACCAAAGTGCCCCTTCACTGCTGCTCAACAAAGATTTCCACACCTGAGCCCATCTGGCAGGTGCTCGGCCGAAACGACCATCATGCATCATGGTGATGTACGACACATGTAACGGCGAAGCGTCTCTTCTATCCAACGTCTGTCATGCCCCGGCAGGTTTTTGTGCGCAAGGATCCCGACCTGTTTGTATCAGCGACCTTCAGGGGACACGATTCCGACCCTCGATACGAAGGCCTGGAAGGTCGGTCCCGGCATCCTCGTTTGCAGCGACGCCAATGTTTGGCCGACCATTCTCCACAACCCGGCTGTCGGAGACCGAAGTCCGCATTTACGGAGACGGGGTTAGAAGTCCTGGAACTTTTTATGGTGTCTTCTGGATCCCATAGACCAAGAGGGGAGACCTCACCAGCGATCATATGCTCAACCCCCCAAATTATTGAGTGTCTGCAGCTTGACGTACCACAACGATCAAAGAGCGAAACAACGATGATAGGTACATGCCCTGGAGTGGATGCGCTGGCTTTCACGCCGTGCTCCTGATAGGTCGTTTCTGATGGAAAGATGCACAGTCTCAGCGCCAAACCTCTGATCGAACAGGGAAAAGGCCCTTGGGCACACCACATTGAGACTTCAATGCAGCTGTGCCCCTGAAAAGTCTCAGTAATTGAACTTGAATGCTATGTGGAAAAGCACATGTTTTTGAGATATTTGCAATACATTTTAACCTTTCGCAGACGCGCATGTAGACGTGCATGAAAACGTAATCATCAACAAAAGCACACAGCGCTGTACGTCTCAGTGCTCACCCCTGAGATATGGTATCTATTCTAGACAAGAATGATTTTGGGAGACACCGACGAAAACAGGCCTTGCCAGGATGTGAAGTGTCGCTGTGATCGGCAGACGTTCCCTGGTCATGGAAGAACATTGTCTCATTACAATCATCTGAGCACCATACAGACCAGTAACTAACATAGAAGCCTTGATCAGTTGAGAACTTGGCTGCGTCACAAGTTGTGTCGATTCAGGCGCCGTGTTTCAAAAGGAACCCACATTTCTATTTCATAGCCATACCAACAATCCGAGACAAATATGCTGGAGAAGAATGTGAAGAAACGTATACTTTCCATTTCTCTTAGGGCAAAGCGTGTTCTGTTGCACAGACTGTTATGGAACAGCTAAGACAGGCTGAGCTATGATGGTGTTGTCTACCAGTCGAATCTTCAGTGTGTTCTTATTTTCTTCTGAAGAACACGGAAGGTGAGAACATGTCCCGATGCGGTGGACACAGTATTGACATAAGTCTGTCAATCTATGGACATTCACAGATCTGCCGTACATGCTGGCTCCCCCGAAGCCACGAAACCCCACGAGAAAGATTGCGTCGTCCATACCACATATGGAAGGAGCATATTCAGCCCCTCGTGTACCGCAAACCGTTCTCCAGGAGTCGGCTTTTTCTTGAAGCGTGGAAAGTCTTTCACTAGATTCGAGTCGCGAGCGTACAGAAATTAGCTCAATTTTGAAAAAGAAATTCCAAGAAACTCCCGAACTGGATCAGTACCCGGACAACATGACAGGCTTCGGCTCATCAACCATAATGGTAAGGTTAAAGAAGTATTTTGTAGACAGCCGCATATGGAAGAAAGTAGTAGCAGTGTTTTAATTGTGCCCGCCCTTATTCACCCTTAATGTGTTCACCTAACCAATTTTTAGCTTGGGTATTGCAGAAGACAAGAGGCAGTATGCTATCGCATACCTGGACGCTGAATTATCTCAATCAGACCTGGGAAGCTTTCACTACAATCATCCTCTTCTCTTCGGTACTCACATCAAGGTCAATTACGTAATACGGCTTGCCATTAAGGGCTAGATAGGTGCTAAGCTATGCCAAGCAACGCTACAAAAAAATGTCCGCCCCACTTACCGAACATGAACTGCACGACACGAAAGCAGTTCTTGTTGGCCGGAAAGACAACATCTTGCGCTCCATCGCATGAAAATGCCATTTTACACTTGACTTCATATCGATATCTACTCCCTCCACAATATGTCTTCGATGCGAAATGCAGTCGCTCGGCGTCCTCATAAAGAGCGGTCTCAGCCCAAAGCCCGGGAGAAATGGGGAATCCTAGAAAAACACAAAGTACACAGTCATTCTTCTCTATGCCACGGACCCAAGCAACAAGCTCCATTTCATTTAGGAAGCGCAAACACCTAGCTAACCAGGTTTCATGTCCATTTAGGACTACAGCCTCCGCGCCCGTGACTACAACCTCAAAAAGCAGAAATTAGCCATTCTCTCACAGAAAGCCCGGAACAGGAACGAAGATGAGTTCGCATTCGGAATGCTGTCCGCGAACAAGGCGCAGGCGGGTAAGCATGGCAGGGTTGATACGCAAGCGAATAGATTGAGTCATGATGCAGTGAAACTGCTTAAAACCCAGGACGCGGGATATCTTCGGACTGTGGCCGGAAGGGGCAGGAAGGAGATCAGCAAGTTGGAGCAGGATGTTGTGATGACGAAGGCATCGGGAAATGGTAGAAAAGTGCTCTTCGTGGAAGAGGACGAACGGCTTAACGGGACGAAGGGCAGAGCGGAAAAGAGGAAGAAGCTGAGTAATGAGGTAGCTGCGGCCGGAAATAATCAAGAAGAACAGGAAGTCACTTCCCTAGGTACCGAGAATATCGCATCCGTAACAGGGACGACTGTGTATGCAATTGACATCGACTCGTCTTCGACCAAGCCTACCGCACCAACATCAAAGAAGGCACTTGCCGCCCAACGAGATGCCATGCGAGACCTGCGCGCTGCACGGAAGCGCAGAAAACGTCTTGCAGAACTGCGGGTTGCAAAATTAGAGGCATTGAAGAAGCGGCAGAGGGAGATCATGGCTGCCGCTGATGAATTAGAACTGCAAAGAGCGAAGATGGCGAGGACGGTGGGTGGAGTCAATAAAGATGGCATCAAATGGAAGATCAGGGAGAGAAAGCGATAATGCGGCCGGAGAAGTATTTGTCTTGAAGAGGATATTCGAGGAACCCATCCTCCTCCTAACAACGAATACGAACGGAAGACAGTGCAAGATCGATCCCACTGCATCTTGGCCTTAGCCGCTATGACATACTGCGACCGAGTGCCAGCCGAATAGGACCATGTCCATACGGATCAATCAGGCTTCCTGTATATGGCCTAGTATGTCAGTCACGAACGTCAGTGGCTTTCACAAAAATTGACTCTATACCGCAGCTCATCTCATTTTTAGCGCTTCAGTTCAGCCCGTGTTCCACAGCCAACGTCGCCAATATCCGAGAACAACCCCGGAATGGTTCCTATCATAGTGGAGAGTGCCCGGCAGGGAAGAAAATTGCTATCAGCTAGGTAGTGATCACACCTCCATTGCTCGGCCTTTACGCCACTTCTCGTTGCTTCTCAAAGGGTCCCATCATTTTAGTAGTACAATGAGAGTACCAGAGACCATTGATTCCCTTGAACCGTTGCGCAGTTCCCTGTTCAGTCTTTTCCGGACTAGCATAACAATTCCTGCTTCATGCGGGCGTCTGCTAGAATATGCCAAGACAGGGAAAAGATGAAAGCTCAGCATATGAAGAAATGAGAAACCGAAACAACCGGGCAATATTCTTAAGTGTCTCAGAGAGGAAAGAGAGGGCAACATTCAAGGTATAGAAACACAAACAAGCCGTACGCAGATGGCGAGACTAGCACCCAGAGCAGATCCACCACGACCACGTCTCCATACTCAGCCCTGCCGAAACCTTCACTGCAAAAGACGTCGTTCGGATAACGATCACCCTAGTTCCAAGACGTTGTGCACACTAGGATGAATCAAAGATTACTTCGATGGAGACAACATTTCTATCTGAGAAGAAAAGGACAAAAGGGCAGAAAGAATGTTTGTCTAAACATAAGTAGTGAGCGAGCAGCAACCGTGATGCAAATGACGGCAGCGATTGTGGGAAAGGGGACGGTAATTGATGGCAGGAGGTGGGACTCTTCGACGAGCGGAAAGAAGCATGGCCCTAAGAAAGAAGAAAATAGGGGTAGAGGTGACGCTTTACGTGCACGAGAGGCACTGCGAAGCGGGCAAAGTTGCGCTTGTATGCCGAATAAAATGCTTTGCGCTGGATTTCACCGCATTGCCGGGATGAGCATTCAAGGTGCTGGGCAAGGTGATGGCGCTCTACCTGTATACAGACTACTAACAATGGAGTGGTTGAACTGGGATCTCCAGTCGAGTGTGTCTCCCCTTGAGAACGAACTCAAGTCAAGATAATGGTGAACTCGGCTACTTGATAGTCAATTTGCAGATCGTTTACGAAGATCATAATCTGACTATCAACCCATCGCCTAACACCCAGAACACAGCCATTACTCCTGATCCGCCAGCTAAGGAGTCGGACCAGATAATTCGTCAAGACATTGGGTTGACCATGGGCCCAAACGCCCTGCAGCGCCTGATAATAGCGCTTATAGCTGCCGGTCATGACCTCCAATCAACGCCCAGCAGAACCAATCAACCCCGCGATATATCGTTCGCTCATTAATTCAATTTCCCTGCCGGAAAAGAAATCTCACCCTTCTATCCCGCTACCTCCACGTTCTCCTACGCCTCTCTCTCATCCAGCCGCTGCACACCTGCCTCCCATTACTTCCTGTTCCTATGCCGTGTCCATTTCCATCTCCATATTACCTCCGCCTCGTTGGTCCGGGAGTTGTGTTAACTCTCCGGCAGCTCGAGGACGTGAAACTCGTGGATTACGATGAAGAGCAGGGTGGTGGTGGTGGCGGTGGTTGGTTGGTTTAGGGTTCGGTTGGTGGTCTATGAGGATGACTCGGAGGTTAGGTGAAGGAAAGGTGAGTTTGTGGATCTGGAGCTCCGCCATCACGATGAATGATCTAGGGGGTGCTACTGCTCTTTGAGGCTTGGCTTGTGGGGCGAAGACTTAAGACGCTTGGTGTACTATGGCGGATCAAGGTGGAAAGACAGAAAGAGATAGGCAAGCAAATCGCTGATATGTCCTACGCATATATATACATACACGCTTGTGACTATTTTATCATTCCACCAAGGCGCATGGTCCCGAGAACCGCTCAAGGCGCCGTCGTATCAACTCCTGATGTTGAACCTCCGAGTACAAGATCTTCCAAAGCGCTCTATTCAGCAAGGCTGAATCGCTACCTCATCGGTTGGCTTTACATTGCCCTGTGGCGCTGGCCGGTATGGCATGCGCCTTGCAACCACCGTGGACTTGACGCCTCTTCCTGCTATTGTCTACCTTGCATCAGGGATAAAATCTGTTTTTCTTGATGTGGATGCTCCAATAGGAGCTGATAGCAAGCGAGATGAATGAACAGAGATCTTTCTCAATGTAGGAGTGGGAGCGTACCTACTTAATTAGGCAGGTGAGACTACTGGGAGAGTACAGCTCGAAAACGTACTTCTTCGAATGTGAAAGTGGTAATCAAGAGGAGTTTCTGATCTGAGCTCTGTTATGGTTAATTATGGACTATGGACCTGAAAGCTGCGAGTCATGAATAGAATGTGAAGCTGATTGGGGTGGGCTTCATTACTCCATTTCGATAGGTGTAAAGAAGGTACGGTCTAATTCTCTTAAGTTGCCGATTTCGATACAGCTCCAAACTAAATCATCACCTACTCCCTACCATATGCAGAGTCGACCCCGGGCGGTATGAGCGGGATGTTGAACGGAACCGGATCAGGGTCACACTCGATTGATGGCCGAAGTTATGGAGTAAATAAGAACCAGGTTCGTAGATGTGATAGCTGGTCACAGATCTGTGTACTTCCGGATCTCTTTCGTGAATGGAATCAAGCATCTCCAAGAAATACTCATGTAACGCGTTCGTTTGCGTAAAGGTTTTTATAAAAAGTATTTCTAGTATGTGGTGTGGTTACTCTTATACACGTACAAACAACAAGACTTGTTGCTTAGGATAGGATATTCATATCATCTTTCCTTTCTCCCTGACATTAGGTGGTGGGTCGATGGTCGATGGTCGATGGGCCGGATGGGGCTGATGCCCGGGATGGTCGATATCCTAATTCTTTACCATCTACTTCTACAATAGATGGCTTTTCACCATGCATATATTTGTCCGTGATTTCCGTGGCGCACGTACCCAACTGAAGGCCTTGATAATCACTCGGTTCGACAGGCGACTGACAGTAGCCTCCAGTCAGCATGCGCTCCACCAATGAAAGCAAGCAATGAGATCAGTTTACCTTCTCCGGCTGCGGAGAGCCATCACGACCGTCTGGTCAAGCCACTCGCCTTGACCTCTGGGTCGCTTGTACGCTAAAGGAAAAGATATGCTGAAAACAACAAGGCTAAAGAGAATGTGCCCCAAAATACCGGGCTAGAAACGATAGAGAACACCGAGCCAACAGTGCTTGAAAGGGGCCATCACGTCAATTTTCACTTCTCGTGCAAGCTAAACATGGCCAAGGTGGGACCCAAGGAAGCTACACCGACGTCTTCGGTGTCTCTAGGCATTTTGGAATCAGGAAGAACTTTTCACATCACGGAAAGTTCGAAAATGACCAGGGCGATGAGTCCCGTGCAGGTCCGTTTGGTTGCTAACGGAGTCAACATAGAGATTGATAGTGTACTTGGTAGCGTATACACTAACGATCATTAACTTTTATTATACTTTCTCTACCCAGGTCGAGTACGTAGTATGGTGCAGTAAGAAGCATAAAGCCCATGATCTAGTGCTGGAAGCGGCAATCATTTCTTCGGCCCCAGGCAGATAAGCGGTACAGTGGCTGCTCGGGACTTCAGGACCTGGTTGACAGGGAAACACTAGCTCACCTAGCAATTTCATATCTCCACAATTTGTCTGGAAGTTTAATCTCTAGCCCTACTGCAGCCCACGTTGATGGTGAGACATATTGTGCAGAGGCAGTCTCACCATCATGGTGAACGCTCGGGAAAGGGACTTGGAACTGGATGCATCAGTCACATCTGGCCATGCTGTGTAGATCTGTCAAGCGCGTCGACGTAGCATGCTTTTCCATTTCCTTGCGACAGAACTCAGGGCGCCTGTTCAAAATGCCGTCCGTCCATTACAAGGCAATTTTGATACTCTGGCTGACCTCTTTGCCCTCGTTTGATCCATGATCACCTCTGGTTCAGTAATGGCCGACTCCGTGGACCAACCTAGTAAAAAATAGTAGCGTGCGGCAGGGCCTTGTTTGTAATTCACGTGTTTGAAATCTACGCTCGAGCAATCAGAGATGGTGATCTTGCGGAGTCCGGTTCAGATCGCGGCAATCGACTCATCCTAACATGTCCCAATGATCGGAGCAGAATTGTCCTTGGCACGGTCATTTCGTATGTCCAGGAAGAAGTAACACCGAAGCGAAGTTCTATGATGAAACGTAACTCAGCTATCCATGCATGGTGAAGGCGTCACGTTTGACCGCCATTGATTTTCTTGGTTTGAATGTTCAAAATCATGTGGTCGATAAAGCGCACGAGTAGGATTTCGCGTGCTGGAGGGTCTTAAATATCAATTCGGGTTGTGGAGGGTGGGAACCTGAACGAACTTTGTAGGCGTTGCTGTTCAAACGGAATATCTGCAGCAGTGCTTGTCCAGGTTGGGAAGCGCACATTTCTTGGGAAGATGTGTTCCACTCCGAAACGAGCATACGGTTCCGTGCAACAAGATCGCTTGGCATAGCCCTCTCCAGCGCTGTTACAGCGACTTCAGCTCACTATTGACAGTTTTGAAGATGTAGAAGCTGCCTAGATAGAAAGGGGAGGGTTTATAGAATAGCTGCCACTTTACGCAGGCTTAATGAAGAATTCTTGTAAAGTAATTGAACTGCTGCGTCGACACGCTCAAAACTTGATAAGTCAACATATATATATCAGTTATTATGAGTATCAACAGAAAGAGAGAATACCCAGCTTCAATTTGAGCCTGTTTGGAAGAGATGTAGCCTTGTGGCGGCGAAATGGTGCCTGTTCAAAGTATGCCACGTCAAAATGTATTCTGCATAATATTTGTCCACCTTTCTGGCGTAAAATGGCTCAATGTGTTATTGGCTGACAGCCGCGCGGCAGATAAGCGGTATTCTCTCCACCAGCAACAAACCCACAATGTGACCTTAAATCCTTTAAAGCCACATTAGTAGCGTCAAGTGAGGCAATGATAAATTGGGTCATGTTATGACGTACGCCAGAAAGGTGGATACATGGAGTGGCTAATTCCTGTTGCCCCCCATCTTTGTGAACGATCAAAAACTCAGAATCAACAAACCCTTCTTGAGAAGAACAAGGGACAGAGAGTCAAAAGGCAAAGTCTTGCCGCCTTGCACATAATTTAGAGGTTTCTCCCCAATCAAGAATCACTGAACGCGCTTAAATATCCAACCACGCAACTTTTTGATCATCTCAGGCTTGAACTACCTCCTTTGTACATCTTCACATTCCACCAGTGGCCTCAGTTCAGGCTCCACTCCCGTCAATCATCTTTCATGGGAGTATTCGTTGTTATTAACCATTTTATATTGTTGCGATAGGACCCTACAAGCGCTGATTCAGATTGACTTATTCCTCTGTACTTGCCAGTGTGACAATAATAATACTTTTGGTTCTAATGCTCTCCACCAAGAATTGCATAAGCTATCTGGTCTTGACGAGAGTCAAGCCATTACCTGTCTTGTTTGTTCGAAGCATGATTGTTGAAGGAGTTTGTCCTTCGTGTTTGTTCTCATATGTTCCTTTCTTGGACGTTGTCCTCCATTGTTCCATATCACGACGTGGGTAACCAGTGTTAGCTGGATTTTCTCGTTCTAAATAGTCAAGATGGATATGCTGCGAATGCACCTAGGCACTTCCCGGGCGTTTGAACTGTTTCGATTGCAGGATGATGCTTGTTTGAAAGAGCTTGCCCTTTTCCCCCGACCTCCTAGATGGTTTGAGATCAAACCTTTCTTTTCAGATCCTCAGTATAATATGTAAACTCATTCCTTTCCAAGCCCAACCTTCGGTTACGATCATTCTGTTTGAATTGCATTGTAGCATCGGATTACATTTACGGCTACAGCAAATGAACACACAACGGCGGCCCAGACGCTCGACTCCCCATCGAACTGGCGGTTGGTCTCGTGCTTCGACAAATACCCACCACAGATCAGACCTAGCTTCGACCCACCAGAATGCATTCTCACATCAATCTTCCAGGCGACCAAATCGGCCCTTGACGAACGCTTATCACCATAACCGTCCTATCAATAATGCATGTTTCGCCCTTGGGAATGGACCTTTGCCACCAACGATCCCTAACTTTTCGGGCAACCACCAGAAACCAACGCATAATCGACCTCACCCAAATGCATACCCGCAACACATTCTACAGCACATGCCGTTATCGTCATGGGTGTCTCCATACCCGAGTTATCATCCTCATACGGAACCATTCCATGGACATCCCCCATATTCACACTCTTCCAGCTTGAGTATCCCCGACCATGCCATTTCTCAACCCGCTGCCACCATGAGCTACGCTTCATCACAGACCACCAACCAGTCACTAGACGTTATCCGGTGGCAGATGCAATACGGCAAGCACAACCTTGAATTCTGCCCGAAATGTAGGCTAGATCTGATCCATCATTTCGGATCCTTCAGCACGCAGTTCAACGGACGGTGTCATACTCGAGAGGATTGTGCAGAGCAACTAAGGTTGAATGGAAGATTTCGAGAGAGGCTACGCACTAATCAACAGGCACGTGAGGAGATCAACATGGTCCACGCGTCAGCTTTCTCCAGAGTGTTACCCGTTGGTGGGACAACCGCAGGGCAGGGCCGACAAGAGGCTGATATGCCGGCAGAAACCACTCGTAGGAGAGTTATCGTTCGGTTACCGCCTTTGGACACGCGATTGCTGACACCTATCGATGAGGGTCACGGACGTAAGGCTCAGGAGCCACGAAAACCCAACAACAATAATCCTGGTCCGATTGCGAACTCAATAGAGAGCCCGTACAACCAGAACGCGAGCATCCATTTCAATCACCGAAACAACTAGCTCTACATTCCTAGTCCTCCTCAGCCCTCAGAACCAGCGCCAAACACGAATGCATATCCGCCTCCACCACTTCTTGCCAAGTCGTCGATTGATTTACGTACAAGAAGGGCGAGGTTTTATGATCAGGAGGAAAGAAAGGGAGAAGGAGAGGAGAGACCCGGTGTGCAAGGGAAGGTAAAAGGCAAGAAGGCTACGACAGGGACGCCACAACTACCACCTCCGGCAAGGAGCCGGCAACACCAACAACAAAATCATCATCATCATCATCATCATCATCATCATCATCATCACATACCATATCATCCCCAACAGCAACCTCTACTTTGAAGCCTTGTCCAAACGGAACAATTCCAACCATACCTAGCAAGGACACTTTATCAGGTGATTATGATCTACAAGACAGACAAGCCGAGAGTACCGAAGAAGATGACGGCGACCAGGATATCGACGACGATGAGAAGAAGCAAATGACGATAAATATGAAGTAGAGGAGGATGAGAACGTCAATCGCATGATGACGACGTCGAAGACGATGAAGAGGGAAAGGACGAAGATGCTATAGACAGCTACGGCCGTGACGATCAGTTACGGCACGATATGAACGGCGCGAATGACGTGAACGATAAAGAAGATGAAGAAGGTTCGGTGATGAGACTGATTGACCGATCGATCCATACATTTCAGATTCACATTGATTCGATAGCTGTTGAAGCCCATGTATAACTAAATGCAATGCATTTTTGTCTTTACGTAAACATTTAGCCACAGCAGACCAGAGGAAAACTTCGTCACACTACAGTCAAATATCAACATCAACACACCAACAACAACAAACATCAGCATCCCATTCACGTCACCGGGCATCAGTTTAGCCAATCATTGTAAGATCGAGAGAGTGATGATAGTTACTTATTTCCTTTCTTGCCCTCGTCATGATCGTAAGGACTTACAGCATCCATTATCATGATTCAGACCTTCTATCCCGAAATCCAGAAGATAGATATTGAAACAAAATATGGGTTGGGAGGGGGGACATTTGAAGGATTACCCTTCCAAAATTTAATAGAAGGCAATCCGGGGTTTATATCCGATTTCGGCGAACTTCCATATCATGAGGAAATCACCGAGGAAGGGAGGGAGATTGGGCGAGCATTGATCCCACACTGTGCAAGTTTCCGTAATCATTTGTGCCGAACGCACGCAGCAGTAGCTCTCTTGTCGTAAAGCTCAAGCTCTCAGGAATTCGGTTCGCCAGGGCGCTGATCCCCTTTCCAATTCTCCGTCAAGGACTGCTGCAGATGACAAGAACCGGGGCCGTTTAGTCAAGGGTTGCCGGCATGGCTCTCAGAACTCTCGGATCAAGACGACGACTCTGCTATCCCTCTTTCTCTGTGGGAATCATTTTCGATGGCAGCTTCCGTCGCTCCATCTTCTTCATAATCCCCACGGGCGCGCTTCAACTTCAACGCCCGTATCTCTTTTTCAAGAGCTCTGATCTTGGCTTCGATATCGCGTTCACCGCGATGCTGAGAAGATGACGTTTCGCTTCTCCTTATATCATTATCGGATTCATCGTCATCCATATAATGGTGGACGGTACGGCGGTCGCGATCGCCTTTTAAGTCTGTTCGATTAACGAGGGGACTACGCGTTTTGGTTGAATTTGCAAGAGAATCTATTTCTGACCGAAGCAGATAAGGCTGACTCTGTGGATTGTGATCGAAAGATTGATGATGCCCTGGCACCCTATCGGATGTCTCGAGGGGGCGTGATCGTCTAAGAAAGAGTCGTGGAACAACTGGACCTTCGTTAAGATCTTGAAACTCTGGATTTATCACATAGTCATTCCGCTCTGACCCATGGACTCGAGGTTGAGGTTTTGTTGCAGCATCAGTATGAAAGTCACTACGTCCTTTCCTTCTGTCGGACACTAAAACAGAAGGCTTTCTCTCCCGCTCCTCCGTTCCTTTGTATTGCCGGCTAAGCTCGACAACTTCGCGGATATTCATTATACCCAGATCTCTGCTGATCACGATCGTATCCCTCTATAAATTAGTCAATGCAGAATCAAAGTGCACGTTATTCGTTACTCACTTCTTCCTCATAAGGATAGCCAAGCTCAACAAGGGCTGCGGTGTGGCATAGTCCCTTCGGCATTCGTGTTTTCCCTCTTTGTGGGTATGATATGACTTCGGATGTAGCATTTTCAACACTTCCTGCTCTAAGAATCAAATCACCTTCAGTCATTTCTTTCTCGTCGGCTTCATATCCTTTGAAATTATCGTCTTCATTTTCCAACTCGTCTATTTTGGCGGCCACTATTCGTTCGATCTCTTCCTTTGGCTGGTTTCCGGCTCGACCTTGATGAGACACTTCATCACTAGTAAGACCTTGTACGGTAGTGGACGTTAAATCGACGCTTTCCATAGCCGGGTTGCGTTGCTCAGTAATAGAACCTTCTGCTTCTTTCATTTGTTGACCAAGCTCTTCCGGCGTAGGGGTTTCTTTCTGACCATCTTCGTGGGAATCACTGTCGGACACTGATCGATCGCTGTCGGCTTCTTGTCTTCCCTCATTATCGATATTAACGTTCTCCTCCTCGTCATGTTCTTCTTCAGTCTCCTCCAAATTGGAGGGAAGTGCAAAAAGTGCGAGTTGTTCCTGGTGCTTCCCGAGATGTCGCCGGAGCTGCGGGTAAAAAGGATGTTCTTCATGACACAAGGGACATTCTACTGCCGTCTTCGAGCTTATCTGGCTTTCGTGAATGTTCACGAAGGCGGATAGTTGCTTTGAGGTAAGTGTCTTCTGATGCTCTCGTTGCTGGTGGTCTTTAAATGAAACTTTTGAGGTGAAGGTCCGTTGACAGCCTTCAACACATTGCCAAAAATGCCTGTGTGTCTGCTTCTCATGCTCGAACCACTGAGTTCGGTTATCGAACAGTCTATCTGGAGCTGAACAGTCCTCGCCTGTGCAAACATACGGATGCAGATCCCTGTAAACATGGTGCCTCCGGTTATGTCAGTCTCTCAATGATAACTTTACGTTTACTCGAAAACATACCGCCAAGACCGAGTCCCTCGAACTGAGATTATCATGAAACACAACGGACATTCGAATGGTCTGCCATCCTGAGCTTCTTTCGGGAGTGGAGGTGTACGTAAGTTTGCTGTGCCGTTGGCGGACGTCGCCGTGGAAGCCTCAGAGTAACAAGCCTCGGAGCCACTGTCTTCAGTAAGGTCGATATGATCCACTCCTTTCAATACGGTAGGCAGCGATGATGCAACCGTGCTTTGAGGGATCATTTCAGTGCGCACGTCTTGGACGATATTTTCTTCAATATCAAGGCCGTGTGCGAGCTTTCTGTGGTGTAATTCGCGATACTTCAGGTACTGACGGCGCCTCGAGATGGCTCTTCCTAGTCGATTGACCAGATATCCCTCAGCCTTGGGAAACTTCTGACGAACATGCATAATATCATACTCCTCATAGTAGGAAGTGTCAATATTCGTCGATTTCATGAATTGATCATGCGGTGCAGGACTTCGAATCGCCATAGAAAGTCTGAACAGGCAAGTCACTATCTCAACCATACTAGACTGTAATTGTTTCAACTCGGTTTTGTCTTCAACAGCACTGGTCGTCGTTGCGCCATCGGCGTTGGCTTTAGGATCCTCCACATCATCGTCCAAGTCAGAGTCAGAATCAGAAGACAGGCAGTCCCACGGCACTTGCTCCCCCATAATAATTGCTGTAGCTTTGCGAACATTAGTAAGTGAACGGGTGTTTTCGGGGGCTTGCCACCGACTGTTTTGGAGTATCTCACTCAAATCTTCTAGCAAAGATACAACCCTCTGTCGAATGTGAGATGCATCCCGGAGTCGGTAATTCAACGAGGATTTCCCAGTTTTATGAGCTCCGATGTTGCCAGACCAAATTCGGAACCTCCCAAATTCATCTTGAACATCTTCGAGCCGGATCTGATCTTGGAAGTCGCGGTTCGGATTCTTCAAGGCTATCGAGAGAGTGTCGAAGGAATTTATGCAGCTCCCAACATGAACTGCGACTGTTTCTGCGCCAATGGCGGCCTCTGGCGCATTGTCTGTCAACATCATCCATCAGGATGGCAGCAATGCAAAGCCAGCGGCGGAAACATGCTCTGAACTAACTCAGCACCTCCTGTTGAACATCCTTTGCTGGTCATGAATCGTCCTCGTGGGAAATCTCTGTCCACTTCCTGTGTCCGGCATTGAAGACGTCAGGCTGTCTCCCACCTTTTGTGGCTGAGATGTTGAAATGTACTCTGATTGGTGCGTTTGTGTTGTGGTAGTGCGCCAAGGCGCCTGCA